TCGTCACTTATGTATGTATAAGCGAACAATAGTGAGTTTTTTTCTTTTTTTTTTTTTTTTTTTTTTTTTTTTTTTTCCCATTTGCGCCTGGTGCTTGAGATAGATCTTTATCTGGCATCTCCATCTTCAGACCTATGGGATGTATGGAGGGGTATGCTCCTAGTATCTGGTGCAGACGAAGGAGGACGAGAAGGAAGGAAAATAGTGACAAGGGCCGTTGAAAATACTCCATGCAGATGGATGAAAATCTTTGAGAGGGGATCGGTGAATGAATAAATAAAGAATGGGTAGGACGAACGGATGGATGGATTGATGGATGGATGGATGGGGCCAGTTCCAAGGGCTTTTTTCAGACTCTTTATCATGCTCAACCTCATGCCTCGTGCTCATCATGCATTTCTTTCCTACTCCGTACCGTGGCTACGCACTGCCTATAAGCAAGCAATCAATCAATCGGCTCCCCTTCATGCATTCAATGATTACGTCGACTCGTCTCTCCCCCTCCCCCATGAACTCGGGTTAGGTGTCTTGGGTTTGCGAGTCTGGACTGCAAAAAGGGGGCTCATCTTCAGACTCAAGTCTCAGAAGGCTGAAACTCAAGCTCAACTATTCAAATACCTCGCCACCGCACCCCTCAACCGCCTCCCGCCCTCACCGGCCACGTTGATCAAATTCTCCAGGTCGTCTCCGGCGGTCAGGCCCAGTTTCCGGATAAAGTCCTTGGCCACCGTCTCCATGTCACCGTACGAGCCGTCGCCGCCCTCGAGACCCGTGGGATCGTCCTCGGGACGTCCAAAGTACGCGTTGGAGCTGATGGATGTGGCGCCCTCGAAGGTCTGCAGGCGCGATTTCGCCTCGGCTTGGGCCTGCGGGTCGTAGCTGTTTCTCCCAAAGAACTCGTCGGAGGAGATGGATTTTTGAGTGCCGAATTTGTTGCGCGCGTATTGTTCTTCCTCATCTGCACCCGAGATTGTTAGTGGGTGGAAACGCGAGAAAAAGAAAAGTTGTATTGTACAAGATGGGGCTGGTGGTGAAGGGGAAAAGGGTAAGATGATGTGATTTTGCTCTTGGGGACGTCCTTACCATCTGCCGCAGAGGTCTTGCTGGGCCCAACAGCACCAAATCCCAGTTTCTTTGGTGCTGGAGCGCTTGAGCTCGCCGCACCTTTGCTCGGACCGACCTGTCCGAAACCCAATCGACCGACACCCATTCCCAGTCTCTCAAGCTCACTCGGACTTCGCGCGTGGGCCGGGTTTGAGACCGTCCTCGACGCGGTATTGATAGGCGTCGGCGTCTCCTTCGGCGTCGCAGCGGGAGAAGCCCCGAAACTGGAGGGTTTGCTGGCCTTTGCAAGTTCCTCCGCCTTCTCTGCTGCAGGGTCGTAGCCTAACTTCTCTATCCTCTCCGCCTCGGCTTTTGCCGCCTTTTCAGCCGCCTCGAAATCGATTTCTTCCCCCACGACCTTTTTGGCGCCAAGTTTATGGGCTGGTTTCTTCCCACTGAGGACGTTCGCGCGTCTGGCACCTGCACCTCCAGCAGCATTCGGACCTTTGCGGATTGCGGAAGAAGACGTCGTACGTATGGCGGCGGGAGCGGGAAGAGCGGCCTCGGCGTCATTGGCTGTGTTTGCAGCTAAAGGTGAAGGAGATTTCGGGCGTGTTTGGGAGCCATTTGTAGCATTGCCGGCCGAGAGGAAGGGGGAGGCGGTACGTGAGATCACAGGAGGTGTGCCACTTCTCGATGGCGGATTGCTAGGCCGCTTGATGGTGGGCTTGTCCCAGGAAGAGAAGAAGTCGTCTGCGGGTTCACCGGCGGGCGTGGATGTGCCTTCGGCGCCAGGGGTGGAGAGGGGGTCGTCGGTGATGACTACTTCGTCTGGATACCTGTTCATGGCGTAAGGCTATGTTGGAACAGCGAGGTCTTCAACCACAACATACTCTTGAGAGTCTCTTTCAGCCCTACGCTTGAGTTCTTCCTTGTATTTGTTCGCAGCATTGGAGGTATATTTGACCTTGGCATCCTTGCTCGCGAGCGCCGCACTGCCACCGTGAGATTGGAAGAATTTCGTGGCAGACTCGTTGCCCCCAACTTTCATTGTGCGCAGTTGACTCCATTGCCAGACTGTTATCGGTCAATATTTTGCAATCTCTGTGAAGGGAGAAGTCGCAGGTACCATCCAAATTGGTCGATCTGACAAAGGAGATGTGGACACCAAGATTTCTATGATTGGAAGAGCAGTCGAGACAGAGGTAGACGCCAAAGGGCACGGAAGACCAGGTCGGGTTCTTCTGGCCACAGTCGAAACATATCTGTGAATGTATGTCAGCCGGCGCGGAACATGTGGAAATGTAGATTGGTAGAGGTGGCCTCCTTGGATGGCTATGGTGTGAGTGAGTACCTTGTTGGCTGGTTTGGCTTTCAGTTTCTCGAAGATCTTCTGTGATTGCGCCTTTGTTGCGCTCATGTTGACGGCGCGAGGACAGTACGGCAGAAGAGAAGGGAGATTGGGGATGTTGGGAGGGACAGTGTCAACAGAAGGACGGAGTATTATTTGACAGGGAATCTGATCGCAGCATGCGCCCGGCTCGCCATTTCAGGCTCGTGTATGTGTTCGGTACGGCGTAGTAGAAGCCACTCAAGCGAATCCACCGTCTGCGCCTGCGTCCAGATTATTACCGTAGCGACAACGGCATCAACGGGAATCTGTTTCTTGCTTCGATTGTGAACTCAAATTTGTCATGCATAAACTGATCAGAGCAAGCCTTCATGATTCCCATGCAGAATGTTACTCTCCAGGCAGGCCGAACTTCAGAGAGTGTTTGTCCTGCGCACAATGAGGCGCAGGAATGACACTGAAGAGACGGAGATCTGGGGACTAGGGGTTCTGCTCTTCAGGGGACTCGACGGGTCCGGTTCTATCATGTCGAATTCATCGGGCGAACATGGAGTGCCTTGATCATGATGATTGCTAAGTGTATCTTTCTTTTCATGTCTTCTTGACTGGCGACTTGTACTGCCTCAGCTTTTTGTGACCTCACCATCGCACCGAGTCCTTATTCTCTCACAAACGAGCACAATATCCTGCCTTTTACTGCCTACCACCATCTGTGTTTCCTTCTCTCGCGCCCCTACTGCTGTTATTGCAATCATATCCTCTATGCCACCGCTTCAGTCGACTAGCTCCTCTTGTCGCCCAGCGCTCAAGCGCTGAGAGAGCGCCGACTGACTGCCGCGACGCACCATCACAATGCCGACACTGAAAGATCTTGTTTGCCATGTACAATGGGCAGATACAGGATCCCCGTTCCCTGAATATGAGACACAGTACGGAGATGGGATCGTTGAGACTTACATTGCCATCCCTAGCCATCCTCAAGTCTTCACCATCCGACTCACCTCTCGAAAATTCATTTCCCCAGGGTTATCGATGGTAGTCTTTATTGACGGCAACTACCAGTGCAATCGTAACAGAGTCAACCTACAGCCTTCAGAGAAAGAAGCCCCTGACATGAGAACAACCATCGATTTTCTCGTGAGACAGAAAGAGAAACCCTTGGGTGATGGGATGTACTTGGGTCGTGAGTGGCGCTTTGACGATTGCAACCTTGGTAAGTCTCCTAACAGCAAATGGAACCCAAGCTAACTGCCCTTTACCAGTCTCTCAACTGCCCGATGGTGTCGACAAGAACCACTTTGACGAGCTGGGAACAATCGAGGTCTTAGTTCTGCGATGCCGCAGCAACCACGGTGGATATAGCGAATGCTCAACTGCTTCTTCAGCCGAGCACAGCGGGATCCTGGACGACACGGCAGATGCTAGAGAAGAAGTAAAGCCAGGTGACTCCGCAAGTCAAGCAAATACCGGGAAACTCTCCGCGCAGCCAGAACCACCCCAGACTGAGGTACAGGACGCTTTCGGTGGCTTGTTTGGCCTATTCGATGGACCTGCCGATGGCTGGCCTTCCTTTGTTGCGAACCCAGGGGATGCCCCGGGCGATGGTTACGATCGATGGCATTGGCAAGCACCCGGCGGTCACCCTGGTTCTTATGGCCCGCAAGAAAGATCCCAGCCTTCATTTGGTTATCGTCCAGCTTCAGAACATTATGCAGAACCGCGACGGATCAGGTACGACTATCACGACTATCACGACTCTCCGCCCTCTTCGGCATATGCACATCCACCGAATCCTCCTCCACCATCCGCTAGACCTGACAGACATGTTCATTTTGATTACGGTGACGGAAGAGGGTCTCAGCCGAACAGCTACCATTCAAGATACGACCACCAACCCCATCATACTTGGGAGCGAGATCACCAACACGCTTACTCTTCACCCCGCCCAAGTTACCACCGCACTGAATATCACAGATATCGCAATCCTTATCCGGAGTATCTTGCCGCCCCCGAAGGCGGGCATTACATGTACAACGCAGATCGAAAAGCCTACAGCCAATATCCTGATCAGAACCACGGCAGCTCCCATCCACGTACCCCTCTGGCCGGTCAGGCTACTCCCCATGCATACTATCAACCGCCCATTCAAGGGGCTAACCATAACCCTTCGACATTTGCTGCGTCTCAAGCGAATTTGGCCAACCCTGCTCCACCAGCGACACCCTTCCCTCCTCTGCCCCCTAAAATCCCGGTCCAGCCTACGAATCTGCCTCCCATTCATCCACAGCCTGTTCCATATCCTATTCCAATTTGGTTCCCTCCGCCAACAGGGCCAGTTCCACCTTTTCCCACCGCGGTGCCGATCTATCCCCCACCGAATAATGCACCCCTGTTCCATACCCAAAGAATTGATACCACATCGGCCCCAGTTGGACCTAATGGGAGCAGTTCTCAGCGACAAGGAGGCGACGACGCCAAAAAAGGAGAGAACAATAACTCCAACACTACTCAGTCTAGCTCCGCCCAGGATGCTCTCCAAAACACGAACAACGGTAGCAATGGCGGCTGGGGAAATTCTAGTGGAGATAACACCAGCGGCACCGATAATTCGTGGGCAAATGGAGGCGTAAATGACAGTGGAAATAACAGCAACGCCCAGAACCTGAACCGCTTGGGAGACAACGACAATAACACCACCAGAGGCGGTTCCAATGACGACCGAAACAGCAACAATTCGGGTCAAAATTGGGGCGACAATGACAACAATGCTGGGACTGGTCAGACTTGGGATAATAATAATGCCAACCCCGGAGGTGGCAGCTGGCAAAGTGAGCCAACTCAGAACAACAACGGATATTCCCAAAGCAATAACGGAAGCAATAACGGTGGCGGTTGGCAAAACGAGCCTATCCAGAACAACAGCGGATATCCACAAAGCAATAACGGTGGTGGCTGGGCAAATGAGACTCAAAATCCTGGGTTTGGCGGGAACGGCCCAGCAAGCGTCGGGAACAACAATCAAATTAATAGCTCGACGTCGAACAACGGGCCTGTATCAAGTGGGAACCCATCGAATAGTCGACCTCTGTACGGACCCTTTGGGGCGTACTACACCTCAAAAGCTGATGCGGAAAATGCTCCCCCTGCAGAAGCCGAGGAGGAGCCACGGTATGACGTCCCTCACGCTATTGCTCAGTCCAAGGGAGTTACGAAACAGGTGCAGCCCGGTAAAGGCTACCTGTACACCAAGAAGAGATGCAATCCTCACTACTTTGACACTCTGGAGGAGCCGTACGCTAGATTTGTCTTCAAGTACCGAACAAAGGAACAGCTCAGGGATGAGCTCGGGGTCGAGATCACGGCCGAGCCGAGCCCGAACGAGGACGTCAATGCTCTCGAAAACATGGACAAGGCAGAGCTGATCCAGATGGTGCTGAGAGCAAAAGGAGCTCTGGGTGGCACGATACCCAGCCCGCCACCGAAAGTCACACCGCCTTTAGTGAAGAGCTTTGAGCAGGTTCCCGTCGTCGCTCCTGATGTGGCCTTTCTTAAATACAACTTGCCACCCCCACGCCACGCCTCAAGCACCAACCCGGGGCTTGGGATCCGACTATCCAATGCGTCAAGCAATCAGAGCAATATGGCATATGCCAACCAAGGCCCGAACAACAACTGGAACAACAATTGTCAAACAGGCAACAGCCAGCAGAATGGCAATGGAAGCAACAACGGTGGTTCGCAAAACTGGCAAACAAACAATCAGCAGCAGGGCAACAATAACAACGGCGGGGACAGCCAAAGTTGGGCGAATGCTGGCAATAACAATAACAACAACAATGGCGGTTGGAATGACGTCTCGGCAACCAACAAGAACGGCTGGGATGGGCAGCAAGAGAAGCACCAGCCCCGGCTCAGCGTGTCATCTGCCTCACAGCGCTTCAAGGACTTCCGCTTCGGCGCGCAGCAAGCACGCTCTCACCGCACCAGCTCAATGATCAGTCCGAAGGGTCAGGCACAAGGTCAAGGTCAGGGCGGCCCCGGCCCCGCAGGCGCACCACCGCCGGGAGCTGGTGAGATGCTTGACTACGTCCTCAACAACCCCGAGGCCGCCGCGCAGATGGGCATGGCTGGACCTCCGCCGCCCATCATCGCCTTCACCGGGTCTGGGACTGTCGGAGGCGGCCAGACGAATATTGACATGGGCGGCGCTGGTCCACGCCCGCCAACGCCCACGGGTCCACCCCCACCGTTGAGTCCCCCAAGTGTTCAGGGGCAAGGAGGATTCGGGCCCGAGAATTGGGAAGGTGATAATCCAGTTCAGCCGAGGGGTGGGTGGTAAAGCACAGCGGCGGGGAGGAGCGAGATGAGAGAGGCGACAGGCATGAGGCAAGCGCCAAGAGGGCGATGTTAAAGGCATGAGGAGGGGCACTGTTCTTGTTCAACAGCCTTGGATTCCAGAGTTCTTGTGACTTGAGCGAATCCACGTCTTCTTATTAGATTCAGAGCGCTGCATGAACAATAACCTAGGAGAGGGTTCCCTTCCGCGTGTGCCACCGGAGCTGTCAGAAAAAAGAAAAAGGGTAGTTTCTTCCGTTTCATACCTATGGAAGCCTTGAAAAATCGACAAAGAAGGAGGAAATCAAAATCAATAGCTGTTATTAGTGTCACGACTTTCCTTCCTTCTCTCTCTCCTCCTTCTCCCCCCTTTCAATCTCCTCCTTATCCTCGCCCACCACGAACCCTCCACCCAGCAAGATAGCGGGCTCGTGGATATTGTGGTGTTCGTAGCTCAGAGTGCCCACACCGCCAGCTTCCATGATCATGGCCGTCTCCGTGAGCGGTCTCCCGATCCAGCGCACAGCGAACGCCCTCAAAATGTGCCCGTGGCCCACGACCAACACATCGCCCGTGACACCGGGCTGTTTGGGCTTCCCGATCACCTTGGAGTGGTACCGCTCGCGAATCTCCCGGATCAGGCTGTCGACCCGGTCCATGATGTCCTGCGGAGATTCGCCCCCGGGGCAGCCGTCGCGCCAGATGTCCCAGGGCGGGAGACCCTGGGTTTTTCGTAGCTCGCGGATCTCGGCGGATGTGATGCCCTCGTACTCGCCGTAGTCCCACTCGGCGATCCGCGGGTCGATGGTCACGTCGGCGGTGGTTATGTGTTCTGACGAGGAAGAGGGGTTGTGGGTCGATTGGGACTGCGATTGCCACGGGTAGGGCTGGTGGCAGCCGAGATTGAGCAGTTCGAGCGTCCTCTGCGCGCGGTGCCGGGGGGAGACGTAGCTATTTGTTGCCAAAGCGGAGCCGAATGTCAGTCTCATGGTATATCTTTCTAAGACGGGAACAGATATGAAGGGTGAGGTGGCTCGTAGTAACAGATTTGCCTGCACTGAGGAAGAAGGACATACATGTGAACCAACTGCTTGGGCACAATCAACCTATCGTCCCCCACGAGGGCCTTGCCCGTCGCGCGTACTCGCTTCTCCCCGTTCTTTGTGAGCGGTATGTCGGTGGTGCCCGTGTGTTTTCCTGACAAGGACCATTCCGTCTCGCCGTGCCGGACGATGAAGCAGCGCGGGGTGGTCATTTCTTTTCGCCCGTCTCGTTCACTCTCTCCTGCTCTCTCACACACACGAAGGTAGTGCAGGGAAGATGTTATGTGCCGGGTGGGATATCTAAGGAACGAAGAATAGAAGCAGACTGCAGGGTTGGGATGGGATATAGGTAGGGTTCGCAGCGGCAAGTCCTCTTCTTAGTAGTTGGAGGAGAAGGAGGTGAAGTCTCGCTGCGCCGGCTCGTCCGATCCGGATGCGAAAGGAAAAGGATCGACTTGATGCAGAAAAAGGCAGTTTAACAGCAAGGGGTGGGCAATCTGTGAACAACGAATCTGGGCAGGGGGACGACGGGCAATGGAGGGAGATTTGTTGGTAACTCAGCTTTGGGTCATAGGTCATCAATGCAATGTTTACGGAAGACGAGATCCATTGAGGACCGCGAGAGTATTTTCCCATAACAATTCACGGTGGGGGGAGGGGCAAGGGTAGGAGCGCAGGGATGGAGGGGGAAAGGGGAATAGTGTTGCGGCGTGTGGGTGTGGGCGGCATGGGATACTAGGTACGTCACCAACGTGTTAGGGAGGCCTCTAGGCATTGGTACCTACAGTAGGTTACCAAAAGTCACCGGACACTAGTCTCTTGGCACCCACACCACAATATAGATGAATAGATTTCAAAGCATTAATTCTCAACCACCACCTCTTCATTTGTTAATCTGTTGTTGTAGAGATGTCTACTAGAGTGAATGGTCTGATTTTGAGCGTGGTACAGTATATGGCCTTCATTTAGCTGGTAAATCTATACGCGAAATCGCAACTATCTCAAAGATCCCCAAATCGACAGTGTCAGATATACTACAAAATCCGCAACCAGATCCCAACAGTCGAACTGGAAGGCCTAAGAAGATCACTAAGCGTGCAGAACGACGCATTCTACGCGCCATTAAGGTCAATCCTAAGATCAGCTATGCGGAATTGCGAAGAAGGCTCGATTTAGATGTCTCCGACCAGACGATTCGAAGGCTACTTCACAACCACCATATCAAGAAATGGATGGCTAAAAAGCGTCCTAAATTGACGGAAAAGGCTGCCAAAGCAAGGTACGAATGGGCATTAGCGCACCGAGACTGGACGTGGGAAGATTGGCTCAAGGTTATCTGGAGCGACGAATGCTCTATCCAACGCGGTAGTGGAACACAGCGCGAATGGGTCTTTCGCACGCCCGAGGAGAAGTGGCACAAGGACAAAATAACTGAGAAAGGTATGGGCAAGGATATATCGATCATGATTTGGGCAGCAATCTTCGGCCAGGGCGAGTCATCCGATGCCTATATCCTTTCGCGCGATTAGGAGTCAGCAAAGATGGGCTATTCGGCCAATTCCTACATCCAGGTTCTCGCAGACAATATCCCAGCCATCTAGGAGCCTGGCAGGATCTTTATGCAGGACAATGCGCCTATTCACAAGGCCAAAAAGGTCCAGGAGTGGCTAGATGACCATGGGATAGATGTCATGGACTGGCCGCCATATTCGCCAGATTTGAACCCTATCGAGAATCTCTGGTTTGAGCTCAAATGCCTTGTCAATGCCATTGATCTAGAGCTTCGATATACAACTGGAAGCTCACAGGACGTCCTCGATCGCTTTGCAAACGCTATTTCGAGGGCCTGGGCCAGTCTGGACAAGAAAAAGATCAAGAATGCTATCAAGTCAATGGACGAGAGAGTCAATGCGGTTATTGAGGCCAAGGGCTGGTATACGCGGTTTTGATCTGGAAGATGCGATTTTCTGAAAGTGCTTCTCTTTAGCTATCGATTCATACTAATTGTACTATTCTACCATAGTAAATATATGGAAAAAAAACTATCAAGTGTATAGGGGGGTAGTATTCGGGAGGCGTGCCAAGAGACTAGTGTCCGGTGACTTTTGGTAACCTACTGTACCTAGGTATATCCTGGGCTAGTGAAGCCTATTATACCGGGGGCATCAAAGCAATTAAGGCCAGGTGGGTGCCAGGGGGCCACCGAGTCGCTGACTCATCCCCTCCCATCTTGCTTATCCCAGCCAACAGCCTAGTAGAGCGCCCCAGATGCTCAACTCCAGTCCCTCCTTTGATAGAATTCGGAAAATACCTTTCGTAGTCATCAACACCGCCAGGTTACTGCATCTAGGTGGCTTGCTTGCTATATACCTCGTACTGACTGCTAGGAGAAATGTCGCTGCAAAGAGAAGAAAAAACGAATGTCCAAATGCTGGGGATCGCCCCCCATTCCGCAAGGTACCTTAGGTATCAATACAACCCTTCCCACTTCTCTACCAGTCTTTGTCCGAGAGAATCAAAACCACCCAACGAGGAACACAACCCACCCAACTCCATACTTGCTAATGAGGCTCCAAAGTCAATCTGAACGAAAGGACATCTCCCTCTATCTCTCCTTTTCTTTTCCTGTCTCATTCTTCAATCACCATGGGAATCATGCCCATCTCCATCTCCTCATCGACGGGACTCAACTCAGCCATATCCTCAATCGCCACCGTGATCTCGGCCCTCTCACTCCTCTTGGACTTGGGCGGCTTGGGCTTCCTTGCCCAGCCGATCAACACTTTCCACCCGGAACCCTGCTCCTTGCCCTCTTCAATCACCTCGTCCACGCCCTCGAGCCACCGGCTCTGTTCTCTGCCCGACTCCGCCCGCACTTTGACCAGCCACTCCTCCCACATGCGCGCGCCAAGGAGGCCAGTCAGGTCTGCGACATCCTGCGTGCTGCCAACGGGCCCTTGCACTGCCTCCACGTCCATGTATTGTTTGACGATCTTGCTGATGGTCGAGACTTCGCTGATTGGACGCGGTGCCGGGACAAAGGGCTTTCCTCCTTGCCGCCAGGACTGCCACCCTCCCGTGTATCCGTTGGGTTGCTCCTCTGTCTCCTTGGGCGGCCTTTGTCCCATAGGCATGAAGATCCAAGCTCTCTTCACGCCGATGAAGCCCTCTTTCTTTAACCGTCGGAGCCAGCTTCGAGCCGCTTCGCGTTCGTAGCCGCGCCGATGGAGTTCGAACCCGAACTCTACCGACATGGCTTCCGCCCTGGGCCCTGCGTGTGCGATGCTTGAATCCATGACCATGTAGTCGAGGTACCCGTGTGGTTTCAGCACCCGCATACATTCTCGAAGAGTCAGATCCCACTCGTCGATCTCGGGCACGCCAGGGACCGGATTGTTCTTGAGAAGGACGTGCAGTGAGCGTGCCGAGATGACGTCGAAGTGGCCGCTACGGAAGGGCAGCTGCCAGAGATGCGGGACAGAGATGGTGCGGTGGTTTGCTGGAGCTTCAGGCTTGGCCATCCCGGCTGGTCGTTGAGACCGTGCCTGATCCTTGGTGATGACCGTGTAGACTTTGACATTCGGCCACTCCAAGGCGGCGTTCCACGCCCACGACGCAGAAGCTGTGCCGCCAAGATCGAGAATGCGTAGTCGCTTGCTTCCAACACATGCAGGATCATCCAACGGAACCGTGGCTTTGGTTTTCAGCCTCTGACAAGCTGCCTCAGAGGCGAGCAGGCGGCCACTGAACACGGCCCTCAGAGCATCGATCTGCCAATTCGAGGGCTCGACAGACGCAAGCGCGAGTTGCTCGCGTTCAACGGCCCGATAGGCGATTTGCTCGGCCGTGTGCTCGAACACGCCAGTCTGTCGAGGATTTTGGCTGAATGGACCAGAATACTTCGGCCGTGCTGGGTCGATCAGGGTGTGCTGGCCAAGGAGATTGCTGATGTGCTTTTCCGGTAGGGCAATACGAATAGCTTGTATCGCGTCAAGGCGGGAGGATGAATGGATGAAAGCATCCCGGCGTTTGCGGACGGCGACGAGATGCTGGAACGCCGAGAGAAAGATGGGCTCCTTCGTTTCAGGTTCGCTATCGGGACTGCCCTTCTCTGGACGAGCCACAACCACTGCTGTGTCTATCGTGGTCTTGTCAGCGAACATGACTGTCCGACGTGCCCCCTTGGTAGCCTTGTCATCGACAGGTTCAGTGTTGTCAGCGTCCTCCTCGTTAGGGTCAGAGTCCAGGATCGCAGACAAATAGCCTGTTTGTGCGGCGAGCCAGGATCCAGTCCGGTCCAGATTCTGGCCTGCAGTCTTTTTGAGGTCCTCGTAGTACTTCTCGTCGTATTCGTAGTTGACCGTTACCGCTTCAGATGTCTTTTTGGGACTGACGCCGGGACCAGCGGAGGGACCGTACAAGTCGTCGTCTTCGGACTGCTGACTCTTACGTTTTCCCGGTGCTCCTAGATCGAAAGTGGCCTGCTTTGCTGTCGGCGGACCTTCGGTCAAATTTGTGTCGTCGACCGTCAGCACTGTCTCAACGACATTGTCCCTTGAGCTGTTCTCCCAAGGCCGATTATAGAACATCTCCGCGGTAGCGGTATTTGGCAGGCTTGGCCCTTTGGATTTGGCGAGACACCAGGTGTGTCGTGAGCCATTTTGCAGGGAAGAAAAGAAGCCTCCCGGCGACGGAATGCTCAGCTGCGAGAAGCTATAGTCAGATACTGGAGTCTCTCCGTCTGCGCTGCGTGGTCGACTAATGGGCTCTGGATCAGTCAATTCGCGCATTTCTTGTCGTTTCCCAGATCTCTTCGTCCGCCGGGAGCTGCCAGAACTTGTCGACCTACTATCGTCCCTGCTCCTCTGCCCGGCCAGAAGCTGAAGTAGCTGCAACGCCTCTGCAGGAAGCCTCACCCCAACGTCGGATCCATTGGAAGGCGGCTTATCCTCGAATTTCTTGAGCTCATCAAGAGAGGGCATGAGAGGCGACAGATCCTGTGGTGTAGCGCCTGGCACCGTCGGGAAACTGACAATCATCTCGGTGAAGGCTGCTGGGGACACAAGGCTGGCAAAGGAGTTGTTGGAGTGGGCTTCCGCTGGCGACAGGATCACACTGTGATCGTCGTCAAGCGCTATTTCCAGAGGCTGTGATTCAAGATTGGTCGGTGGTGGACCTCCCCAGCTGTCTCCCTCCGCAATCTCAAGTTGTCTCATGTCCGGAGTGACGGGAGCACTGGTCTGCGTGTTGCAAGGTGAGTCCGAGATCGAACTGCTGCTGTCTCCGAGCGACGGTGGGGCATTGATGGCTGGGACATCTCTTGGGAGAGCAGAAAGTGCACCGGGGGAAAGCCGAATTTTGGTGGCAGGAGACATGCCGAAGGTGATCTCCTTGATCGGGCTCGCATCCATCGACCCCCATGAGTCTCTGGGTATGATCAGAGCAGGGTAGCGGTTTCGGCTAGACTTCTCGCTGGCAAAGCTGTTCCTACTGGATTCCGAGGCAAAGCTCGTCGGGTCGCTGGCCAGAGACGGGCAGTCGTCACTGAAGACAGTGCCTGAGTCGCTACCAGCGAGAGAACTTCGGTTTGAATCTCGTTGGTAGCCTTCACCAGCGCTGCTGGCAGGGGAGGGGCCACAAGAAGAGACCGGAGAGGACAGGTAGGTCGATTTGGCGAGCGAGCTCTTGCGAGCAGAGATGGTAAACAGAGCCGGATCCCATGCTGCCGGGCGGCCAATTACGGTTGAATCGCTCCCATCTCCCTCACTGTCGCTTTTCAGCCCCTGACTTGCGTCTTCTTTTTCCTCGAGAATAGTATTAAGCTGCCGACCACGGCCCAGCCGGGGTGGAGATTGGTAGGTGGTAGATGGTAGGAGGCTCATGCTTGCAAGGGACCGGCCTTCGCAGTGTATTAATTATTGTCGGTAGTAGGTCGTGTTCTTCGTCAAATGCCCATCCACTGCCCGCTCGGCGAAGCGTGAGAATTGGTGGTTGTCAAAACTGGTATTAGTAGTTGTAAACGGCGCCGGTCAACGGTCGCACGCGGGAGTGGCCCTCAAATTGAAAGGTGCTAACGAGAGTAAAGCTGACAGCGACCAGCAGCTTCAGCGACGGCGAGGTTGAGAAGGTGAGGGGGAAGAAAGGTACAAAGGAAAAGAGAAAGCGCTACCTTTTGGTAAAGAGAGTGGTGGAAGCGGTGGAAGCGCTGTGAGGGCGGCATTGGCGTCTCGCTCAAGGCCTGGGGAGAATTGGAGCGGACCGGGCAATGTCACGCACTCTTTTACAAATCGGGAGAGGGACATGTCGACCCTGTGTCGATTGGCTCTGGCCACAGTGGGCGAGGCCTGGACTTCTGAAAGGGAATAGCTGCGTGTTTGAAAAAGACATGTAGGCCAATACCAGAGCACCTGGAGCTGCGGCCAGCGAGACGCGCAGGAAATAGCATCAAGGCGGGGATCGATAGTGCTGAGACGTGTTGGCAGGACGTTGGAGGTGAAGGTGGATGGCGATGCATGGTTGGTAGAGGAGGAAGTGAGTGGGAAGTGAGTGGGAAGTGTGGGAGGGAAGAGGAGAAGATGCACGATTGGCCAGACGAAGCTGCGGTGGGTCTAGACTGGGCGGTTACAGAGGCCACTAGTCCCAAAACAGATATGCCTATTTATGGCACTGCTCACGAGAGCTTCGAGAGCTTCGAAAGGTCCAGAGGTGGCCGTTGATCCAATATTCGACCAATGCGGCTTTATTCGGCACTCTGTCCGTATTGATATTGCCCTGACTGATATGGGGTGGGATCTGGTTGCCAAGTCAATGGTTCTCCCCCAGCAATTTGGCCCTGCCCGCGGCCTTGCTTCTGGCCCAACGGTCGATGAAGGCTTGTTTGTCCCGACAATCATAACACACCTTGTGCATGAGGCTGAAGCAGTACGCCATACTTCTCAATCCACTGTGAGGATAGAAGGGAACCATCTCATCGCTTCCCCCTACCTCCCTCCCCTTTTGACCCCTTTCATCTTGCGGAGCACGCCACCATACAGTCACATCCATTGCTGTCATCAAACCGGGCGTAACGCCCTGTGAGATCGGGGAAAGTACAGCCGGATGGAAACAGGCTTGAAGTTACGATGGATCGAACTATTAGATGGCAGGCCTTGTCAATCTGTTCTCGGTATTCTGATCTCGGGAAAGGGGATTTGTCGCCATCTTCAATCTTCCCTGCTATCACTACCGGGAAGTCCTTGACAAAGTCATTAGTCCAGAAGGTGGGGTGCGCATGTCATTTGCTGATCTGCTTCCATGGTCTTCCTCAACTGTCCAAAAGACCAGCATCTAATGCTCAAACACGTCCTTGGTATTAAGTGTCTCAGGCCAATCGAGAATCTAGGCACCTGGAAATGTTGCATGCTTCCGACACCCCAGTGGACAGCGCAAGGGATGTATTCCTCACAGTGTCATAGAGACATTCATCACCTGGACTTCTCCTGTCGACCAATTTAGTTGAATTGCATGTCAAAAGAGCCGTCATGCTCCACAATCGCTAGTTCCTCTACTTCCACAAAGAAGGCACTTATATGACTCCTCTTCAACGAGCTCTCTCCTACAGTGGCTCTTGCCCTGTTATCAACCCGGAGGCGTCGGTTCCATCTACCCCAGTGCTTTCAGGATAGTGGTGCTGTTGGCTACAAACCCTGCAAAACTTGTCAGCTAGACTTCAACTAACCCCTGATTCAGACCTACCATATCCGTCGGCATTGTATCGACACATTTCTTGAGCAAAAGGCGGACTTGTTGTCTGAGAGATGTCGTCGACATAAATCACATCATAGCCTAATGAAGATGGTCAACGCTCGTCTCTAAAGGGGCAAAAGACAGGTTTGCCCTTCTTACCTTTGAAGTAGGCATCCACCAAGGTAGACCAGACGCATTGATCGGCGTTGACACCACCGAAGAACAGCGTCGACACTTCGTTTTCTTGGAGCCAGAGTCCAAACGGCGTCTGTGGACCCCAGAGTCCGGATAGCCGGTTCTTGTTGAACAAGAAATCGGTGCCGGATGCGAGACCTTCATTCTTCAAAGCTTCCAGTGGGCCATAGGGCTCGGCGTTCCAAGATCCACGCATCAACATCCGGCCGACCTCGATCGTCGTCCCATTCTCCTTGATGGTACCCATGTCACTGCCAAATGTCTCATTGGCAAGATCCGAACCCCCACTAAATCCAGACTTGAAAGCGGGCGGGATTGTCAGCAGGTCATACTCTGTCAGTCCCCAGTTCACCCAGAGAACCTTCATGTTATGCTTGCGGAATCCGTTGATCATGTTGACCGTTGGCTGGACGGCACCCCGGCCGTTTTTAGCTGCCGCGTTTAAATCTGGATGCAGGAAGAAGTTTTGCATGTCAATGATCACCAAGCCGGTGCGGTTTGGTTCGATCTTGATTGATGATCGGTCGCCCATCATCGGCAGCACTTTGGGGGTTGTCACTGGGGAGCGGTTGCTGCGGGTGAGGTCAAAAGTTCCATTGGGCAGCTTGCTCCAGTAGTTGTAGTAGCTTCCCAGAGTGGTTGTAGCTTGCTCGAAGCCATCACCGACCAAGGCGTACACTTGACGCTCCTCCAACTCAACTGGGCTTGCCGAGCATAGAGAGCTAGCGACCAGAGCCGAGACAAGCAAGTGCAACGGCGAGAAGAATTTTGCGACACCCATATTGAAGACTTTGGCAAGGCTGAATACCGACAGGGGAGCCGACTAAAGTACTATGCAAGCACACGCACCAAGAAGCAACAATTCCATCTTGTTGACCTTTATACATTCTCATTCTTCGCTTGCTTCCGGTCAAATGCCGAAGGGAGCGGAGATGTGCATCTCTTCAACTTCCCGGGTGAAGCATTGAGTGTAAAGAAGAGATATCGCCATAGCCCAAATAGGAAGGCCAGGAGACTTGATAAGCAGAAGTTCGCTACTTACCCTCGCCCCTTACTTCAGTGGCTTCTCCAACCATTCTCCCCACACTTGGTTGAACTTTTGCTGACCGCTGTCGGCTTCAGCCATACCGAGGACACGGAATCTCAGTCATCCTTATCTTTGCCTATACCGAAATTTTGTTGGGTAATTGCGAACAAGAGTTGATGGCTTCTCGTCTTTCCTCTTTCCAGGTCCCAGACAGGAAAGAGAGACGTTTGATGAAAGTGCCGATCTCCATCCGACCACTGGTGAGTATGAAGCCCCCAGGCTGGCCAAGAGAAGGCCGTCGACCGGGTTTGGCGAGATTGGCACAGGTCGTTTACAAGGGTGACTCTGCGGTGCCGTGATGTTGATGGTGGATATGCCGAGTGACCTGTTAGGGTACGTTGTTTGCCGACTTGACTCAGCTGAAGATCGCGCGATCTTGTCTTCAAAGATGCGGTTTCGGAGAGGATGTAGTGCTGGTGAGAGATACTCTTGTGCTGTCACACATGCATTGGACCTGTCCCCTACTCGTTTGTGTGAGTGAGAGCATATATGAAGCCTTTTCGGATAGAAGTTGGCACGTCCTGATTCGAATGTTAAGCTCTAGCGACTGTAGCTGAGGAGTGCTTGATGACAATGACGAGGTGGCGATGAGGCTGTCATATCAGCACAGTAGCAGGGACAAAAGTCAGTTCTGCTATGAACTAAAGCAAAATGATCTTTTGCTGAAGTGAAGAGGACAGCAATCGACTTGCGCATGTCTATGAGCATGTTCATCAGAATTGGTCGTGAGTCGTGACCGGCAGAATTTGACATATTGCCTTCACTCACTGGCCTTCACTACCGCAACTATGACGAGTCACGAGTGGCAGGCACCTAGTCACCGGGTTTTCATGTTGCGACTTTTTTATCAAATGCAGATCCTTTCTCGAGCTCGGTTTCTATGCTAATCCTATTCGAATATCAATTTGGACTCGTCAAGATGATCCTTCAATCTATCATCTCATTATTCTTCCTTCTGGCGCTACCTGGCACGTTCGCTAAATGTTGCCGCGAAGATTCAGGAGGCGACTGCGGCGATAACTCTGTGGGAACCCCTTGCTGCGGATACAAAGCTTGCAACGCATTCTGTTGTTCTTGTCTTGGAGGTAAGTGAGCCTTGTTGCAGCCCTTCACCTAGGCCAGCCTCTGCCACTCAACCACCTATCCCAAAGGGATCTGTCCGGGACTGACCATCATCGCCAGTCTCGGTCATAGGGGAAATCATCGACAAAAGCACTACAGAATGGACGTCTGTCATCACCGCACCCTATGACTCGGTGCACTCTACTTTTGAGCAGTGGACCTGCCGTGCCAGCCACATTACGACATGGTATCCTCCTCCGACAAAACGCGCACTTCCCGAAGACGCGGTGACAAACATATCCAACTCCGACAAGCTGGTGGCAACAATCACAGAAAAGGCTCAGCCAACCTGGACGACGGCACTGTTGCATTCTGCATACAATCAAGACGCGCTTGTGGAATTGGAGGAAACATTTGATTTTGTGAGCAAGGGCGAAAAGAGGAACGGCACAAGCATTATCACCCTAGAGCAGTACTTCGGCTTCTTCAACGTTTCCAGCAATGGTACACAGACTGTATTCGGCAAATTTGTGGAGGCCAAGTTTCGAGCGCATGACAAGAACGGGGATGGGTTGCTAACGGTTGAGGAGGCTCAGTTGCTCTGTGACAGTGATGGGTGCTATTAAGCGCACATTCAGCACAAGTCTCTGCGAGCAAGTTCTGCGGTCTTTCGGGTTCGGTCTCTCGCTGTGTCGCTGCTGATACACCATGAATCGACCTTGCTGGAAGGAGAGCAAGGCACCATCACTGGGATGTGAGAGTTGGTCAGGCTGCAGCCTCGTCGGAATGGCGGATTCTCAGTTTATCCGCAAGGCAGAACTGCCAAGCACAAGCATTGTTACACGACGGCCTCATCTTCATCCTTCTTTGGAGTCACACAAATCAGAATGTCCCTCAAGACCTTGAATATCCCTTCGCAATAGAACCATACCAGGTAGACGTTTTCTTTCCTGTAGTTTCCGCTCTGATCATTATCCCTCGGACTGCGATTTCGCCGTCTCTGTCAATCTTACCAGCTCCCTTGCAAATGCCTTTGCTCGTTTAGCTACTCCGCAGTCCTCTGCCTCAACTGCTCGTCCGCTTTTTGTAGATGCCACTGTCAATACATCATGGATCTCGACTCGGAAGATACCTGGTCGGATACCTCTGAAGAGGAGGAAGCCGTGACTAACATGCCGCTTTTGTCTCGAGCCTACCAGATGGAGATGTTCAACCATAGCATGAAGGAAAACATTATTGCTGTCGTAAGTCTTCTGCGCGATTCAAACGGTGGGAGTCTGCTGACGATGGTACAGATGGCCACTGGCAGTGGGAAAACACAGGTGTAAGAGTTTCCCGCGACACTTCTCTTACCCATCTTCATCCATTAGGGTGGTCCCTGACACATGGACATTTGTGTCGCGGAGACTGAATTCCTGCGCCTGTTACTAGTGCCAAGCTGCGAATGGAAGCCGAACTGGAGCGTTCCCCAGGCAAGGTCTGTGTATTCCACATCTCCTATGCTCTCCGTTCGCTCACAATCTCGGCTAGATGGTGTGGTTTACCGCTCCCACTGTGGTCTTAGCATATCAACAGTACCGGTTCCTGTCCCAACAACTTCCGGCCTTCCAATTCAGGCTGATAACCGGCATGGACAGTGTTGATTATTGGACCACCAAGGACGTCTGGGATGTAGTCCTCCATAAAATTCAGGTTGTTGTTTCGACACCCGCGGTCCTGAACCAAGCTCTCGATTACGGTTTCATTTCCCTGGCTGACATTTCGTTGCTGGTTTTCGACGAAGCTCATCATGGTGTCAAGGAGTCTGCCCAGAACAAAATCATGACAGTTCATTATCACCCATATAATGTACCCGGATCTGACTTTCAACTGCCTCATATACTTGGCCTGTCCGCAAGCCCAATCACCAGAAAGGCAGCCTCGGAAAAGACAGTCTTGGAGAAGAATCTCAATGCGATTTGCAGGACTCCGTTGCAGCAGCTGGATGAATACACAGCTTTCGTGAACATGCCAGAGGTGATAAGATTGACATATAGCGCCGCTGACCAACCTCCCTCCAAATACTATTTCGCTTTAGCCAGCGTTGTCTCTGGCATCAACATCAACGATGACCCGATCATGAAGACTCTCCGCACGACAGATAATCCGAAAGCCCAAAGCAAGCTTGAGAAGATCCTGAAGAAGAACTCCACACCGGCTATGACAGAACTGCGGTCACTTGAACGGTCGAGCAGAGACATACAAGAAAATCTAGGCAATTGGGCCTGCGACATGCTCATCAAGAACTGTGTTGAGAAGGTTGAGAAGAAAGAACTTGTCATACTTGACCAATCAGCCGCAAACTCATCTCCCTCTCAATACTACCGATTTATAAAATCCTGCCTTCAGCCTCTTCATGAGCAGATACTGTGCAATGGCCTCACCATCTCTGCGGAGCATGACATTTCACCAAAAGTCCAAATGCTTCTTGCCTTCCTCCAAAATGAACACTGCCCAGACCTCAGCTGTCTTATTTTTGTGAAAGCAAGGAATACAGCTTGGTTACTCGCTGAGGTTCTCAACAATCACTCGCTCACCAGAGGCTCCTACAAAGCATTTTCATTCATGGGAGTGCGTATTCCATCTCATGAGGGTATTTTTGATTTTGCAGATCTACGCCTTCAGCATGACAACCTCGAGAGATTCCGAAGGGGGGAGCTCAATGTTTGTGTGGCAACTTCAGTACTCGAAGAGGGCATTGACGTGCCTGCAATGAATCTCGTGATCTGCTTTGATGAGCGGCCAACTTTTCGAAGTTTCATCCAAAGTCGAGGCAGAGCCCGCCAAAAAAGTTCAAGGTTGGTGCTCTTTCAAGAGACCGCCGTCAAGCTGCAGCAATGGCAAGCCCTGGAGGACGAGATGACGCAGGAGTATGAGGACTCTCTTCGGGAGCTTGAAGAGCGACAGCGCATCGAGAACGTGCATGAATCTGACGGGGAAATCTTCAGGGTTGAGTCTACAGGGTAAGTCATAAGATAGCACGTGATGATCTTGTTGTCGACCTCAGTGGCCTGTTTGAGGCTAATGACCACAGTGCCACCTTGACTTATAGCGGATCAAGGCAACTCCTCGCTCGATTTTGCGCAAAGCTACCGAGAACAGATGAAAGCGAGCAATCGAGCCCGATATTCTGCGTCGAGGGCGAACCGGGCGTCGAGGTTGCGGCTAAAGTCTACCTTCCAACCACTCTCCCTCCGGGCTTGCAGAATGCAGAGTCAAAGTTTAGCTGGCGAACGGAGAAGAAGGCTAAGCAAGACGCCGCCTTCCAGGCTTATCTAGCACTCTATAAGGCTGGACTTGTAACGGAACATCTGCTGCCTCCAGAGTGGCCGAAGGAAGCAGATACCAACTGCTCAATCGAACAGAAAGACAGCGACGACGCAATCGAAAAGAGAGAGAGCGACTACAATGTGCAGAGTCAACAAGACCCATGGCCGATGCTCATGGAGTTGTGGACAACCTCTGACATAGTTTATGCTCACCGTCTTAAAGTCGAAGCGGCCGACTGTGCTTACCCTACTATGCTCCTGCTTCTTCCTCAAAAAATCTCCAGTCTCAATTTCCCCCTTGTCACTACTTCATCTAGTTGGATGCAAGTTAGTGTGAGCAGCGGGATGGAGATACATGAGTTCCCCAAAGATCTGGGCCGGGATATAACTTTTCTTGTCCTGGAAACAGTACTTGGAAGAAGGCTACAACATCTTCAGAAAGAACTGCTCCCGTTTTTGCTCGTCCCAGATCTGGACTTACCATCGATCCGAGATTGGTATCAGAGGGCATCTAGCAATACATCAATGTCAAATTTTCTGGAAACAGGTTCTGTCCATGAAAAGCAATATCTTGTACTGTCAAGGAACCATCATGTTCCTCATGTATGGCAGCCCGTCGTTCAACAAAAGGATGCCAACCATCATGGACAGCAACTCGAAAGAACGGACGGTATGACCGAAATCGTTGCAACGAGACTTCCCAGGAGGCTAGACTATTTGACCCTTCCCGCGTCAACAAGTTCCGACACGTCTACACTACTACCTGTGGAAGATTGTTCGGTATTAGGGCTACCCGTAGAATACGGTCGGCTAATGTTGCTCATACCATCGATCACGCACATGCTCGAAGTTGCTCTGCGCACTATGGAAGCGTGTAAAGGGCCTTTGCTCAGCCTTGGCTTTGACAGTGTCGATCTCGTGTCCGAAGCAATAACACTTCCAGGGACGGGTAGCCGGAATTATCAGCGACTCGAGTTCCTCGGAGATGTGTTACTCAAGTTTTATTCTTCGTTACAAGTCTTTGTCGATTCTCCGAACCATCCAGAAGGCCAGCTCACTCTGTATCGCGGTAGGATCATCAACAATGCGCGGCTGCAACGAGCGACCCGGGCCATTGGATTAGATCAGTATCTTACTCGAACGCGATTCGCAGCCAACCAATGGTCAATTGGTGTCCGCGACCCGAGAGTACGGGCTAGAAAGCCGCCGCAGAAACGGCTGTCGTCGAAGACATTGGCAGATGTGGTCGAAGCCTTAATCGGAGCTGCAAGTCTTAGTGGGATTCGCTCAGAAGACAAGGAAGCAAAGGTGCTTTCAGTGCTAAGTTTGTTCATTGACGAGGTCCAGTGGAAGCCTATGTCGGAGAATATCGCCAAATTCCAGCCACCAGAAGTCCCTTCGAGTCAGAAACATGAAGCATTGAAGCCAGTCGAGTCCTTAATCGGCTACACCTTTGCGAATCATGGTTTCCTGGTACAGGCTCTGACTCAATCCGCATTTGGGGGACACGCGCTCTCGTCGTACGATCGGCTTGAGTTCCTGGGCGACGCTGTGCTCGACTGCATTGTGAGCCCGAAGCTTTTTCACAGCTCTCTTCAACTCGACCCAGGTCAGATGACAATACGCCATCACGCCCTGGTCAGCCATGTCACATTAGCGTTCTTTGCCCTCCAGACATCAGCTACCCGCAGCACATATGATGTGCAGACGGACCTCTGCACAAAACAAACCGTGAGTTCGGAGAGGACTGAGACAGTCTACCTTCCCGACCATATCAGACGAATTGGCAACAGCCTAGCGCCCTTGCAGCGACGAGCCACATTGGCAGCCTACGAAGAAGTGCGGTCCTCGGTCCTCGCGAGTTTTGAAACCGGCAAGAAATTTCCCTGGAGCGCGCTCTCCCGCGTGGGAGCACCGAAATGCTACTCGGACGTCGTGGAATCGATCCTCGGCGCCGTCTTCCTTGATTCCCGTGGCGACATGACGGCTTGTGAAGCGGTGCTCGAGCAAATGGGGTACATGAAACTGGTGCGCCGCCTTACAACGGACAAGGGGATCGATGTGCTCCATCCCGAGCAGGCACTTGCGCATGCTTTTACGAAATATGACCTTATAGCGCAGGAGAGGAAAAGGACAACCACCACCCTTGGCGATTCTGGCAGCGGAAGTTGGAGGTGCAAAGTCATGGTTGAGGGGGAGAGGATCGCGTTTGTCAAAGGTGCAACCTGTAAAGAGGAGGCACAATGCTGCGCGGCAGAGAAGGCGTTGGCGGTGGCGAACCGCAAGAGGAAGTGGGAGACTGTCGAGCAGCAGGCCGACGGGGATGGCGAGGACGACGACGAAAACGATGACGAGGAAGGCCGAGATCGTGAGGAAGAGATGTCAGACTAACTAGGTACGATCGAAGATAGAAAGACTTCATGGCTCGCTGCATGTGGGAGGGAAAATGTACTCAGGACTTGCCGACTCGACAGTGAGGGGGAATACCCAAGGTCGTTAGAATGGCACTCTACTAATAATGATTATGACCATTATGATCAGTTACGGCTTCGATGCCTTCGGCCAATATTGGTTGCTAGCTACCTGTAGTTGAGTGCCCGCCTGCCCCCTTTTGATTCCAGATTTTGACACCAGCAAACGCCTCAAGCTGAAACAACGTCTAGAAGTCTTTTCATCATACAGAGGACATGAACGTACTGTCCGGCGGATACGGCCACGAACGTTTGCAGCCCGCCCGGGAGCATTTAGCAGCATGTACACGGATCGTTCTTCGTTTTATTTGGCCTGCCTTTTGGACCCTTTCGCTGCTCTCACGACCCTGGGCCTGTCCCCGTTTTTCATTTTTCTCTTCTCTTGTATATCGTCTCAAAAGTCCATCCCGACGAGGTACCCTTCGAAAATGCGCATAAACTTTGCCACGAAAGCCTCGAGGTGGAAAATGACTTTACTGCCCAGCCTGACGCGGTGCTCGTAGAACGCCGCCCACTTGACGACCTCGGCTTTGAGTTCGTCTGCGACTTCGGGCTGCGCGACGAGTTTCCAGGTCAGGGTCTTGAGGATCAGCGTCGCGGGTATGCAGTGCGTGAGCAGGTCGTACAGCTTCGCCCGCGTCGCGAGGATCATCTGCGGCGTGCGTTCGCGGACGATGTCCCTGGCGACCTGTTCGATCAGGAGTTCCCAGTCTGGCGGCGGTATCGGCGTCTTCTCGCTGGGCTCGGGATGTTGGGCGTACACGGCTTCAAACATGAGCAGCGCTTTGCGCAGGTTGCGACCCGATTCCCTTGCGATCCGCTCGTTGAGGGCCGGGATGACTTTCCAGTTCTCCTTCTTGCCCGCCTTCACCAGGGCGTCGCAGATTTCCGTCTCCGTGGGCGCGGCGACCCGGACGAGCAGCGTTCGACTGCGTATGGGCGCGATGATGCCGGCCGTGCTGTTCGCCACCAGGATCAGGCGCACGTTGGCGCTGTATTTCTCCATCGTCCTCCTCAACGCAGCCTGCGCGTCGCGACTGAGTCCATCCGCTTCGTTGATGACCACCACCTTGAACCGCTGCTTCGCACTGAGATCGATCTGTTGCGTCTGCGCGACTTCCTTGAGCAGATCTTGAATGACCACGCGATCGTAGGAGCCCACGTCGCTGGGTGTGATTTCGAGATGGTAGACTGAGGAGACGATGTTGAATTCCAACTTGCGATTCGAGCTCGTCGTGAACATGCGCGCGTCAATCTTGATCTTCTCCGCGCCACTGCCGTACAGCGCCCGCAGTGTCGCGAGCACTCGTGTCTTTTTGCCTGCTCCGGAGGGTCCGTAGAAGAGGAGATGGGGGAAATCGGCCGAAGACGCCTGCGGGTTGTCAGCATTCGCATTCGCATCACTTTTGAGCAGCATTGGTATGGATAATTGCTGCTAAAACAGGTGGGAAGAGGCGTTTACCAAGGCCGCTAAACGGTCTGAGAGGTCTCTATGGTATGTGAGAGCATCAAGAGATCGAGGGCGGAGTTTGTCGACCAGGAGCGCCATGGCTAGATGTTTGGTGCCGTGTGGGATATCTGGATACCTGGTAGTTTTCGGTGGTGGTATTGAGGTTGTGGGCGATGTACCGAGTTCTCTGTACAAAATTATGAGCGACGCGTCCGGGGCGCGTAAAGTGGTTTGCGTGACGTCAATTACCGGCTTAGAGTAGCAAGAGGAGGGAGCCGCACCACCGCTGCCTCTTCACCCTGAACGTATGCAAGGTGAACGACGAGCAGCTACTGCTGTGAAGGGGAGAATTAATGCTCCCTACCTAGGTAATGATGATTGGTACGCTTGGTCTAACAATCACGAGCTCTAAATGCGAAATGGAGAAGACAAAAGTGACAGCATTGCCCTGGCATCCAGGTCACCAGCGAGACAGCGAGACAGCGAGACAGCGAGACAGCGAGAAGGTGGCATTGGTAAGTTGCAGCTGAACCCGGGTTCATGTCCATTGGACCTGTACCGCTGTTGCTTTGCTTGGAGTCCAGGCCTCGTGCGATTCATCTCCCAACGCTCTGACTGTCCTGGAACCATCCCCTCAGGCTTTGTCCCCGGCAAGCAATTTCTCCACCGCCGAGACTTTATCCTCCATGGTCTGCGCTTTATCTGTGCGAGAGCCTACACGTATGTCGCTTTGGATACGTACCACGCCCTTCTGATGAAGAAGCGTGTGTGCTTGGCCGATCAATCGCATGACATCGTCCCAAGATCCTTCTGTTTCAGAGGTATTAGCGAAGAACATGTGCGGTGAAATGCTATATCGAAACACCAAAGCACCATCCACAGGCACGGCAAAAAAAGGCCTCATGATCCACGTCCGCCGCATGCAATGAAAAAGCAATGCACTGCTGACTCACCGACAGTCGTTCCGGCTGAATGCATGCTATACTTCAGTCCGCTTCTCTTCATCAGGCGCTGCACCTCTGCAATTTCCGCCGACACGGAGGCTGTGGGTGTGCCGAGCGGGATGAGGCAAAAGTCTGCAGTGCATTTGGGTGGTGTCACAAGGTCGATCTTCTCTAGAGACATTTTGTATCTCGGACTCGGCTCCCAATAGGTAAAGTGTGAGAGAGTTGACTTGATTTGGCAGGAAATTCACCTCTGCTAATGGTGAATACCTATGACTGTCAATGTTCAAATTTCTACGACGCTCGCTCGCACATGTCCTCGGAGCAGCTCTACGCCACACATGGCGAGACGGCAGCCCCGCCTCGTCGCAGTTCCCACCCGTAATGTGGCTGTGCAATTCACACCAGTGACCGGAGCGATACACAGGACAGGATAGGGGCCTCGCACTTTGTTGTTAATCAAATCCCGATGTGCAAAGCACAGTTACTGACATTCAAACCCAGGAGATATTTAGGGAGACAATCATTTGAGATCCTGGCCATGAGGCTGGACCTGCCCGGTGGCTAGACATTATCCACTAATGGAATACAACAATTTACATGGTCATCAACATAAGGTCATAAGATTGCCACCCGGTGCTCTTTACCCGCTGGAGGCGTCCCGGTCGAGGTTTGCGCAGCATTCCGTCAATGCTCCCGTCGACACTTCTGTCGACACTGTTATCAGCTTTTCTCACGCAAGTCTAACTCCATCTCGGACAGTTTGGGAGCAGACCCTATGCAAGAGAGTGACTGCGCGACATAGATCGAAAATGCGGAGAACCTGCGCTTCAACAGGTTTCTTGAAGGTATTTGGACAACTTGTCCACATTGTTGACTGACAAGCAATGAATCCAAGCTGATAAAAGTGCAAGATGAGAAGGTCTCCCGTGTCAAATCAGATTGGATGGTCGCCATTTGCGGGCGCTGGGCATCTTAGAGTTTTCTCGGTCTGTAGTCACCAAAGATGGAAACCTGTTCACCGTGGACCACGTACAAGTCTCGCGGGAGGTCGGGAAACTGGTCGAAGAATTTCGAATGAAGCTTGAAAGGGTTTTCGAGCTGTCTGAACGCCAGGAGCAAGTGTGTCAACACGTTTTCGTTGACTCGGCGGTGGTGGCTCAGGCCCGTTGTTGTGAACGAGTCTACACCCGTCCTGTGGTCGACGTACTCTTGCAAAAGGACATACACCACATGGTCTGTCGGACGCTTTCGCCTCAAATATTGGTCGCTAGAAGTATTGGTCGCACTTCTCATTGATCGACCAGGTCCTGCTGCTCCTGCAGTCTCGCGCTCTCTGGTCGCCTGCCCGAAACTTATTGGTGCAATTCCATCATTGCCAGGTTCTACATCTGGATACGCGTGTGCGAAATCCATCTCAAGGCAGAAGCTCGTATTCAACTCGAGGCAGACTTTGTTCAAATCATACCTTTCGGGATTCAGCACAAGGGCATCCCGGATCTTGGGAAATGGTAACCAGTCGACGATGGGCCAATGATGCCTGGTCATTTGGAGACGGCTTGGACGGTAGCACAGTGGGAGTTGCATGTAATGTTTGGCGGTTGGCTCGATGCGCCAACGGGTGATGGGCCCGAGTTTGTCCCAGCCGCTGACTGCGTTGCAGAAGAGACTGAGACGCTCCCATTTCTCGGACGAGGCGAGGGATTGCAGCATTCTAGCTATCAGGCTGTCGAGACTGATGGTGGCTCTCATGGTTAGCCAGATTCATTCCGCGCTGTGTCAGGTCTGCTGAAGAGCAGCACACAGCACGCGCTCGTTAACAGTCGTACCTCTGACAATGGGCGGGATCCTCGGCAAATTCCTGTATCATGATCTGGCGCACGAGCCCTTCGTGATGGATTATGTCCAAGCAGGCATCGGAAGGTCTGCCTACGGGATAGTTGCTGGAGGTGTCGTTCAGTGAGTCCGTGATCTCGCAGTTGCGGGAGAATGAGATGGCTCCTGGCGCTACTGGGTCGCGCTGCGATTGTGTCACCACATGCGCAGAATCCGTCGGCTCGTGAAGATGGTCGACGAACAGATCTGATAGAGGACCCGAGTTGTACAAGCCATTCTTGGCTGAATCGCCTGGAGACCTGGGAGCTGTTGGTACAGCACTGGGGTTAGTCGGACCTGGCGCCAAATTGTCCTGCGCCACAACGTGTTTCTCTTACGAGGAGCCACCGCATTTAGTGGGAATGGGGATGTATATCCCAATGCGGTTGAGTACGAATGTGGTCTCGAATATTGGTCGACATAATCGGTGAGCTGATTGAGATTCCGGGTGATTTCGACGAGGCGCTGTCGAGTTGTCGAGAGGGATTCGGTCAGCTGTCGATTCCGTTCTTCCAAGCCGCCGACATCTATCTCGTTGGTCATCTCGGCGACTCGATTCCGCCCTGAAAGACCTAGGATTCGGTTGGTGGAAGAAATGGAGAAACGCAGATACCAGGGCTGTTTCGATTAATTGACCGCCGACAAGGAAAGTTGGATTTGCCCAGAGAGCCCTGTGGACGTATTAGTCGGTACCCATCCAAGTCAGGTCGCTGCGAAGGTTACGCTGGACGTTCCGACTCTGCCAATGGATCTACCTAGATTATGGTTTGACAGCCGTGACAGGTCGGAAAGATCTAGGCTGTCTCTAGCAAGCCTCGGGTCAGCCAAAACAAGCGAGGACGAAGCCCCAGGGTCCATGACTTCGTGTTGAGCTCCAGTCGGCGGCAGAATGCGGGTCGTCCAGCCCCAGCCTCGCCAATCATAACAATCCCGAAGCGTCCATTTCCACGCAATTGTCTCCCGTGGGGATTGGGAATTGAGGGGGGCGATTTGAGGGGTTTCCGAAGCATTGGCCCCGTGGCTCCATGCCTCGTCGAAGGTTGGTGGCCATTTTGGTGGGCTTGTTTGTCTCTTGCGACAAAGAGCAACGGTTGATTCCTGCTTTTCCATCCGTTCTTTCGAGACAGACATAGGCTATTCATCATGAACGATTCTGCACCCCCGGTATCCACCCTGGCGCTGTTGGACAAGTCGCCAAACCATGTCTGCCATATCTGCGCCAAGTCTTTCGCTCGAAGAGATGTCTTGAGACGACACGCCCGGCATCAGCATGGAGAAGCTGCTTGCCAGAAGATGAGCCCACGATCACGGCGAAAGAGCTGCCTTCGTTGCGCGCTGTAGGCCTTAGCCGTCCCGGATCTGGTTTCCCAGATCTTAAAGAAGGCTGAGTCACTGACGGATGTCCAGGCACAAGATCAAGTGCACGAGGGAATCGACCTGCCAGGAATGTGGAAAGAACGGATTGCTCTGCCAGTATAATTTCGAGCCGTCGTCCAAAAACATAGCGCCCAAAGAGTGCGACAGTCATCTACTGCCGCTTGAGGGAGATCGACATCCTCCGTCGTCGCCCAAGCGGCCCAGATTACAGCTTGAGCATTCAGTGACTTCTCCTGAGCTACACCTGACATCCGCGAGTCCGATGCAGTCTCAGACACCACCGAGTTTGGAAAATCGATCAAGCCCGGGGGTGTGTATCCTTCTTTAACAACAGATTTCTGTGCTAATCTGATACAGTGGAGCTCTCCGGGGAATCGCGAATTCTACAGCGGCATCGATGCTCCAGCTGTCGTGAGTATACACCGCTGAGCGATATTCAGGCCTTACTCTGTTACTAAATATTCTGTTACTGGTCTGTAGGTATCTCAACCCGACGTTCCCTTTGGTTTTCAAACTACGACAGGTTCTCATGGCGATGACAATGATATCATTCGGGCAAGTGAAAACCATGGCGTGGATAGTTATAACCTTTTTACGCCTTCCAAGCATGACTCTGAGCTCATGAGACACCCTTATATTGGCCTAGGGCGACGCGGCTCTGGCCACATGGCTCCAGAACATTGGGGTTTACTTTTCGACATGGAAGACACTCATGCTGTCGACCTCACATCTCGCACCACATCAGAGAGTCAAATGCCCGATATGTCTGACGGGGCTTTCCCAGAATTCACCATCACCCCAGAAGATCTAGCAATTGTGGGTGGTGCACCCCAGCCGACCTCCGGGACATGGCTTCAAGCTCGCCCACCGCTTAAGGAATTCTTAGAAGATCGGGAAGGCCTCCAAAACCATAAAGATGCAGTGACTCCCGTCGTTGCAGACACGCGGAGCCCTCTGCTTGAAGATATATATTCATCTGTCATGAGTGGTAGTCCGGAGTTTCCCGGGACTGATAACGGCAGCCAGCCTACCATTGAAGCAGGACAGAGTCTGGCCCTGAGAATCCACCGAGTACTGCAGCAGACCTTGACTGATCAAACTGGATTGTCCACGGATGCCCTTCCCTCTTTCCCAAGCTCAGTCCAGCTCTCGGCCTTCTGGGATCTGTATTTTGTTCATTTTGACAAGGTCAGTATCGCTATCTCTGCAGTGTTGTGAACTTTCCACGCTAATGAAACCACAGCATTGTCCCATCCTGCACCGCCCCTTGCTGAAGCCTTTGGCCTGTTCGCCCCTGATTGCTGCAGTTGTGACCGTAGTTGGGGCCAACTACGCAGAAACGGCGCAAAGTAGACAGTTTCACCAACAAGGAACCTCCAAGTTGTGTGCGCTACTGCAGACTTCCATTGGCACCGAAAGAAACAATCGAAACATCGAAGGATCAGTGCTGGCTGCAGTCTGCATTCTTCTCTGTCAGGCAATACGCAGCCGGAAGAGTGACCAGGCACAGCTTCTGACGACACTCCTCCACGTGAACACATCCTACCTTGAGATGATTGGACTTTTTCGGCAGCAAGACGAACATGTCGCAAAATTAAATTCCAGCCGGACGATTCCAGTCAACAATAGACCCCTTCGAGACTGGATGGCGCAGATCAAACAAGAAAACGATCTGGAAATGCATCAGCGTTGGCTTACATGGGGGAAGGAGGAGACATGTAGGCGACTTGCGTGGGCTTATCTCGTATGTTCTTTAATCATTCTTCTTTTTTTGCTTCTTATTCTCGCGCAAAAAAGGGGGGAGCTGAATCTCTCGCAACAGACGTACAATTACCTGTCCGCGGCATTTCTCCATGACAGAGTCGCCCCGGAACCCGAGGCGCCTGATCTCCAAATGCCTTGTGAAGACAACATGTGGGAGGCCGGAAGTGCGAGAAGCTGGTCAACGTGCTTTCCGTGGTCACACAATCCGCTACCCCAGCTGCCATTCCGTGCCACGTTGCGAGGACTCCTGCATCAGACGGTCGCTCTGCAGGATGTGTCGCGCTTCGGGCGCCTAGTCTGCGCTGCCCTGGTTCATTACGAGCTGTGTAGAGGATGTTCGTCGAAGGACGAAAGCGAGAGGAAGAAGAAAAGCATTCCACACCTCATCAATGATGGTGGGACCGAGCAAGTATTAAGGCTGGCGGCTGACCTGGCAGACTCGTTCAAGAGAGATACGTGTACCCGGAGCCAACTCTAAGTGGTCAAATCATGTGAACAAGGCGGTACAGCTGGCCACCGAGACGGCCTCACTTTGATTCTATATCTCGAACATTACCGCTCTCGGTCTGGAGCCAGTTCCGTCAAACAATCTCTTCTTGTCTGAGCTGTCTTGCATCATCTCAGCTGTGTCTACAAGATTGGCATATTTGGCTTCGACTACATCCTTTGATGCCGAGCTCTTATATCATCTGCGTCATTTTCTCCTTGATCTTCACTGCCACCGTCTTTGCCGCCATCTTGAAACTACTGTTTCATAGGCATTCAGCTCATCACCAACGCACCTTCCTCTTGAGCTCCAAAACCCAAAGACCACCATTGCAGCGAACATATCTTTGTTTGCAGATTCTGTTAATCACGCTCCACTCATGCTTCCTCCATCACAGCTGAGAACGTGGCCTGTGACGAACGATGCGCTGTCACCGAGAAGGAAAATGACGCTGTCGGCCAGCTCGTGCGGTTTGCCCATCCTCCCCATCGGTGTGACGGAGCCCAGTCGATCGGCGACTTCTGGGAACTGCTTAAAAGTTGCTCGTTGCATGCCAGATTCTGTGAGTCCTGAAGTGGTCAAAAGAGAAAAGGATTTGTACGTTAGCACTTTTGTTCCCTTTCTCTAGTCCCTGCGAAAGTAAATCCACCACAGACTTGGACTTACCAGGAGCCAGGGAATTCACACGAATGCCTTCTAACGCCCAGTCCAGCGCCCAAGTTCGAGTCAGCCCGATTACGGCGTGCTTCGCGGCGCTGTACACGGCCAGACCCTTGACAGCGCGCAGACCCGCGCCGCTGGACGTGTTGACAATTGCGCCACCACCTCCTTGCTTCTTGAACTGCCAATACGCCTCGGTCCCGCAGTTCCAGACGCCCGTGACGCAGACGGCAAAGATCTTCTGATACAGCTCGTCGCTGACAATGCCGCCCTCGTAGGGGCAGATGCCGGCGTTGGCGCACATCCCGTCCAGCCTGCCAAACTTGGCCACAATTTCCTCCACCCAGCGATGGACCTGCTCTCGAGAGGAGACATCGACATTGGTGAACATCAGGTCTGGCACGTCTTGCAACTCGGCTGGCCGGGGGCTGACGTCGGCGACAGCGACTTTTGCTTTGAGGAGAATCAACTTCTGCGCGATGCCGAGGCCGATGCCTGATGCACCGCCCGTCACGGCAATGACTTTGCCTTGGAGCGAGTTGCGCTCCATTTTTGGACTGAGGGGTTAACAAAGCTGTGTCGGGTTCGCTCTGGGCAAAAGATGATTGTGACTGTAGGCTTATGATAGAAAAGGTTTCGCCCACCATCTCGTGCCTCTCCGCAATTGACAGCTAGTCTAACTGTCTATATCCAAGACCCACGCGCAGAGAGGTGCTTCCGGCGGAAATGCGACATGCCACGCAAACGCCGAGTTGGGAGCGGTAGTCCAAGGTGTGGCGTCTTTCGTCCAGTACTGACTCGCGGAGGAGCCAGGTGACAGAGGAAATGCACACTCAAGCGAGAATTTTGTCAGTTTCTTATTCCATGAGGCTACTTTTTTACAGCACAGCTATGGCATTCGGCGGACTTGCGACTCCTCCGGTTACGTTTAGAGGCGCACTCGTGAAGAAAAAGGACCACCGCCGTTCTTGCTGGCAAAGGACTGACAAATCCTCCAGATTCCACAGTTCACCCAGGGGCATGCCAAAATGGACCAATATCCACTCATGCAGCACCACCTTGGACTCGTCCCCCCACGGAACAGGGCAGACTTCAAAGCCTGGGGCGTCGGTGGCGACGGCCGCGACGTGTCTGTTCCAGAGCCACCGGACGGCTGCCATCGACTCCTCGACGCCAATGAATGCTTCCCCTTTAATCACAGTGGTTCGCTCTTCGGTCGGGGCCGAATTGTACCATGCGCTGTAGCCCGTGCGAAGGAGGAGGATGTCGCCTTGCTGGATTTTCACCTTGAAATGTGTGGCCATCTCATCCAATTCCGTCACCGTGATTGCGTGGCTTGAGCCTGCATTGACCCGGCTTTGTCCAGTCTCTTGTCGCCAAAGCGGATAGTCCAAAAGGACACCGCGGCCAACGATGCCGCCTCTCTGCAACCACCCTGAGCCGGCCAATTGCTCCAGTCAGCCACTATCCTCGGACCAGGCAGAGGTGAAGGAAACATCGAAATACGAACTATGCGTTCCATTTCTCCCGTTCCTGTTCTTCAACACGTCCTCAAATTTGAGGTCATTGTAGAAATACCCGTCTTTTTGGGTCGCGCAGTGTGTCAGGCCGTCCCACTGGGAGCTGCTTTGGGTGTTGAAATGCAGCTCGTCGTCGTAGACATACATGCCCGCCAGGGTGCGATAGTTGATCACTTTCTGCTCGAGCTCGCGGCGGACGCCGAGGCGCTCAGTGAAGTGGTCTAGCGGGTAGTCCAAGGATGCGGACCTGCCGCTCTTGACCTCGGCGGCTGCGCGCTGGACCGTGTCTGGAGTGAGAAGATTCAAGGCTGTGTTCGCGGAAATCAGAAGCCCGTTCAGGAGAGAGGACAGGAGTGAAGGTCCTTTCCTTGAAGGGGCGGACCAACTATTCTGCTAAACTCACTTCCGATTTCGTCGTCTGCGCCCCAGAACCCCCAGGTGTTGCCCTGCGGTCGCCCCTCCACTGGTGGCAGGGCGTCGAATTCAGGGAGATCTCTCATTTTGTGGTGGAAAGGATAACACGGTCGATGATCAGTGGAAGTAATATAGCTCGGGCGAAGAGAGAAACAATGGAAGCGCTCGCACTTTGCTGAAAAAGGATGCTGAGAGCGCGCGGATCACATTCACGCCGCAGACTGCCATGCACCCACCTGTGGACATGCCCCAGAGAGTCTTTGTTGCTGGTGTCTCAATCATTGCATGTGCAGGAGCGACTCGAATGGATTGCACCACAACGAAAGCGGAGTTTCACACCCAGCCATTTATCCGAATTGGGTAGGCAGAGACCCGCCGGAATATGGTTCTTAAGATGGTCCAGTCTCCGACCGGAGCGTCTTGCTGGGTGTAGACCGTATCCGGAGTTATTGGATACCGTGTGAGATCCCTCCTGGCCACCTCCCCGTATGACCGTCGTTGTGATGAAAAGGGGGCCGAGTAGAGTTGTTCCTGTGTGTGTATCTAATGTAGAACAACACGAACATTGCCTTTCTGGTCCAAAAGTGCAGGTTGAAAGCAAGCTTTCATACGTCCTCGACCATGTCGCTTCTACTGCCAACATGTTTTTGGGCGGTTCTCAGCGGTTTGGTATTTTTGAAACCTAGCTCTGTCTGATAGAGACAAACACTAACCTGATTAATAGGCCGCTCATTTGAAGTACAAGCGACGAGAGCCGACTCTTTTGTAAGTTTGGATGGTATACAATGTTGACGAAAGCGCTAAACTAATGTCCTCGTCAAAGCCGGTATCTCGCTGAATTGGCGACATTGCTCGTGTTAGCCTCTGTGGGCCTGTTCTATCAGTCCAGAGTGTTCACCACAAGTGTAGCGCTCAGCGCTCTCTTCATTACACTGCATCTCTTTGCGCTGGCGTAAGTGCCGCTTGGATCGTGTAGCAAAGTGAGTGAGTCTTTTCTGACCTATGGGTAACCATACAACAGTTCAAGCATTACAGTGTATCGACTGTTCCTTCACCCACTCAAGGACTATCCAGGCCCGTTGCTGGCCAAGATTACCAAGTGGTATGGCTTTTACCTGGTCAGTTTTGGGAAAACGTACATCGATTACGCCCAGCTTCACGAAAAGTACGGCGACGTGGTTCGCATCGGCCCCAACGAGCTGTCTTTTGCGGACCCGGAATCCGTGAAATACATCCATGGATCGGCGGCAAATAAATTGGCTAAAGGACCAAATTATGATACTCGCTTATGGGCAGATGGCATCAGTCTTGGAGACGAGAGAGACATCGTGGCACATCGAATACGCCGTAAATTCTGGGACAAGGGCCTCGCTATAAAGGCCATAACATCCTACGAACCCAGGCTTGTCCGGATTATCAACGTGTTGAAGAGCAAATTCGACGCCTACGCCGGTAAGTCACCCATTTACAGAGAGAAGTCAAGGGGTTAGTTGTGGTTGCTGAGATTATTACGTGCCAAAGGAAAGGAAATCGACGTCGGGGCGTTCATCGACTACTTCGGTTTCGATGCCATGGCTGACCTTGCCTTCAACGAGACATTCTCCTTCATCGAGAACGAGGACTCTGGGGAGCTGGCGGTCCTGGTCCGCAAGGGTCTCAAGATGACCGAGCTCGTTCGGAACGTGCAGTGGCTGGCCCCGATATTCAAGTACCTGCCCATGGACCCCGAGGACAAGGCGCAGACGGAGCGATTTGCACGGACTTCGGCAGAGCATTTCGAGAAGAGACTGGCCATGGGGACGAAGCCAACAGACCTCTTTACGTACCTACTGGCGCACGATGAGAACGGAAAGTGAGCTTCTGATTGTTTTTGTTATTGAAGATCGCGAATGTGACAAATGCTGATAAAGGTTATTAGGACGCTCGCAAAAAAGGACCTCGAGTCAGATTCGCCCGTCATCATCGTCGCGGGAAGTGATACAACTGCCGTCTGTCTCAGGTTCGTTCATCATGCTTTTGGTAATAACCTATAGCAACGAGCTGACGGTCAGGAACAGTTTCGTCTTCTACTTTGTCTCCAAGGACCCCGCCATCCAGAAAAGACTTATTGAAGAAGTTGATAAAGCCTGGGCAGAGCATGGAGCCGGCCTCGGAGGCCGCAGCCTAGGTACATAATCTCCTACACCTTGTCATTCGTCAAATGTATGTTAGCTTGCGATCGAATCTAACACTTCTGTTTCCACCACGCGAACAGGGCCCGACAAGATGCCATACTTGAACGGAGTCATCAATGAGTCTCTACGCATGGCCCCGCCCGCCCCCAATGGCAATCAGCGCACGACGCCTGAAGGCGGTTGTGTGGTTTCCGGCCGCTACCTGCCCGCGAACACGCAGGTGTCGTGCCAACCGACCTTCATGGCGCACGACGCGCGGAGCTTCACCAAGCCGGAGCTGTTTGCGCCCGAGCGCTGGATCGATGAGGAACGCAACCCGGCGTGGACCCACGATACCAGGTCCTTCATCCCGTTCAGCGCCGGACAGTACATTTGCCCCGGCAAGGCGCTGGCGTACCTCGAGATGCGGCTACTGCTGGCGCACGTCTTCAAGGACTTTTGGTTCGAGATGGCCCCCGGCTTTGATCACGCCGGCTTCTGGCTCGGCCTGCAGAGCTACATGGGGTACATGAAGAAACCGATCCCTCTAACGGTCCGTAGGAGACAGCGTGAGGAGATACTGCCGAATTGACAGTGTGCAGATGCTCGGATGGATATGGGGAGGCGGATACTTGTCTTGTGGCTGGGAAGCTGGGATTGTGGTCTCTCTTAAGGAGAATTTTTAGTACTTGACCATAGACAGTGTCGGAGATCAAGCTGTAGATCTACACATGCCAGGGCGGAGCATGGTTTTCTGACTCAGTTTGATACAAGTGTCAGGACTAGCCCTCGCTCCCAGCCAAGTTCCTCGCCAAACGAGTAGCAGATTGCTAATTACTATAGACTACAGCATATAAGAAAGGTTCGGGACACATAACATATCTTCCACTACAAGTAGGAGAATTGTTGTTACTTTGGCCGCGTTACAATCTGGGAGGCACTTGATCGTTTTCAAAAAATTCCGGTATAAGAGCCAGGATCGCTGGAGTGCGAGGTAACCGCATCTCAAAATTGCGTTATCACAAATACTTCGTTGTCACGAGAGGAACCGACTGGCGCGGACCATTAACCCCACAATGAATTCTGCAACCTAGCTTTCTACAATGAGAAACATTCTCACTTCATCTACGGCTCTCTCCCTTGACGACCAAGTCTCTTAAATCGGGTATGAGGTCACACCTCGAAATCTTGCTGCTCGTCCTTGCCGTCGACCAAGCCCAGATACCACGTCAGATCTCTGCCGTCCAAATCTCGTGTCGAGAACCCATTCCCAAGCCAGTACCATACATTTCGATTGCGATACTGAATCTCATAGTCTTCATACCGGGGCACGGCAATGAGCTCCATGCTTGAGTTTGAAAAAGAGGGAACAGATTAGCTTTCCGTTGAGAGAACCAAAGGATTGCCAACTCTCCTGAGGAATCGATTGGAGCCACTTACTATTGCGTCCTCGTTCCTGGGTGTAGCATAATCTTGCCACCAAACTTCCCACCCTTGAACCAGCTGCGACAGTTGCCAGACCACACGGTACGATTGTGGTACAGGTCCGTGTGCTCTTGATAGTCCAAAGCCACGTGCATTTTCGGGGTGTAGCTCTTGATGTTTTCGAGCTGAAGCTTCCTGATCATCTGGGCGAAATAGTCGGCCATCTTCTCAATCATGCACAGCGCGCTGCCCTGGCCCAGCGGACCATAGGGCCCGTAGAAAGTGAAGTAGTTGGGCATGAACGGCGCCGAGAGCCCGAGGTACGAGATCGGGTTCTTGCGGTACTGGTCCTGCAGGTTGTACCCGTTGGCGACGATGGGGAATCGGGGCACCCAGGTGGTGTTGAAGCCCGTGGCGAGAATGATGACGTCGACCTCGTGTTCGTGCCCGTCGGGGTCGAGAAAGCCTTGCTCGGTGATGGTGTCGAGGGCTTTTGTGAAGGTCGTGACGTTGGGGGACACGAGGGCTTCGAGGAACCCGTTTCCGGGGCTGGGAACCAAGCAATACTTGGTCAGAAGGCGGTTGTAAATGGTGATGGAAGAGATTTTTTGCCTTCCGGGACTTACGTTGGCCTCTTGCACCCCACAGGGAAATCCTTGGGAATGAGCTTGTCGATGAGTTCGTCCCTGCCCTTGAGTTTCTCCATCATTTCCTGCCTTGCCATCTATCAACAAACAAGAGGTCAGTCTCCCCTACAAGTTACATTGGCCATGGCGTATCGACGTACCTTTTCCAGCGCCTTTGCCTCGGGCGTGTTCTGGTGGAATGCTAGAAACCCTTGTTGCAGCTGCGTCTCCACCATCTTGCAGTACTTGAGATAGTAATCCGGCTCTTCCCTGAACCTCTTCTTCTGCTGCTCAGAGTCTTTTGAGAAGTTTCAGCCAGTTTTCTTCTGTTGCTTGCAAAAGGATGGAAGAAGACCTACATTGAAAATTCCCCCCTCCGGGACCAGAGTATTTTGAGGCAAACGAAGGAGTCATCCACGTGGGCGTACTGATCCAGGTGTACAGCTTCTCCACTTGAGACTGGATTTTGGCGATGATTTGGACGCCGCTGGACCCGATTCCTACCACTGCGACTCGCTTTCCATTCAAGTCAAGTCCCTCCGGATAGGCTGCAGAATGGACAAGTACTCCTTTGAAATCGTTGAGACCGGTAATTTTGGGCCATTCCCAGTAGCTGAAATCAGTTATTAGTCGAAGAGGAGACGTTGAACGAAGGATTTAAATCTGTCCGCGAACTTACTTGAGAGGCCCACCGGCATTCATGAAAATGTCGCACGACTCTGTGAACTGCATTCCAGAGTCCAAGTCTGTAAGAGTGATCTGCCATTGACCTTCGTCGTCGTCCCATTCCGCATGGTCCACCCGATGGCGGAGCTTGATATACTTTGATAGCCCATACTTAACGACTATACCTTTGAAATAATCGAAGATCTCTGGACTCTCTGCATAATATTGCGACCAGATATGTGGCTCCCAGGTGAACTGATAGCTGGCAGACGGTATATCGCAAGCACAACCGCTGTGTAAGTGTCAGATTCAGTCTGTCATAGCGGGCATAGTACCGTTGTGAGTTTACGTACGGATAGCGATTTTCTAACCAGGTACCTCCAACATCAGAATTCTTGTCGTATATTTGCAGTTCCACATTTTCCATTTGGTCTTGCACGAGTTTGGCCAAGTTGATCCCAGAAGCACCAGCACCAAGACATATTATCTTGACAGGTCGCAGTAGTCCAGACGGAACTTCGTTAATGTTGTAACCTGCGTCGTTGGTGTTTTTCCAACCATACTTGGTGGCGAGGTTGTTTGTTGAATCCACAGAGGTCGGCTTTGCCTTGTCGCCGTCCTGCGAGGCGACCATGGTGGTGAGAAATCAATCTATGATCAGTATGGCACTTGCAAATCTATAAGATGTAACACAGGATCTGTGTGTCCCCCCCACCGTGTATGTTGTGGGTGACGATTTTTCTGCAAATATCCTCGGTGGTGTTGGGGTCTCGAATAATCGGTCCAAAAGACAGGCTTTCAATGACGGGTTTGTCACTGTGTGAACTAGCATAACTCTCAAGGAGATAAGGCGGTCATGGTTCTTTACAGCAGCCCTTTCAGGCCGCACAGGAGTCCCTGTAAAGGTTCGACAGTCCGGTGTGGTCGATACCTTACACCCAAACATCGCTCCGTTGCACGCTCTACATTTGCCTGCCTAATCTGGACGAGCTTCATTAGGTTAGAGTGTCGAAAGTCCGGTCAAAACACCTGCAGGTGGGTCAATTGTAATTGGATATTGTGGTGCTACCACATCGAAACTCCGGTCTGACACCTGTTTCCCCAGGAATTTCCATGCCCTGTCTGGGGACTTTCTGCTACCCACGTGGCCTTCCTCGCGTTGGCGTCCCGGACTTCCTGGTATACACTGTTATGGAGCAAAGGGACCTGCATTAGCAATCTGGATCGCAAGAAATACTGCTTCAATAGCCTCGTCTGCATATCGAACTCCCTAAAATCTGCTGCCTCATTCAACACGACAATCGACGTCGTGTCCACAGCCCGATCATTCTACCAATATTCCCCCCCCCCCCCCCCACCCAAAAAGGCAACGCCTGAAGAAGGATTTTCACCAGATCACGACGAGCACGCCATGCATCACAGCAAAGCGAGAGAGAAGTTTGGTCTCTACAACTACGGCATCGTGGTCTGTGTGTCCTGTACCTCGCTGGCAACAGGCATGGTGAATGGCATGATCAACACGACTCTGGGCCAGCCGAGTTTTCTGGTCTACTTGGCTTCCTCCACCAAACAAAATCCAATACGCCTTTGATAGGAACGATTCTCGGCGTCTTCTTCGCATGTGCCCTGTTTGGCTGTGCATGGGCCAGCTACTCGGCCGACAAAATCGGGCGCAAGAAGACGGTCCTCATTGCAGCAATCATCTCCATTGTCAGCACAGCTCTCGTTGCGGGAAGCATGCATATCGCCATGTTGATAATTTTCAGGTGAGGAACCCCCCTGCAGTGTCTTTCTTAAAAAGCTTGAACCAAAAACTGACCAATTGTCAACCAATTCTCAGGGGTTGTTCCGGATTTGCTTCTGGAGCATACATGTCAGTTGGATCGTTGCTTCAAAGCGAACTAGCCCCGCCTCGATATCGAGGTCTTATGGTTGGCCTTGTCGGAGTGATGATATCTTTCGGCTACGTCTTCGCCAACTGGCTAGGTGTCGCCTTTTATTTTGTGCAAGCCAATGGCGTACAATGGCGGATTCCGTTCGCAATTTGCACTGCTCCGTCTTTCTTGAGTATTTTCCTCCTTCCTCTGATTCCGGAATCACCAAGGTGGTTGGTGATGAAGAATCGCACGGATGAAGCTCGTGCTGTCATTTCAAAATTGCATGGTCACCACGACGAAGAAGGTCACGAATTCGCCGAGCTCGAAGTCAGGCAGATGGTTGATCAGATTTCGTTTGAGAATCAACATCAAATGGGCTGGTGGGAGTTGTTTCTGTCGAAATGGTACCGCAAGCGCTTTATCCTCACTGTTATTACTCAGTCCATGAGCCAGGTAAGCTCCCATAGCATCCACAGAACCATTGATTTTTGACCAACTCCTTATAGTCCGCGGGTATCGTTCTGGTCGCCAGCTATGGCCCGACCATCTACGCCAGCCTTGGGTTCGATACAGTGGGCCAGCTGTCTATCACGGCAGGTTATGTTACCTTTGGGGCATTGACCACTACACTTGGGACTCTACTCATCGATCGCGTCGGTCGGGTACCACTACTGGCGATCGGAACGGCGATTCAAATCGCACTGATCGTGGTAGTCACGCCACTCATCGTCAAATACGCCGGCACAACTCATCAAGCTCCCCAGAGGGCTGTTGTGGCCATGTTCTACATCTTCGAACTCGGATACTGCATGTTCGTGGAGGGCGCAAGCTACACCTATGTTTCCGAGATGTGGCCCGCTCATCTAAGGGCCAAAGGTTCCGCTCTTGGAGTAGCTAGTATCTACCTGGTCGATACCATCTATGTCGAGTAAGTACTAAGGAAAGTCCCGTGTTCCGTCAAAAAGTACGGAAGCTGAATATATTCCCACAGAGCCGCACACTACGCATTTGTGTCCATCGGATGGAAATTCTACCTTGTTTTCATCATAGCCGGCATATTTTTCTTCGTGGCATTCCTTCTCCTGGCAAAAGAAACAAAAGGCAAGCCGTTGGAAGAGATAGCAGGACTTTTTGGAGACAAACTTGCGGCCGAGACGCTGGACAACCTTATCCTTACGCATGATACTGAATTCGAGAAGACCAAAGCGGTGCCCAAGGTCAGCGAGCTGAATGATGCAATGGCGGTGTAGGATCTCTCCCTAGGAAGAGCATAAGAAGGGGGAAGTGTTAAAGATGGATATCAAAAATTTGCGTTTATTAAGGACGAGTTTCCACACAAATAACCAAAGGCTAGCTTCCAGCAGTGACAGCTGTCGTTGAAATGGCATTAGTACTTTACCTCCGAGAGGGTTTTAAGTGTATCTGGGTACAAAGGCCCGCTGATTACCTAGGCTGATAATCTTGAGCGCTGTACAACCAGTCAAAATGCAAGAAGTGCTTAGATTTTATCAACCCGTGTGACGAGCATGCGAGTATCATTGACGCATTCCTTCCGGAGCATAGCATCGCCAAGTTCTCCTTTGGACCCATGGTCGTCACCAACTAGACTCGTTGCTTCGCCGCAGAAATCGGCGAGTGCGGTCTGCCCTAGTCGGTTACATAGCATGATTTCCGACGCCGCCAGCAACCGGAGATCTGCTGTGAACTCCACCGCAACCCGAAGAGGAGATCCAGCGAGAGGGATATGGACTGTTTCGTCTCCCCTTTACAACTTTTTTTAGGTTTCCTGTGTGAGTTAGAGAAGAAAATCTTCCTGGTTGTTAATCTGGGACGTCGCTCATGGTCTTCATCCAAAGGGAATATCACATCGTTCAAACATGACAGAGTTGGTGGCACTCGTGACGGGCGCCGCCTCTGGCATAGGTCGAGCGGTGGCAACGAAACTGGCTACACGAGGGATTTCTATAGTGCTTGCCGACCGCGATCAAACTCAGGGCTCCGCTGCCGCTGACGCGATAGCTAAGCAGTATCGAGTCCGCACAAGGTTTCAACGAGTAGACGTTACTCAGGAATCGGAGGTCAAACAGCTTGTGACAGCCACACTCGAACTTACGGGAAGATTGGACTATGCGGCCAATTGCGCAGGTATATGTGAGTCTATCTGGGAAGAAGAAGAGAGCATTACTACGGAGCTCTTTGACAGGTATGAGGATGGATATCTGCTCTATTAGACAGCTCAGTCAGTACTGACGGAGCTCTCTCTAGAACACACGCAATAAATACCCGTGGTCTTTGGCTTTGTCAAAAGTACGAAGCACTGCAGATGCGATCGCAAACCCCGCGGGACGTCGCCTTCAACCCGCCAACCGCCGCCCACCCGATTCCTGGTCAACGGGGCTCAATTGCAAATATAGTCTCAATTTCCGGTTTACACGCCGTGGGACTAGCAGCATATACACCAAGCAAATATGGTGCAGCAGCGGTCACGAAGAACGGAGCTAAGTTTTACGGCCCCAGTGGTATCAGGGTGAACGCAGTCTGCCCGGGCTGGACAATGACAGCTATGATTGAAGAGAGTATGGGCGAAGAGGGGAAGATTGGAACGAAAGAGAACGACAACTCTCCTGTCAATCAGAAGATTGCGTTGCGCCGTATGGCTTTCGCGGAAGAGCAGGCTAATGTCGTGAGCTTTCTGTTAAGCGATGAAAGCAGTTATATGAATGGCTCTCTGGTGGTTAACGACGGTGGTTTTCATGATATTCGTTGAGCTGATACTCCGTGGAGATCGAGCATCGAAGACAGGAATTGGCAAGTATACCCTATAGCTCATGTGCTCCGTGGCCACGGTCAGACAAGTGACAATCTGTATCTTCGTCATAAAATCGCAATACATGCACCGTGCAGGAAGTGGGTGACAGAAAAGGAAATATAGTACTTTTTTGAGATCCTGTTTGTCTTTCCCATCGGTACCATGGGCAACTGCCCACCTACCGTACGGTGTTACACGCATGTGTGACCACTTCAAACAGGGTCCTCAGTTAGGCGGGCTTTTCCAGGCCAGGGGCAGCAGGACAAGCTTACCTAGGTACTAGCCTCAACAGCCGACGTGAGCGGACCCTCCACAGCCAGCATTTAACTCCCCGTGTTTCCCCGAATCCCAATCTACATTCCCTCCGGCCTTCTTCTACAGAGTTATCAGCTCAACCAAAGCTCGACCCGCTCGATGTCGCAACAGAAGAGCAGAAAGCAACCTTCAGAAAGGAGGTATATCTCCCGAGCCTGTCTAGCTTGTAGAAAGCGCGAGGTGAAGGTATCACGGGCACGAGCATATTGCTCTCAGACGTCGTGAGTCGGGCTAACGATGCCTCTCTCGACAGTGCAATGACAACAAGCCTCGATGCTCTAATTGCACGCTATATAATGTGGAATGTATTTTTGTCGAGGATCGTCGCCGGTGAGTTCGAACCCAATAGCTACCAAATCATGCCCATGCCGGCAAGGCATAGACGATGCAGGCGAGATGTTCTGAAGGCTAATCTGCTCCAGCATGTCCATGTCCACACGCCTGGAAAGTATCATCGCGGCATCAAAGTCTTCTCAAGAAGGTCTTGGCGACGAGAAGACTTTGAAAATACAAGACAGCGATGCGCAGGTACGACTTGCCCAAACAACGGCAGAACTACCATGCCCTTCTTTGATCCACGATCGGGCTATCATCGATGGTTCGCAAGCAGCCAACTATTTCTCAAATCTTGGTGCGACGAACTCTATCAGTGGTGAACCTTTACACTCTCCTGATTCGGAGCAAGATTGGGAATCTTGGATTGGCCTGGAGGATGCAAACGACCTTACAAACGCAGCTTGCTTCGCCGAATGCCATCCGCTATTCGATCTTGTCCCACCGCTAGGACTCGCCCAAATTGAAGCAGGTGTGCCCTCTACTTTGGAAGAGGACATCACATCACACTCAGCCTCGTCAGAAGAGAATGTCAATGCAACAAGTTCAAGAATACTACTCCCGGGTGAACAAAGCGACTCGTGCTCGATGAGTGCCAGAGGCAAAGTGAGGCCACATGATTTGGACGATCAAGATGGAGAATACCTCGGCAGTATAACGAAGCACCTTACAAGCCATCTGGGACGTTTACAGATTGCTGAAGATGGACAGCTCCGATATTACGGAGCAACCAGCAACCTTCATCTTTTACATAGGGGGCCATCGTCTCTTTGTCAACCAAACATTCGAAGGGTGGTCACGCATGGAGAAGCAGCAATAGCGCGAGCTGACTCTACAGTGGAAAGGTGATCCTGAATACGAAGAAACTCTTGTCAATCTATTCTTTTCGTGGCACAATACCTTGATGTATGTTGTGGATAAACCGATATTCTTCAGGGAACGACAACAATTTCGGTTAGGGCATCACACGGATCTCTATTCTCCGGCTCTGGAAAATGCTGTGTGAGCTCCCACGAATTAAAGTATCACAAATGGCATGAACTGACTTATTGTGGCAGGTACACAATTGGCGCTGCTTACACAGATCGACTTCATTCAGAAATTGACGGACCCACAGATGAGTTCTTCGGATTTCGAGCCAAAGCTCTTTTGGACATCGAGATTGATAGCCCGACAATTGCAACAGCTCAGGCCTTGCTGGTGCTCTCATCGCATGAAGCTGCTCATGCGCGGGACTCACGCGGCTGGATATATTCTGGTCAGATCATTTCTCGGGGGGTTATCCATTTGCTCACACGATCACAGGGATGGCAGTGCAGATTTTGTCAGATCTCGGCTTACATTTGAATCTTGCACTAGACTTCTCGAAGTTTCATAACACGGACAGCAGTGTCGACGAGGTTGTTTCACTACGGCGGAACTTGTTCTGGTCGGCCAACACAATAGACACGTAAGTCTGTCATGAGACAGCCACGATGCGAAGGCTAACAAGGCCAGACTGTGGAGTGCGTATAGTGGACGACCATCTCTGATGAAACGTCTTGCCCACAACGTCCCAAGCCCTGTGCCTTCGGCCAACCATATTTGGGAATATTACACCGACGAGTACAGCACTATGACTTTCCCAAAGGACTTCGACTTTCATGCCGCAGCGCACGTTCATACTTATCTGGCCAAGCTGATGACAGTCTTTGCCCAAGTTTCAGAAGTGCTGTACGCTCAATAAACCAGTGGAGAATGGGACCTCACTGATAAGTGGAGTAGATACTCTGGTGTTCCTGATATACTGGAAGACATCCACGCTTTTGTTGTCGAATGTGATACCGAGCTCCAAAATTGGCTCGGTAGCCTGACACCCGCCCTCTGCGTTGATTACTCCTCTGCGCGAACAGCGATTTATCTTCCCGCGGTGCTCGAATTACAGTGAGTTTCGACTATTCACATACACTGTTTGTGATGATTACTGACCGACCTTGGAGTCTCATCTTCAATGAGTGCGTTATACTCTTACATCGACCGCTCATCGCTTCAGACGAGTCATCGCGACTATCTATCTCACCCACTCGTCGAGATACCGCCCAGTCCTTTTCGAAATGTGTCCAAGCTGCGCAACAGGTCTGCAAGCTTCTCACCATGTTCCGTCAGCGATATGGTCTCCGTCGACCTCATCACCAAATGGTCCATGTCATAATGACGGCGGGTCTCATCCATGTGTTCCAGATTTGTGTGACAAATGCAGGCACCGCCGAACACCAAAGGGCTCAGCAAGGTTTCCTGACCTGCATTCAGAGCCTGGGAGAGATGGGCCAAACCTACAAAAGCTCCTCGCGAGCTCTCGATGTGATCACCTCGCTTGGGCAAAGCTGGCAGAATGATGCATTCGCCGGACGGCGTGTGAAGTGGCCAAAGTTGCAATAGTACTTCGTTGTGTTATCCTAGATTCATGTCGAGGAGGACCATATATCAAATTAGCGCAAAATGCTACTTACTATGTGATTGCTCCACATCGCTAAACATTCCCCTCTGCCCTGTCGCCGCCTAGTCGCCATTGCCGGGATGCTAAGGCTGCGGGCAAAGTGGCATCTCCGATGGAAATTGCGATCTCCACGGAAAACGACCACCGCCACAGTTCCGCAACGCTTGTGAGGGAGGTGCCCAATTGTCACCTCGCATTCGAAAGATGTCACATTTTGTTCAGCTGTCTATGTATAGAGCGTTAGTAGCTTGCCAGTCATAATTTGTAATTAGTTCCTTTGAAAATCTAATCAAGAGTGGGATTCAAGATGGGAGATGCCACGCTGGCTGCCGCTCCTTCCGCCAGTGATTCACAACCTAACCTTCCTGTAAATGCACGAAATGATACTGTGCCAGAAGATCGCCCATTAGGCTTCAAGTGTGCGAATCAATATCAGGGCCAGGGCAGGCATATCAGAATTATCATCGTCGGGGCAGGGATCAGTGGGATTGCCGCCGTCAAAATCTTTAAGGAGACTTTCGCAGATGCATCGGTAGAGCTGGCGATCTACGAGAAGAACCATGACGTGACCGGAACCTGGCTGGAGAATCGATATCCGGGGTAAGTCATTCATTGATCCCTCAATCGTGGAGAATGACCTCGGAGAAAATCTTTTCTGAATCAGTAGTTCGCAGATGCGCTTGTGATGTGCCAGCACATGCCTACACCTTCAGTTGGGAAGGGAATCCGCAGTGGTCGCGCGCATACGTAGGCAGCTTGGAGCTCTATGAGTACTTCAAAGGCCGTGCCGTGGCATATGGTGTCGACAAGTTCGTCAGACTCAACAGTTTGGTGAAGGAGGCTGTCTGGAATGAAATCAGTGGCAAGTGGGAACTGAAGATCGAAGACTTGGTATTGGGAACCACCTTCTCTGATGAAGCTGAGGTTTTGATCAATGCTGCTGGATTTCTCAAGTAAGTTCCTTCAGCTCTTATTCGAAGCGATTCTCTTATATATCGCAAAGCTGACCTGTAGCCAGCAAATGGAAAATGCCCGACATCCCTGGTCTATGCGATTTCAAAGGGAAACTGATCCATTCTGCACAATGGGATGAGAAGTATCCCCTCGAGGACAAAGTTATCGGCATCATCGGTTCAGGGTCTTCTGCCATCCAGATAATCCTCCAAATCCAACCAAGTAAGTTGCCTTTTACTCCGTAGTGAGAAACAAACTTTGACGACAACCACGATGTGCTTGCAGAGGTCAAGCATATGACATCTTTCATCCGGTCCTCTACGTGGATTACACCCGAGTTTGCCGCTGAATTTGCTCCCGAAGGGCGCACGGCTTTCTTTTCCGAACGGCAGAAGGACGAATGGACTCACAATAAAGACGAGTTCTTGGCATATCGAAAGAAAGTCGAATCGACAATGAACAAGTTCTTCGACATGCAATTCAAGGACTCGATTCTCCAGAAAGATGCCTATGAAAATTTCCGCAAGACCATGCGAGAACGAATGTCGAGAAAGCCCGAGATCGCTGATATTCTAAGTAAGCAACTACTCTTTCCCAGGCCTCGAAAAAGCAGCCAGCAACATTCTTTTCAATCTTGAGACGAGAATTGACATGTTTGATACAAAATAGTCCTAACTTTGCTGTTGGCTGCCGAAGGGTAACACCTGGCCACGGCTACCTTGAAGCACTTACAGAAGACAACGTCACTGTCCGCAGCGACGGAATCGTCTGTGTTACTGAAGACGGTGTTCGAATGGGCAAGGGCGATAGCATCAGGCTGGATGTCCTGATTTGTGCTACCGGCTTCGACACAAGTTTTCGACCACCATTTCCTCTAATTGGGAGAGAAGGCCGCGATCTCCGCGACGAGTGGAAGGTCGAACCGAGATCATACTGCTCTATTGCTGCTCCCAACATGCCTAATTATTTTAGTAAGTCTTCACTTCTTCCATTCTGGTTTAGTCTACTGCGTCCCAATCCTCGTCTGACTGCGTTCTCTTTTCGCACGAACTTAGTTATAAGCGGACCTAATTTCCCCCTGGCGAACGGGTGCCTGATCCCCTGTCTCGAGACAAACATCAAGTACGCCTTCGCAGCCGTACAAAAACTGCAACACGACTCCATCAAGGCCCTGGTACCAAGCCTGCAAGCAATAGACGATTTCCAGGAGTTCAAGGACGCGCTCATGGAAGACCTGGTGTGGACTGACCATTGTGTTTCTTGACCGGAATCCTGACGCCCGTGTGACTGTCAGGGATGCCAAGGGTTATAAAGACCGATCGAAGGTATATAGACTAACCATTTAAGGCCTTCGACCGAAGGCCTTTAGACAACGCTAGTAGCCCTCTATAAATTACCCTATAGTATATAGTCTAATAATCCCTAGAACCTAATCTAATTTACTATATTTCTCTATTAAGTTATATCTAGTAATAACGCTCTAGATAGTTCTCGTAGAAGTCTAGACTAAGATCCTTAACAATCTCTATCTCTTTAAATAATAAAAGATAGTCTTAGATCTAATAGAGATTAAGTATAAAAGAACTTAAGTCTTTAAAACTAGAGTTTTTTAAGTATAAAAAGAGAATAAATCTCTTCGATCTTATAACTCTTTAAATAGATTTTCTTCTTTCTTTATAAAATTATCTTTCTTCTATAAGAGATATAATAAATTCTTAGAGTTATTTTATATTAAAGATTAATTAAATAGTATTAATTAGAAGAAAAAGAGACTTTTAAATAGAATATCTAGATAGATTTCTACGAAATCTATAATAACTTCTTTATTTAGCTTATTTTAACTTACTAAAGAAGCTTCGAAGTATAATAAATATAATATTACTTTATTATAATAAAGATTAAATAATATTTTAAAAGAGAAATAAATTAATATTAAAGTAATTTAAAGAATTAATAAATATCTTAAGATATAGTTAATAAAGACTCATTTAGAGACTAAGAAAATCTTAAATTAAGTTAAATACGCTATTTTCGGCGACGAATTAGATAATAGAAAGATCTAACTAACTAATATTATATAATAATAATAGTATTATTCTACTAAAGCTCTATATAAGTTAACTAAAGAGACTAAGAAATATTCGCGATTATAAAACTAAAACTATAAATTAGCTATCTAGATAGAGTTAAAAGAAGAGATTTAAAGAGATAAAGATCTAGATTAATAGTATAATTATTTAAAAATTAGATTAAGAATCTTTAAAAGCTAAAGAAAAGCTATTTATCTCTTAAGAAAATCTCTACTAGATAAAGAAGATTTATAAAAAAAGTAATTCTCTCTCTTCGAAGGTTATTAATCTCGCTTAAACTCTCTTAATATTCTTATTTTTATATCTTTTATATTATGAATAGGCTAAAGGGATGGCTATAGTATAGGAATAAGGGAGAAGGTTTACCGAAAGGAGTAACGATATAAGCTAAAGTACGTAATATACTCTATTATACTCCTAAGGCTAAATAGAGCTATATAGATCTATACGAGTCTTCTTTATCTATATAGTCTTAATATAGTCTATACCTTTCTCTTATAGTTAATCTTAGTTATAAATAATCGAGTTATTCTTAGTTAATCGCTTTATATATAGTTATATACTATACTCTTAGTTTCTATCTCTACTATATTAAGTTCTACTACTATATTACTAAATAAACTACTTTAAGTTTACTCGTTAATATCTTATATATTATAAGATAATTTATAATATTTTAACTACTCTTTTAGATAGTAAATAAAATTAACGACTATATTTAGTAGCTTTAACTCTAAATTATCTAAGTTTAGACTTATCTAATAATCTAATATATCTTTAATAAGTATTAATACTCTAACTATTAATAATATAGATATCGAAAAAATAAAGAACGATCTTAAGGTTAAATACTTCTATAGAGATAGAAGTAAACTTAGTATATATTTTATATAGTTAAAGACTATATTTACTTTATAACGCGCTAAGTACTCTATTTATATAGAGCGAGTTTTATTCGTAGAATTTTAACTTCGCGAATCTATATTTAAATAGTTTAAATTTATTATAGAAAATTATCTTAGATTTATTATTAAATAACGAGACGAGAAGACTAATTTAATCTTTAATAGTTTCGATATATATAAAGAATATATTAAATAGATCTTTAGAATACTAGAAGAGAAATAAGCGACCTTATAAAAGATCTATTAGTTTAAATAAACTAGATTCGCGACTCGCTATTATATTATATTCTAATATTTAGCTTTAAAACTTAATTAGAAAGATAAAGTTTTTATTTTAGTCTATTATTAAGACTTAAAGAATTTAATTAAAGATAGAATAGAAACGGATTATCTTAATAAGTATAAGTTATTTATTAAATATTCTATTAAGATCGATAACTAGTTATATAAATAATAGTTAGAAAGAAAGGGATTATATTTCGGAAATATAATTTATAAGAATAAATAATACTATAGTAATTTAATAGTATTATTATTTCTAGATAAATCTTTTCTTAAAATTTATTTAGTTAATAAAGTTTACTAAATTTACTATATCTTTATAACTAATTAAGATATAATTTAAATCTTTTTTTAAGATCTTAAATATAATAAATAAATTTAAGTTTAAATATAATAATAAATATAATTATTTTTTAATAACTATATTAAATTTATATTATTAAAATATTTATAAACTTAAATATATTTAAAGAAAATAAATTCGCTTAAAATTCCTAAAATCGCGCTTAAATTATATAAATTATAAAGAAATTCTTTTATTTTATTCTAAATATATACTAAAATTATAGCGAAATTATATTATTTAGTAAAATCTTAAAATTTAAAATACTTTAAAGAGTAAAATTAAGATTTATATAAAGAATATTAAAATTCTTATATTTATAAATAATTAAAAGAATTTTTTTTATTCTTCGCTCGCTTAATAAATATAAACTAATTTATAAAGCGCGTATAATAACTATTAATAGACTAATTAAGATTAATTTAGGTTTAATTAGTTTAATTAGAAATATTTAAGCGATTAATTTATAAGAATAATAATTTAATAATTATCTTTATTTATTTAAATATTATAAAAGATCTAAATCTTTTTAATAATTAATATATATATTTATAATTTCGTTATAATTAAAGATTATAAAGAAAATTTTAAAAGAAATTTAAAAATAATTTAAAAGAAATAAACGAAAGATAATATTAAAAGAGATATTTAATTAAAGTAAGAAAGAATAAAGATATTAAATAATAATCGAAGAGATTAAAGAAGAAAAAAAGAAAAAAAATTTATAATTCTAAATCTTATCGACGTTTTATATATTATCGCTATCGCTAGATATTAATTATTTTATAGCTAATTATCGAAGATAAACGAATATCTTTCTTTTATCTCTCTATTATTTTTAAGATATCTTCTAATAATATCTAAAACGCTAGTAATCGACGATTAAGACTTAACGAAGATTATATAGACTTAGTTTAGAGTCTCTATAATAGAATCTTAATTATTATCTTTCTTTTATTCTTACTTTACTATTTATAGATAAATATTAATAAATTTATAGAAAAGATAGTTTTATTATCGAAGGAAAATCTTCGAAGCTAAGTAGAGGAGACTATAACTATTAGAGATACTAAGGGTTATAAAGATCGATTAAAGATATATAGACTAGTCGTTTAAGGCCTTCGATTAAAGGTCTTTAGACGACGCTAGTAGCTCTCTATAAATTACTCTATAGTATATAGTCTAACGGTCCCTAGGACCTAGTCTAATTCACCATGTTCCTCCATTGAGTCACACTCAGCTAGCTCAGTCCGGCTCAGGGGTGAGCCAACTGAGCCAAACTGAGCCAACTGAGCCAAACTGAGCCAACTGAGCCAAACTGAGCCAACTGAGCCACGACCGGTTATATATACGGACTCACAACCCACTTCCATAGCCTTCGTAGTCAACTTTAGTTACTATCCTACCCCTACCATTAGTACTGTACCAATCCAGTGACTATACGGTAGCGCAGACTTGCAAGTACGTCTGCACCCTGCACCCTAACATATCCCACTGTGTCCCGCACTTCAAGAACACCCACGGCTGAACCACCACGTGACCCTTACCCGGTCGACGTAGTAGCGATCCGTAACAACTATCTAAGAGAGCGAACGGCCTTTATATAGCCAACTATAATGCTAAGATAGAACATTATAGAAGGACCTAGAATAATCGGCCTAGATTACTAATATTATAGCCTAATAGTGGCGTGATACTAGCGTGGCGATAGATATTCGCTTACAGAGATAATAAGCAGCGTCGGTAGATCAGTACTCCGACGGGTGCCGTATATTATAAAATTCTGTTAATGTAACGTAAGAGACCAGTGTATAGCTCGCACTAGATTGACGTGCTCATTGTTCTGGTCGGCCTAAGTGTGATTACAGATAGAGGACTTTAAGGATTCTCAACAGCCTGGGGAGATAATTGGGTTATGCCTATGAATCTCTGACTTGTTCGAAAGCCTGTAACATCTCACATTGTCTTTCATTTTCGATGTATTCGAACTCAATCTCTTGAATTACTGTGTAATCCTTTTTCACGTCTACGAGCCCGGTGACATTCTGTTTACCAAACTTGTTGGGCAAACTCCTCTATGTCTTTCAGCAGTGCCTGAGGTTGCTCCAAAGCCGCAAAGTGTCTGCCCTTGTCAAGCATTAGCAGTCTTCTCGTGAGTCGTGTGTTTGAATCCCACACTCACTTTTGGCTGTTCACGATACCATACTAGGTTGTGAGCTTTTTCCGCCCAAGATTTAGGTGAAATGGTGGTTGGCTCGCGGAAAGCAGAATAGCCGAGAGATTTCTCCTTCGCGGTTGTGAAGAAGAGCTCGCCAGTGGTGAAGGTGCGAACCATTCCCCGATAAGAGTAGATGGAGCGAGGAAATGAATTAGTAAACCAGGAGAGGGTGACTCCAGCTAGAATATCGTCCATCGAAGGATCCTCGTCAGACCACTCGTTCTCTCGCTTTCCAGCTTTGAGTTTGCAAGGGCAATCGTATTGGTGAGCGGTCGCGAATCACCAGCGCAATTTCTGACGGTATTTGGATTCGATTTGAGATCATCAATTGGCTAATGGCGACCGCGACCGCGACCGCGACCGCAACCGCAAGCCACCTTGTGTTTAGACCGAGGTTCTGCGGTCGTGGCCCGCTGTGTGCCGGGGGCCTTAGTAACGCCTACGCATGGCGCTCATCGTCTGAAGGCGCTCTCTCCACGAACACTGGCTGATTGTCGATCGCGCAACGCTTTTCGACGGAGACTTAGTAACGTCGCTGATGAGACTTCGAACTCGGAACAAGCTCATAACATGATGGTGGAGACGTTTCCGGCCAGCTTTGAAACGGTCACCCGACGACCGTGATTCGTAACTCGAGGTCAACGATGAGCATCTCATGCTCGCCGAGTACATTTGGCATGTTGCTCAGCGATGCGCTCTTAACTCCCAGCGGGACCGTTACATCAGCATGAGGCCGGTGATCTGTAACCTCAGCTTGTCAGATTCTTCACTGGCTCTCAGCCCCACCCCTTTGGAGGACGCCAATCAAGAAAACGTTATACTCTTGTAAGCCTCCAGCGGGGTTGTTCAATAACCCCAGATCCATATTTCAAGTGCGGAGACTAAGGCGGTTCCGAGAAATCGTCGTTGTTGGCAACGGGGTAACTACTCCCCGGCGCCCTAGCAGCAACGAATCAGTAATCATCAACCTGTCTAAAATGAGAAGCAATTTTGCCAAAGGACTCGCGTGACTCGTATGGTTGAATGGCTTGGGGTCGGCGCTTGAACTTGTCGAGCCGCCGCCAGGGACAGGTCCGACGACATCGTCAAATGAGGTGGAGCCACTGGGCTGCAAGCGATCTGGAGTTGTCCATATTGCTTTGCCGCATATGATATGGCCTACTTCGGTTTATTCTCTTGTCCAGCCCTTAAGACCATTCAATGGGTCCTCCACTTTCTCTCTCGACGTTTGGCTATAAGCTAGGTCTCAGAGTGAACCAACCCGGCGGCTAGAAAAGGTCGATTATTACATGTGCAAGGTCTAGGCGGAGGCTCGAAGCGACGACTAGATACTGCTCAGCAAGAGATGAGTAAACTAAAAATTAACATAATCACAATCAATCTATAAATACAGTCACGGATGGCTTATTAATCATATTATCCAAGGCAATGAACCTAGTTATTACAAGATAACCCTCTATTTCCATCTAATCAATGACGGGAATGTATTAATAATCCATGAGCGGACTAAAGGGAGAATGTGACGAATAGTGTTGCTCCAACACAGTAAAACAAGCAGAGATTTTTGCTCGAAAGTGAAAAACTCGAGTAGACTACCATGTCTGGATCAGGAATCGTATCGCTGTATTGTTACGAACCGACCTTCATGCGGCCAGACAAGCCTGGAGCAGGAAGGGAAGGTCAGGCGAGGGAAACGTAATATAGCCTCGTTAGTAAGGCTAATCGACACGTGACAACTAAGAAAGGAAATAACCCGTTGTACTCGTTGCCATGTTACATGACAAAGGACTGCAATAGGTGCAATAATGTAATACCTAGACCTATCTAGATAGGAAACCTACCTAAAGTATATAGTTAGCTAGGGACGCTTCTATAGGAAGTATAGTTAACCTTAGTTATAGAGAATCGAGTTGTTCTCGGTTTAATCGCTTTACGTATAGCTACATACTGTACTCTTGGTTTCCGTCTCTGCTATATTGAGCCCCACTGCTATATTACTAAGTAAACCACCTCGGGTTTGCTCGTTGACACCTCACGTGTTGTAAGGCGACTCGTAATATATATCTAGTTAACCTAACATACCACAACTAATCGAAAGCATTGGGAAATTTGCATACCATTTACTTCGTCTGTCCGCCTCATTGCACTGCACATTAGCTAATTGCGGGCCTTAAGGTTCAAGCGCAGCAGAATCTGGATTTCAAGATTTTCAACCTCTGTCTCTTCAGATGATCTGTTACCCTTCAACTATTTAAATCATACACCACTACCCAGGATCCTACCTTGTATTGCGACATACTCCGACCCAAACTCGGTATTCCCTTAATTTTCAAATGGCTGCCAAACGAATTCTTGTTATTGGAGGCACAGGAGTGCAAGGCTTTGCCGTAGTAAAAGCACTGCTCAATGCAAAAGCTCCTTTCATCGTCCGTGTCCTCTCCCGAAACCCAGATTCCGAAACCGTGAAAGAGACCTTCGAAGGACTTCCAGTCGAGTTTGCTAAAGGCTCGTTTATGGATTTTGATTCTGTCGAGAGAGCTCTCCAAGACTGTTACGGAGTATTTGTCAATACGGATAGTATGTTCTACTTAGCACGGAGAATTACTATTTACCACAGCTAATAAGGTTGCTCAGGCTCCACAGTCAAAGAATCAGATGAAATCTGGGCGGGAATTAGGATTTTTGAAATCGCAAATATCATTCCTACTCTTCGACACTTCGTGTATAGTGGTATAGATTACCACCTTAAGATTACAGGCTTTAACAAAAAATACTCGACGCATCATGCCAAGTATGTTATACTCACAAGTTACTGTTATGATTGTGACTAAATCAGCGAATTTTAGTGCGAAAGGCAGGGTTAGCCAGTATATTCAAAATCAACCCTCTTCGACATCAGAGAACGGATTGACCTGGTCCATCCTAAATACTGGAGCCTACACAGAAATGCTAGCAGGAGGTCTTTTTGTCCCAACCATTTCACCCGACGGGACTCGTTTATTTCAATTTCCTCTAGGCAATGGCCAAATCCCATTAATGTCCTTGTCAGATTGTGCTGCTTTTACTGTTATTATGTTTGAGAGTAGAAAGGAATGGTCGGGGAAAACTCTGAATATCGCGTCACAGTTTGCGACTGGAAAAGAAATCGCAGATACCGTGGCCAGGGTTGCCGGTGTCAAAGCTGAATATCAGCCTGTTACAATTGAACAGTGGCTTGCCCATTTCCCCTATGCGGACCGGCCAATGGCGAATATGGATCCTAAAGGGGTCACGATGGGACAGAACTTCAAGATGTTATGGGCTATGCTCGAAGATGACCATTTGCGAGGGACTAGAGACATGGATGCTTTGAAGAAGATTCATCCAGGTTTGCAATCTTTGGAGGAGTGGATAAGAGAGACTGGATACGATGGAACTCCGAAACCCTTGTTCAAACGTGTATATTAGTACCAGATCATGCAGATTACTCCCCTCAATATAGGATAATACGTTCAATGCGTTCCTAAGTCAGCTACAAGTTTGAGGAGCTGAGATGTGCGCCTTCATTCCCCCTCCCTCGTGCAACCCCTGTAAGGCTAGATATCCTCCACAATCAGTCTTAGTCAGGCGATGTGTGTGGCCTATAGGACGTCGGCCATGTCAAACAGTCATGCAAGCTAGGGTAGAAGCCAGCCAAGTGAAAAACAGAAGATCAGTTGGCATCTTCAACAGCGAGGACCAACGTCCCCTAATCGAAGTTGGACAGAAGCGAAGTGGACCCGGGTTGACATTTCACCATGAATGGTGACCCATGCATGAAAAGATCAGCTCTCTGACATCTCGAGGAGGCTTGATAGAACTTTACCTTATCCACTCCCACTAGCTCGAGACTCATGACATCAAAAATGATGTTGGGTGGTAACGCAGTATCGCTGGATTTGGCACCACTGGAGATCCGTCTTCGCGCGCCATGCAACATGCCCAACATATCAAGGCTTCTACGCGGAAATCGATGCTCGAACAGTTCCTCATTCGAACAACCAAGTCCTTTTTGTACAAGCGCTCGACAGGTCAAAAGGTAGTAAAAAGCGAGCAAAACCAAAGCTACTCCGAGAGATTGAAAAGAGAACTGGGTGGTCGACAGCGACTCTAGAGCATCGCAAGATGGGGCAACAGTGGAATCGCGTTTGTGGCCCCTACGAGGGTCTTTTATGTTTCGTCTTTCTCGATTCGAGAAACCCGTTCAGTATACTCCCGGAAGACTATCACGGAATAACAGATCAAGACCTCGAGGTGTTTCATCACCTGCTAAAGGACGATTATTTTCAGTCAATACTCTCAGCTGGAATGGCTTTTCAAAAGTCTATCAACAGTACAGTGGCAGACACTGAGTTTTGTTAGGAGGGAAGGAAGGCACCCTTAGACCATCTTTCCGAGGAGGAATTACTCTCCTATATAAAGTCGTTCCCCTCGACATCCGAAAACTTTTATGATGAGGATAAGTTCTCGAATTAGCCTAGGCCTCTGGCATGGCCTACAAACTCGCCATGGTCCAAAGACCCGACCCGGCTGTCCCCGGGTACACGACAGTGTGATCTCTGTCCCAACACAAACTGTGTGTGCATTAAGACCAAGATCACTCCTAAGTTCAAGCCCCGAATCAAAGACTACGGAACCAAGGGGAGGGGACTTCAAGCGGTGGCGCAGGCTCCTGGATTATATGCACATCGGGAGGAGGATATGCTTGGTGAGTTTACCTGAGTGCTTGAGCCTTGGGGAAGCGCAAGAGCGACACATGGACCCTGGAAATGGTGAGGGAAGAACTGAATGACTGGGTTGACCCCGATGTCTTGAACCCTAATGAAAAACCCATAGTTTGCCAAATCCGTTGCGCTGATGAAGGTCAGTACTTGAGACTGGCGAACCATGCTTGCCGGTCATCTGCAATCTTGGTGGGAATGCGTGCCTCTGGCAGATATAGATTGGTTGCTCAAGCTGCGAGAAACATTTCGCATGGCGAAGAGATTACGATCAATTATGAGAAGAAGTCATTGCAGAGGAAGAGCTGGCTTTGCATTGATTGTGTACATAAAATGCCAGACGACGTGTCTGCCTAGAAGTAGAGCTAAAGGAGCCTTTTCCTTTAAATGCTTTTACCAGTCGCGGGCCCTCATGGCCCTATTCTCCCCCATCATTCTCCTGAGAAATCAACCCAGTACGATATGGTCGCGAAGGATCAAGAGCAAGCTATCTGGTGTTCAACTTAGCCATAGTGCAGAGAATGCTTAGTATTTCTGTTCACAGGAGGCGGCGATTCCTCCTTTATTGGGGAAAGTTGTCCTATGAATCTCCGTGCAAGGGGTCTATGGTGCGCGTCGCCAGTCACCTCAGCTCGGCCAGCGAGGGAACTCTCTCCAGGCATTTCAGGAGTATAGGTTGAGTGAGCTGTAGCTTCGAAACTGCCGCCGTTATGGTAGTAGTGATGAACCTCAACAACCAACGGCTGAGAAGGAGATTCCTCCTGTCGCGCACTTTGCGCTCGCACACAGCTTGGTCTGGAGCACACCCCGGGTTCAATCATGTGTCCTGTCGTCACAGGGTGGTTTTTTGATATCTTCGGGACGGAGGTTTGCCACAGAGGGCGCAAAAATGTCCTTAAACGAGAGATCGGTGGGGGAATATTTGATCTCGGATTGTTTTAAGGTTGGTTGACTTGTCTGTTTTCCAAACGTTCATTTTTTGCGTCAATTGAGGCAGCATAGCTGAAGAAGGCTCTATCGCGCCGGTACTTAAGCCTATGCCTGCCGAGAACTCACTCATGTGAAGAATTTGAATAGGCCTCACCGTTTATCAATCTATGCTAGTAGAAAGGGAGTTTTGGTAAGTGTTTGCGCCCGACTAGGAGGACGCATTTAGTTGGACGAGGGCCGGGACTATTTTTAGTAGGGTGCTCTGCAGCACCAAATCGCAGCACTGGTGGTGGCCAGCGGCAGCTATGGATGAGATAATTGGTTCTGCGATGCGGGCGCATTGAAATTCCTTTTACATCATGCGGAATAGCCAGTTAGGCTGGGTGGCCGCATTACACAATCCAAAGGGAAAAGTCGATTCCAAATGTGGTGTTTATCGGATATGCAGTTCCACTCCGGCCGCATCGGGAAGTCAGTGAAATTGCCGTTGTGAGTGGTTAACTGACGTAAGAACTTGTTGCTTCGTGGTGGCATCAAGGTAAGTCGGTAGCAGAGAGATACACGATCGAACCTTCGCTTGTTACAGTCGCGTACAAAAATCCAAAAAATTAGTAAGTTAGCCGAGTGTGCAATTATATACCACACCGCCATATACGTATATAGCGGTGTAGCCCTATAAAGCTCAAAACAGTATAAATCACGTAGAAAATCGATCCTCTATAATACTCTAGCTTAGATTAATATAGCTTCGCGACCTCGCCGTGGTCCTACGTCTTCTCGCCGTCTCCTAGAGTCGCGCGGCGCGGCATTAGGAGGAGAGACCGGAAGATATATATCAACGCTAACGCCTATTAGGATAGTATCTCTAGTCTTAAGAGAGCTTACGCTTACCGCTCCGGGGTCGATTAAGGCCTTAGGGGCCTTATCTATCGATTTAGACGCTATAGAATCGATAAAGAGCGTTAATAAATAGCCTAAAGTCTAGCCTCTCCGGCTTATATTTAATTAATCTAAGGATCTCTACTAGGCGTAAATACTAATTAGGGAGGTCTAGCGAGATACTCTAGATTAGCCTAAACTACTTATAGTAAAGAAAGCTACGCGGTTAGTCTAAGAAAGGCTTAATTATCCGTAGCTTTATAGCTAGAATACTATATAAATCTTTAGAGATTTCGATAGTCTATCCGAAGATTCCGCTAAGGAAGATAATAAAGATAATATAGATAGATAAGATCGAGAGAAGATTAATAGAATAATTAGGTATAATTATATAATAGTCTTAAAATACGGCTATAGTAGTAATATAGTTAAGGAAATAGATATATCTAAACCGTTACTCTCTTATTAACTATAGGTCACTAAATAACGTAAAAAGCGTAAGAAGACTTTAACTTCTAGTTAGATCGATTCTCTAGAAGTAGAAGCGTTCGATATAAGTAAGGTTTTATTTAATATCGAGATATCTATAATAAATAGAAAGATTCTATAGTACTATATCGAAGCGTAAGATACGATAGATTTCGATATATATATTATTATTAATCTCTATCGAGGATAGCTAGAACGTAAATTTTTAATTACTTAATATCGCGTCGAGGACTCTATCTTTAGCGAAGACCTTATCTTACTTATAAATAATAGGAAATACTAGTAATTTAGCTATAGGAACGAGTATACTTTTAAGCGATTTATAAGATAATAATAGAATATTATTTACTTAGAACGGCGCTAGAAACTCTCTATACTAGTTAAGATATAATTAGTATATATAGTTAAGTCTATTACTTCTTAACGGACTATTCTAGAGGACTTAATATAGGCTAGGTAGCGGCGGAATAAAGAGTAAATAAGGGCCGTAATAAGTACTACTTAACGCTAGCGCTAGGCTATTACGGCGATCGAGCTAATCTACCGTACTATTAGCGATATTAATCTACTCTAGATTATAAGGAAATAGGTCTATTAATCTAAACGGTGCCCTAACTACGGCTATACTTACTTTCCTATAGACGAGAGCCACCTTAAAATAGACACTATTACTATACGGTAATAGAGTAAAGCTATCCGCGAGAGCGCCGTCACGATCGATTAGATCCCTTCTACTTTACTTATAAGACTTTAGAGGGATAAGAATAACTACGTAAATAAGAAGATCTTAAGGAATAGGACGTAGATCGCTACTAGTAGTAGTAGTATATATATTAACTTTTACTACGGCGTAGACGAGACCGCGACTAAGAAGCGAGATCCTTAGTTAAGCTCGCCTTTCCGTACCGGCGACGACGACTAGAATATTATTCTATATCTAAGCTAGCTCTCTAGGCGTTATCCTATCTATAAGTACGAGTTTAATATATTTAAAGTAACTCTATAGGAAACGGGATAGAGATTTATAGACCTCTATAATATTACTAATAGCGCCTAGGAATATATAAATATCGACGGCGGATTCGTTACTAAGATTAAGAAGAACCTTAAGACCTTTATAAATAAGGAATTAAATATAGAAGAGCTCTTTATAGTAGCTAATATCGACGAGATTAATCTCGTTAACTAAGCGCGCTATTATTATATAGAATTTAATATCGGCCTAATACGGCGTTATAGACTAGATCTATAGTAATTATATAAAATAGTATAAGGAAACGCTAACGGAATAGCGCTAGATAAGCGCTAATCGAGGTTCTTATAACGTTAATAAAAGATAGGATAGATAGTATTAAAATAGATTACTTAGATAGCTAGCTATAGTACGAGATCTAGATCGATTCCTATAAAAGCTAGGTTCCTAGCTAAATTAGCTAGGGATCTAGCTTTTATAGGAATTGATCTAGCTATAGAAATATTAGTTATAGACGTTAATCTAGTTTAGATATTACTTAGATATCGTAGATAGATATATCTATTCCTACTTAATAAGGTCTCTAATTACTATCTTAATTAGCGTTATCTCGTATTCCTCTTCGTCTAGATTTACGGTAAATCTATAATCGTACTTTTTAAAGTAGTCCTTTACTATCTTTATAGAGTAAATATTAGCTATTCTAAGGTCGATAAACCTATAGAATTTCTCCTTATATTAATAGTTAATCTCGCGGTATTTCCTTATCTATTCCTTCAACTTATAAAAGGATATCTCGATTAGGTTTAGATAAGGCGAATAGAGGGATAAATAGATAAGAATTACGCTATATTAGCGATAGAGAGTGTATATCCGTTCGCTATAATATATAGAAGTATTATCTAATAATAGTACCGATCGAGGCTCTAGAAACGCGTTTATTTATCCTAATAATCTCTCTATAAAGTTTATAAATCTCTAGCTATTAAATAAGTCGTAGAATATCTCCTAGGTAAAGTAGCTCTCGATTATAAGCGTAGATAGAATACTCTATTAAGTACTACGTCTTATAGGAGTACGTACTCTATAGGGTATTCTACGCGACGACTAGCTAAATTTACGATCGCTAGTCCTCTTATTTATAGTACTCTTATTAAGGATAATAAGTTATTTAGCCGTAAACCGTATTATATTAGCTAGGAACGCTATAATAAGGTCCTCGTCGCGGCGTATATTAATCCTCGAAATTCGCTTATATATAATCCGTAGCTCTTCTAATAGTCTCCTTACTATTATTAGATAAATATATATATTAAACTCGTCTCTTAGGAGGTCGTAGATCTCGTCTCGACGTACCTAGGGGAAGTTATCGAGGAATTCGAGGATAGCGTTTTAGACCTTCTTATAGATCGCCCTTAGTCGTCCGCGAACTACGCCGTTTCCTAGAGATAAACTAGCTATAATTACTTCGTCCCGATATCGTTACTGTATTATAAAGGAGACGGAAACGTTATTTAATCGTATAACGGTTATTAGGCGTATATTAAGTACTAGTTAAGTACCTATATTAATACGAATTTACTTTGACTTTCGGGGGTGCGAGCCGCCCGAAGGTATAATTAACGCGTAAATAAATGATAGATATATATAGAACCGATAACGAGGAATCGATTAAGCCTATTAATAAGTAATGAAACGCTCTAGTTGTTGCGTAGTGACGTGTTGTTTACACCCTGTTATTTACACTGGCCGCAGATCTATTCGCCATTGTATTGTTACACGCTCGGTAAACCTGCTAATTTTTTGGATTTTTGCTCCCTACTGTAGCCCTGAAAACAGGGTTTGATAAGGGGTTAGTTATGGTGGACACACCAGTCCGTCCGTGGCCAATCCGGTTTCACGTATGCCCATTACCCTCTACGGAAGATCAAGGCTCGGTGTCGATAAAGTCAGATGTTGACCCACGCAAATAGAACTGAAGGGAGGTTACGCACTGATGGATTTGTGGACCGTTGTTGTTTTTTCGTTTTCTATCTTGTTGGGAGAGGACGCTCTCTTTTATGTTTCCTCGCCATCAGCCTTTCCTGCGGTGTTGGCCGCTTTCTGTCGGTGCCGTCCGTCGGCTGTGTCCAGCTTTTGTACGACTTATACGACGACATCCTTCAAGAACGTCTAACAGCCATGCCTCTGGTAGCAGAGGCTCCTGTGCACCGAATACCCGGTATTAAAATTAACCAAAGAGAGAAGTGCGGAGGAGAGAGTTTCGAACAGCCAATCGAAAGGAAGAATTGGATATTCATGTCAGTGATGTTTCTGTCTCAGTGGAGAGTAATCAGACCGAGCCGCCAACTTATACCAAAGATCAGCAGAGGCTACGGAAGGAGCATTCGCAACCTCTCGATTACAGGTTCGGCGTTTCATCAGGAGACTGTCGACGTATTACTGATCTGCGAAAAACGGGCTTTGTCAGCGTCAGATGGACCGATTTACGGAGTAAGCTGTTTAAAGTACCTTGTTGAGGGCTCGAAGAGGAAAGTCCGGAATACTAAGTGTGCAGATGTTGGGCTGACAACAGGGCGCTTACTACAATGCGGGCGAGGTTCAGGGCAGTCGCCGATGCCCAGAAGCATTTCGCACCAATAATTTCGACCTATGCCCATTGAAGCGGTATAAGAGAAATGCTCTGCTGCGCCAAAAGATGATGATGTATTACCACAGAGACCTCACGCACAGTGGTGGACATCTGAAGCACCAAAGACGCCAGCATGAAGTTCTTTTCACAAGATCCTCCCAATGCTTTTCGCTCAATCGTCTTCGTGTCCTCTCTTCTATTGCTCGCGACACTAGCAAGGCTGTATCTTAATAGTCGACGCCCGAGAAACTTCCCACCAGGCCCCACCCCTTCACCTATCATAGGAAATCTCCCTGAACTGCCTCCCACGAAAGCTTTCCTAAAGTAGAGTGGCCTCTCTCCGACCCCTCTCTCCTGTGTTCCACTCTACTGATCAACCCTTGCCGCTAGATTCCACCGATGGCGGAAGCAATACGGTGACATTATTGGCCTCAAATTTGGTCCACAAAACGTGGTTGTCCTGAACAATTACCAACACGTGAAAGAACTATTTGACAAAAGAGGAGCCCTATACTCCAGCCGTCCAGAAAGCTACGTCGGAAATGAACTTGTATGCCCTGGGGAAGTCCACGTCTTGTTGCTTCCGTACTCGGCTGCGTGGCGCAAACTTCGCAAATGCTTCCAGCAACTCATGACCGTCTCGTCGGTCGAAACTCTACTTCCAATACAAATCGCAGAAGCTACCAAGACTGTGCACGATATCATTAATGATCCGGAGGGCTTCTACAACCACCTGAGACGCTTTCCTTCGGCGGTTATGCTGGCAACTGCGTACGGGAAACGAGGCCGGAGCTTCGAAGACCAGGTTATCCAGGACTTATACGCAATGCTGCATGACTTTACGGAAGTTTTAGCACCTGGTTTCATGCCACCTGCAGATGAGTTTCCAATCTTGAAGTATATCCCGGAGTGGATGGCGGGGTGGAAGAGAAGAGCCAGAGCTGTAGGGACAGGGCAAATGGAATTATATCGGAATTTGCTGGAGGAAGCGCGGCAGAGGTCTGAAAACGGGGAATTGAAGGACTGTTTTTTGAAAACTCTGATGAAAGAGCAGAATGAAGGGAAGAACGAATTGAATGACGCGCAACTGGCTTACGTTGCCGGAATTTTTGTAAGTGATTGTGAATGCATTCGATGTTCGATTCGGGCGAGCGGAAGGATTGAATGAGCTTTCCGGGTTGTTGCTGACATCGGGGTAGATTGAAGCTGGGTCCGATACCACAGCATCGTCACTCTTGTCCTTTTGTCTCGCGATGGTCACACACTCTCACGTCCTCAAGAAGTGTCAAGAAGAGGTTGATGCTTGTTGTCCCGAACATTCCCCAACAGCGGATGAGGCTCGAAATCTTCCATACTTGAAAGCTTGTTTGACAGAAGTAACGTCGCTCTACCTTTGACTTGGATTGTCCAACTGACACAGTCTCGCAGACACTACGCTGGCGACCTGTAGCCCCAGGCGGCATCCCACATGCCTTAACGGAAGACAATGTGTATGGAGAGTACGTGCTTCCGAAAGGCACCATGCTCCTTGCGAACACGTGGGGAATTCACCACGATGAGAGCGAATACGTAAATCCAGCGGAATTTATACCCGAGAGATTTTTAGATAACAAGTTTGGCACTATAAAGAAGGAAAAAGATGGAGAGAATGATAGGAGGAGGACCACGTATGCTTTTGGGGCCGGGAGGAGGGTGTGTGCGGGCCAAAGGCTTGCAGAGAATGGTTTGGTGAGTGCTGCTTGACATGACTTAGCGATGCATGGAGCTGGAAGGCAACGCGTATACCTTTGCTAACATGATGCAGGCGATAATTGCGGCCAAGATTGTCTGGGCTTTTGACATTTCGCCAACTTCACAAATAGACTCCAGTATCGAAACTGGCTATACAGATGGATTCGTACTCGCGCCCAAGCCGTATGCAGCGAAGTTTGTACCTCGAACGCAGGAGCGTGTTTCGATCATTGCGAAGGAAGCCGAGGAGGCAGAGAAGTTTTTGAGTCGCTTTAATTAGGTAGATCGTGCGGTGCTGCGCCATGGAATAACAATGTCGGAGACAAAACTTGTGACCGGCAGCTCAGGGGTTTTAACCACCTTTCCGGTCAAGCCATTAGCCGCGTTTGCCGCGTACAGCATTTAGACGTGTCGGGATCTTCTGCAATAGACACACCCTGGATGTCCTTTTTAATTGCTGTTGTATCCTGCTATTATTCGTTTCAGCGCTCCTAGCTCCTTCGCAGCTTCGTTGATTCCAGGCCACTTCTCCAATGAAGCTCACACCGGGGCTGACGATGATAGTCTAAACTGTCCCCAGTCACATTGTTCACGGCCCATGTCAATCATCCCAAACTCCCTCCCACTAGTGCCAGTAACTGAAATTGAAAACTGTTTTATATGCAGTTGGTTGGACGTGCTGTCTTGATCTTGCGACGCGGTATGTAGCCGATGCACATCGTATACATGCGATACAGCCTCTTGTAAAGTTGCGGATAAAGGACGACAGCAAGATAAGGTTCTAGAAGATGACGGCAAGTTTCTGATTGTCCAGGGCTGTACTCTTCACGATCGCCTAGCTCTTTAACTTCGTGACCTTTCCATCATTTAAGACCGACTTCTAAGAATATCCGCCCTTTAAAATTTCTGTGTCCTTTCCACGGTATCTACAACAGCATAGTTCACTACTTATGCTCATGGCTTATGCATCTTCTTCCCTTCGATAAGACTAGGCCAATCGATGCTATATGCAGCCTAGGTACTTAAATAACCGGAAGATCGAGAGTTTTATGCTGGCCGATGGTAAAGATAGCTAGGGCCTTTACGTCGCTATTACCTACGAGACGGGGTAAAGGTTTATAAGGTACCTATCCGCTTTATATATCCTATATCCTAGTAGACCCTATAGCTCGTCTATCTATACTCTCTAACTCTTAAGCGGCAGTAAATAGCTACTACGCTTATACCTAGTTAATAATTCCGTATACTAGAGCTATCCTCTTTAGTTTTATTAGCTCTCTATTTAGGCCCTATGCCCTTCGCGAGCACGCGAAGCAGCTGCTTCTCGCCGGCAGCTGGGACAATGAGTTCACGCCTTCACGCGGTGTCCGGTGTAAGTACCCTGCTGCCGGCAGCTTCGCGCTGTCGCTGCGGGGGAAACCAAAGTGTTCTTGTTACGAGTCGCCTTACAACACGTGAGGTGTCAACGAGCAAACCCGAGGTGGTTTACTTAGTAATATAGCAGTAGGGCTCAATATAGTAGAGACGGAAACTAAGAGTATAGTATATAGCTGTACGTAAAGCGATTTAACCGAGACTAACTCGATTATTTATAACTGAGATTAACTATACTTCCTATAGAAGTATCCCTAGCTAATTATATACTTTAGGTAGGTTTCCTATCTAGGTAGGTCTAGGTATTGCACTATTGTACCTATTGCAGTCCTTTGTTATGCAATATGGTAACGAGTGTAATGGACTTTTTCCTTTCCTAGTTTGTCACGTGTTGGTCAGCCTTACCAACGAGGCCGTGCCCTTCCTCGCTTGACCTTCCCCTCTGCCCTGGGTTACCTGGCCGTATGAAGGTCGGTTCGTAACAGTTCTCAACCAAGAAAGCGCGTCCCGACGCGTTTTCACACAGACTGAAGTGATCTGCTCAGAATCACAGTAAGAGAGCTTCGCTCTTACCGACGGCGGGCAAAAAAGAGGGATATTAGATTTGAAAACCACCCGACGCGATCTTCCTGTTTGTCTCGCGTTTAGGACCCTGCCAGCCTAGCTGCGGCAGCTATAAAGCCCAGGAACGCGAAAGGACACCCTTAGCTTATAAGGGCTCTAAGATCTAGGCTGTTATAGCAGGTGGCCTAGTGTCACGATTCACATTCGCATGTACTCCGCACCAGTCTCTAGTGCGAGGAGTAATGCCAAGAGAAATAGGGCGTCGGCAACAGTCGCTGGGACTGTTACCTACCAGAGCACGTAACACCGAAAGAGGGGAAGCTTATAAGAGGCATACCGCACCAGAGTCTAGTGCAGTTAGCCTCTCTCCTTTTTCAAGCGTCGAGTCGTTGTATTACAGGACTCCAGATAGTGATAGCATTCAGCCTCTACAATCGTTAAGTGCCTTCCAATGGAGGCCCTAACACCAGGCGTCCACTCCTCGAAGCCTCTCCACGTCGGAAATTCTAGCAACACGTAGACGGCCCTCCCTCACCCTGGGCCAGTGTTTCTGGCAACCTCCGGACACCATACTCAGCGACGCACAGGTCAAGTGGATTTCTTCTCCCAGAAGATCTGCAAGGCATTGACAGCGGTCGACTCCATGAACAACCCATTTAGGAGAGTAGCAATGTCGCGAACAAAAGACTCTCTGTTGTTTTTCTCCTTATGCGGCTACCTCACTGGGGCTTTCCTGAACTCGAGTACTTTGGACACTACCAGTGCTTTGGCCGTGCAGAACGCACAGACTGAAACGCTGCAACGATTACGCAATGCGGTGGCACAGCTGGATATGCTGACGAGAACAAAGGTCGAGGACATCTTGATGGCCATCATTCCGTTCGGTCTCAATACAAACTGGGACGGATCCAATAGCCCTAGCATCTTTCATTACAATGCAGCGGTCCGATTGTACATGCATGCCTGTGGACACGGAACGCCATGTCCACGACCGGGCGACCACCAGGAGCTCTTCCTTCATACACTAGTATACTGGTGGATGGGACTCGCATTTGTCACAGACACCACCAAAGAGTGTCTGTTAGAGCCCCCACCCCTCGAAATTGGCATTGGCAATGACAGCGAGACCGCCAACTCGGCCAAAAGGATCCCGCATCCCCTCGCTGGCGTGTCCCCCGAGGCCCAAAGGCTGCTTGGGCGCGCGCGGGCTCCTTGATTTACGGACAAAGACTGAGGTGCCGGGAGAAATCCTTCCCAAGCATGAATAAGTTGCAGAAGGAATACGAGGCAGTACAACGGGCGCAGAGCCTGGAAGCGGAGGCCTTATGACTGCAACTGCCAAGGGCCGACGAATTTGCCGACGTTGGTGATATAGAGACCCCTGTACAGGACCTCATCAACACCGCGGAAGTTTATCGACCTGCAGCCCTCATTTTGCTTTATCGAGCATTTCCAGATCTGCTCAACGGCAGACTGCGGCTCGACGAAAACGAAGCTGATGCCGGCCAATCCGCAAAGGAGCGACGATTGCTGTGGGTGACGGCGCTAGCCATCCGCGCCCTTAACATCCTACGCCAGAATGCCCCGCGCTCGGGGACCCGCAGTATTGAGCCAATTCTGCTTGTCATCATTGCAGGCGAACTACAAAAGCGGACTTGCTCACAGATCTCTAGCCTAACGGATGAGAGCGACGGTCTGAGCCTTGGGCCATCGATTGCGGGATGCAGCCCACCCTCGCCACTACCGACAAGTTCTTTTGATCACTTTACGGCTCTACACGGGCTTGCGGGCCATGATTCCCTCCGAAGTATCTTTGACAGCCACTTTTGCGAATCTTCAGGGCCAGACCGCATCGATGAGGCTCGCAGGACACTTCTTCAGCGCCTCCAATCGATCCGCTAAATCTTGCCATACAGATTGCTTGAACTTGTGCAAGAGCTCGTGGTCAAAACGTGGGACGCCGGCGACAATGATACTCCCGAAGTCTTCTGGATCGATATCATGATTGAAAATGAATTGAAGTTCCTGCTGGTATGAGATATTTTCTCCCGAACCTGCACCCTCAAAGGTCACCTACAATCTTCCTGTCTTCACCTCAAGCCTCGTCCTGATGGCTTATAAACTTAGGCGATAAAATGTGCAGAAAAAGTTTGCCGAATACCCCAATATAGGAGGTCGGAGGTCGTACATATATGGTACGAACTGGCGTTCACGCGGCTAGCCGCAGAACAAAAATGTAAGGTTAAATGAGAGGGGACAACGTAGCCTCGTTGGCAAGGGTAACGACGATTCCGTGACGACCACAAAAGGAATTATATGTTGAACAGCCTAATGCGAATAGGCAGAATGCAACGATGAGGGTTCCAATAAGGCGATATCGCCTCCGTCTCATCCCAGGGGAGTCGCGAGTAGTTCAACCACACCTTGGCACGTAGAGAAGAGTAAAATCTGCTTAAAGCTCACGAGCGACTCACAGATCGTGCGGCTTCTTACTCCCCCTGTCATCACCACCGGCTGGATCATATTGCAATGATTAGTGGTTGATAGCGGCGACTAGAGCTTAGTCATTCCACAAGGAGTAGCTTCCAACTTCTCTCGTAGCTGGCAGTGCTGATATGATATTCTATGCTATACTAATATTATCAACGCTGGGTCCCTCCAAGCCCAAGGCCTCGCCTTCCCTGATTCCATGGAGGTAGCACGCGCCGATCAATGCATATGTCTCTTTGGAATCCGAACGGATCAGGAATGGAACGGAGGAGCTCAGGGATGGGAAGATCAGGTCGGCCCACACGCGCATGAAGATGTCGATGCTACCCAATTTATGTTGGTTGGCTCTCTGCTGGCCCCGAGTGGCTTTGGTCGCTTCCGGATGCAGCCCTTGTTGCGAATTGTTTTGGGTGGCGATTAACACTAGAGTAAACGTTCTGCCCGCGAATTCTGTTGTGTTGTGTTATGGTGTTCCGTACAGTATGAGAGAGCATGTATTGTATTGACTGCCTGTCTACATGAGACGACGACTCTGCAAGTCCTTATATACACGTTCCTGCTGTCCGGCACGGCGTCAACACCACGCCGCGCCGACGAGGCTTCGCAAGGCTGAACCTTTATATAGCTCTCGGCGTGCCGTCTGACTGTGAATCTGACGGGCTGAGACGACACTGCCTCAACATGTTGCCCACACAGTCAACAAGATGCATGAAACTACGAGCGTGCAACAGCTAGGACCATCCTATCGACCGGTGAAGCGTTTCAGGGTTAAAATACAGTGCCGCATACACTGTACGGGCTTTCGCCCAGTGGTGTACTAATATCAGCCAACGATTTGCTTTCGACACTTCCTGCCCTCCCCTGCCGGTACTGCTGCCAACGAAATGGTTGGGTCTCGATGATTGATAGTAGTCACCCTCTAGTTTTTTTTCCCGCGGGAGACATCGCCACAACTGTGCGGCTGAGAGCAGGCTGAACGTAGTCGAGGGCAAATCACGTTGTGGCGGACAGCGCATCCTCATCGCGAGGCACCGTGAACAGATTCCCCCCACCGCTATGAATTACTGTACGCCAAATTTTCATCACGCGCTCGCGCCGTTGTCGCGACCTCGAAGCTGGACAGGCTCGGATCCTGCTTGCAGGATGCACTCCCTGCCATCTTCTTGTACAACATGCCACGCCCAACCGGGCGCAGACCACTCACTTCGACAGAAGAAGCCGAAGTTCTTGAATCCCCGATCCTCAGTCGTTGAGGAAGACATGCCCTTACTCCCACTCCTCGACCTTTTCGTCAGCTGCCGCGACCGCGAACGCAGACCAAGGCTATGACGAATCTAGCACACACTTCGGTCGACCCTGCTCGGTCTGCTAGGCCGTGTCGAGGACGATCATCGCATAACCGTGTCGTCGTCTGTGTGTATGTTAGGGCTGCCGGATCAGCCTAGCGCTGAATAATTTTGTCAACTAGGTCGGTTGTCAGGTGGCAGTGCAGAGGTTCGTGAAGTTGTATGCGTTGTACTCTGGGGTACCAGTGCAGGAGCATTCGATCGTCTGACTATCCGTCTACAGGAGATGACAACTCTGTAGTTCATAAATACACTGTTCCTTGCGGCCACATCGCCGTCCACGATCGCAGAGCTCTCCGGGAGCGAGAACTGGCAAGATTGTAAAGAGCACAGTATGAACAGTGCGAACTGAATGAACTGAACTTGATTGATTAACTGTACTGAAGAGAGAAGGAAATCTATCTGAGAGAAGGAAAAACAAGAGGTTGTTTGCGCGCCGCAGTGCATGTGACCACGCCAAGACAATGCACGTGACTAGTCACGTGACAGTACAACTGTACCGGTGGCGCAACAAAGATAACGACCCGGGAGACCTCGCCGAGAACCACCGTATGACGAGGCTGTACAAGGCTGAACTTCTGTATAGACCTTGCCGTGCCGTCTGACTGTCTGTGCCATTTGCAGTACAACAGTATGTGCCTTCAGGTAGCAGAGATCAATTGGGCTAGTGTCTGTGTGCAGAGATCGTCTAGTGCTCTGACTAGTGTATAGTACCTCATATGCCTAAAATACGATAATGTTCGACAACCCTATCAGGATCTCCTCTGTCCTACTGTTCTGAAGCGCGCAGTAAACGCTGAGGATCGTGCAAGCGATGGTCTTCGGCATCTGGCCGAATTCCACTTCTCCGCGAAAGCTCGACAAATGCTGCTGTGGTGGGTTTCAATAACTCGAAGTTACAAGAACGATGTATCTAACATTACTGCGAAATTGAAATGATAGATACAGCGACCGAGTGCTCACGAATCCCCCTTCATATCCAACCCTCCATTGCAGTCCACATCACCGCCAAGTGACGATATATGATGCGTAGCTGCACAATGGACAGTCACAAGATTACACACCTGCCGTTGTTTTGAGTCGTCTTGGCCTCCGTACGTTCATCGCCTCCTCGAGAACTGTGATCAATGCGATTTCCATTTTGCTGGTCAGCCTCTTCTCCAATAGCGATACAGTCTTGCCAGGTTCCTGTATTCAGACCATCAGGCACTTGGATTTTGTCCTAGGCTTTTGAAGTCCTGATTTCATGACCGTTGAGCTGTTTCGCATTCCTACCTTCAACTCTGCAGGAGTACCACTTGCCCCCAGCTGTGCCACTTGTCTGATGCGTGTCTCCGTTGTTCGTGGCAGATTGACCTGCGCGGGACTGCTGAGAATCTTGATCCGCATTCGTCCCTGCATCTTGAGTTAACAAAGCTGAAGCTGGGGGTGCAAGGACGGTCAGTACCCTGTTCATCCGAGTGATGCTGGGCTTGACGTTGGAGTGGCCGGGAGTCGTTAGGACGCGTCCGAGCTCGCTCTTCAGTCCAGGGGACCGAGAAGCCTTTATTTGGCGTATCTTCATTTCCACTCTTGGCGGGCGATGCCATTGTTTTGGCCTGACTCAGATGTTGCTCTATTTGTTGCAGGGCGTGTCCGTGGATGCTCCCCAGGTAAAGGAGCAGACTGCTTTTGTCGTTTTCCAAGGCTGTGAAGCTTTGAAGGATTTGTGCTTCGTGTCTCTGGTTTACGATGGCTTTCCAGAACCGCTTGATCGACTTGTCCGTGACCTGCCGCAGGCTAGATTTCAGCAATGCGAGCAAGTTGTCCACGTTTCTTTGAATTTGTTCCAAGTAGCGCCTTATATCCCCAAACGCGAAGTGGTCCGTCCTGCTGACCTATTCGAGAAAGTCCGCGAAAAAGAGGAGTGCGTCCATTCGCTCTTGTAGCCGGCGAGGCGCATCTTTGAGCTGATGAATGGCGTCCTTAATGGCAAGGATGAGTTTCGACACATACGTGACCATCTGCGCCGTGCTGGCGATGGCCCCGAGAGCTTCCAACCCCGACATGGCTGCATGCTCTGAGGCTCTTGGGCAGTAGCGTTATTCTGTAGTGAAAGTTATCATCTCGAGCATGATCACACAGGAATATCGTCCAGGGGATTATTGCGTGGCACGAAATGACTGGACAGCCTCACCCGAGCCTTTGTCTCTCCATCGAATGTATTCGGAGGCCTGAGAGAAAGAAGGCGTCCATGTTGAAGGGCGAGAGAGGAATGAGGCTATGCCTGTGTAACATCTTTGCACGAACTCTTCCCGCTGTCAAGGCGAACTGTTTCTGCAGGTGCGCCCGTGATGCCACTACAAAGGCCGCCGCACGAGGCTTTGAGGGCGGATGCAAGAAGTATGCAAGTGCTGCAAGGATGCCAATTCGTGCCTAAATCAACCTTCCTCGCCTTACACTAGTGCCCGGAAATAAGTCATTTGAGAGCCGAAACTTGAGGGTGCCGATTCCGAGGGTGGCTCCGTGTAGCGTTGTCATAGGTAAAAAAGAATAATTATGATTGGCCATTATGCTCCACCGCCCAAACGCAGCTGCGGTGCTTGTTAGAGCCCAAACACCACCACATCTCTCATCCAACCAACCCCGATAGCTTTATGCTGGAGATTGGCAATATGGCCTTGCTCCCACTGGGCCTTTGTGCCCCATTTCGAGGAGACCGGAATTCGGTAAGGGGTGACAGCTGTCATCAGCACAACGGCCATGTCAACAACATCTTCAATATCATCTACTTCAATAACTTCTGCTTCAAGTCCTGCCACTCCTGCCACTCCTGCCAACAGGGGACACGAGGCAATCGGCGTGTTGCTAAAATTTTCCTACTGGCCGCCACTGCCGCCGCTGCCGCTGCCGTCGCCGCCGCCGTACTATACGCAGTCGAGATGTAAATAGGCGGGGTTTCAAAGAAAGGGAAAAGGAAAAAACAAGCAGAAGCTAGACCACATTACAGATCAGGTAGCGCTTGAGCTCTGTTGCCTGCATCGGATGAAGCTGATTTTTAGCCGGAAAGATGAATAAGTTAAGGAGTGCCCATGCTTCTTCGACACCTCGACTGCCTTTCATTGAACAGAAGTTCCAACCTTGCCCACTTGCTAACGTGGTCAACCACACGGAGCGCCACACCAAAGGGGAAATCGCCCCCCGCGTCCTACCCCATAACACGCAACCGATTCGTCTCTCCTGATCGCAAAATCCAAGCCCCTACCTGCTGTGCAACATTCTGGATACGATGGCTACACAGTTTGGAAACGAGCGGAGAACACCATTTTGCACCCAACCTCCTTTTTTGTCCCCCGGCGTTGCGGCTACATTTTCACCAAAATAAGTCTTCTTCACCATCTGCGTCCTCAACTCGTACTTTGGAGAGATCCTTAAACGCAAAACTTCTAGATTTGTGAGAGCACGTTTTCATTTCCCGAGAATGTTAGGTTGGGTTGGATTGCCCTGTTTAGATGAGAACTGGGGCGTCTTGTACGGAGTACATTTCGTAGTGCCAATGCCTTTGAAGCTATGTATGCACCCGCTTCGATACAATGCCGTTTTATAAAAGGAAACTTCCGCGAGGCGGCTATCGTACAAATGAGGGTCGTTGATTGATTATTGTTGCTCTGTCGACTCGATGCCAGCGGAGAGCTCTCCCTAATGGACTGCATATACAAATGAGTGGCTAGGCATCGACGTCTGTCTGCCTCATTGAGTGCTTCGGGTGGGCAGGCAAGAATGATGAGCTGTCCCCGGCGGTCAGCTTGACTATCCACGGTCCTACAGCCGTCTAAAGAGGTGGTAAATGTTTATTCCTTTCTCAAGGCACGAAGAGATGCCTACGCATTTTACATGGTCGATATGTTCCAGAATGAACTTCATCAGAAGGGGAATAATATCGGCGAAGACTATACTGCATGACTAATAGCAAACATACTGCATCCTGGGAACACACAATCCTCCACGCGGCGAGCCTTATCGAACCAAAATCAAAATCCTCTTTGCCTCCCCCCCCCCGAAAACGTGGCCCATTAGCTCCCTACGAGCCCGCTAACTCGGCGCCAGCCGGCGTGCTGGCAGCCACAAAGAACAAAGAGCAAGTCCTGGAGCAGGGGGCTCCACCAGAGCTAGAGGTAAGAAAAGCCAATTACAGGCGTTCATACTGGTCTCTACCAAGGCGAGCAAGGTCGCCCATTATACAGCGAGAGCCAGACGCTTCGGGCTCCTACGACCGGTGAGCCACAGGTGATCGTTCACCCCGGCTCGCGCATCGCCCCTGTCCCGACCCAATGGTGAGTCGGCGAGTAGTTTAACGACACCTTGGCGGCAAGGAACGTTACACAAACTAAGCCCGATCATGCCGCTTTGAAAACCGCACTGCTCGCGACGCACCCCCGCCTCGCCGGAACATACGAGCAAGGAGATGTTGGAAAATGGGACTTCTGGCCGATCATGATCTACGCCTGCACCTGCGATGAGGGGAGAGGGTAGGGGTCACCACTGACAGCAAGCGGTTGGACTCCACGCTAACACGGGCTGTACGGCTAAATGGCACTCGGTCTGGAAAATATAAGGTCGTACGGACGGGTCGCCTGAACCCCTTCCTCAATTTGGCGGCATCATCGTCCTTTTGAGTCCATACCAGTTCAACTAATCCGGCCATATAACCACACTACACTAGGTCTATCCCGCCGCGATGTCCGGGGCCTCCAATGCCTCCCTGGCCCAGCGCATTGTTCATACGGATCCGGCGAAGTACCGGCGTGCCGCCGCGCCCCATGGCGGTGCGGGAGAGATCGACATCAACGCGTTGCTGGGCGCGGACGCGCTGGACTCGAACCTCATCTTTCTGCATCGCGGAGTGATCCGCCCCGGGTGCGGGATTGGCGCACACTCCCACAACCGCTGCGAAGAGATGTTCGTGATCCTGGACGGCGAGGCGCAGTTCACCATTGACGGAGGACGTCGGTGTTGAAAGGCCCTGCCGGCGCGCCCACCCGGCTGGGCCATTCGCACGGGATCTTCAACGCCACGGACACGCCGGTACAGTGGCTGAACATCAACGTCGGGCTGACCAAGACGTACGATGCCTTTAATCTCGGCGATCCGCGGCTTGACGTGCCGATCGATCCCCGCCCGACGTTCATGTCGATGCGTCTAGACCCGACGTTGCTAAAGCCGGCGGAGAGCCTACACGGCGGATCGGGGACGGCTCAGTATCGCCGCGTCCTCCAGCCCAGCGTCTTCAACACGGCCTGGTCCTACGTCGACCACCTGGTCCTCCCGCCGGGGACAGTCGCGGGGGCGAACCAGCACCCAGACATGAGCGAGGTGTACTATGTGTAGGCGGGTTCTGGGACGGTGGCACCGACAGCCGATACGGCAGCGGCGACGGCGATCCATGTCGGGGATGCTATTCCTCTCTGGTTAGGCGAGAGTGCCTCCATCAAGAATACGGGTGACGAGCCGCTAGAATTCATGATCATCGGAGTTGCTCGCAGCCTCGCCGCCAAAGAAGTGTATATGGCTCAGTAAAAATATGCACGGAAGGACACTGCTGCGGTAGACTGCCGCCATCTGCATGGATAGGACAGGATAGCGCTGTAAATGCATTGCAAAGCGCGACTGGATCCTCCTCCTCCTCCTCCCCCACCACCACCACCACCACCACCACCAGCAGAGGCCGTGAAGCGATTGTCCCGTGCAGCGATCTTTGTATTTGATTCGGCCGGCGAGTAGGAGACTTTGCTGCATGACTTTTACAAGCTACCACTTCAAGCCAGCAGTTGAGGAGTTCGACGGGTATATCGGCCTAGAGATGTTGATCATCCAGAGATCGTCCAGGGCGGACCCGTGCCGGCTCAAGGGGGGCGGAGAGAAGAGGCGCACGTCCTATCCAAACTAGACCAAAGGTGCGTTGAAGCGCGTTCCAAGCTGCGTTGGAGAATGTCCTCGTGTCTTGAAAGTTGGTGGCTATTTCCTAATTCGGAATTTCACATTCTCGACTAGGGAGTGGAGGGGCCGCTCTGATGAACAAAATCCACTATGTTAGGCTACCGGCTAGAATCCCGTCGCATCTCGTCGTTGGGATGAGACGCTTATATACCGCTAGAAAGCGAGACTAGTAGATTATCCCTATAAGGCTCTCTACGGCTGCCCTTCCCGTCCTTAAGACGATAGACGGGTCCTTTAGTCGGGACATCTATTCTGGCTCGTAGGGTATACCTAAGCCAGTCGATATAGATAAATCGGAACGGCTAGGCTTAGTCAATGATCTACGGCGGTAGCGATGAATAGTAGAATCTGATCTAATCTTGACTACCTAGTAGCTGTATTATGGGGTAGGGTAGCCGCCTTTGTTAAAAAAAAATAACAATAAGCTAGGTTGTCGGCTCTTCGTCAACCCCGTCTACCTGAATCTACCTTGCCGTCAAAATAACAGCGCAAGCGCCGAACATGCCTAAGCAATGAAGCGCTTTGACTCGACGTCCTCGCGGGGATGCGGAACTACAAGGGGAGTAGGATGATGGCGAAGCTAACCCAATTTAGAGAAAGGGAGATTTTGTGGCCATTACGTCACCTAGAATCGGTTGCCAAGTTATGGGTAGCCTTGGCCGAGGCGATAAATTGGCAACTATAGGCGGGTGCCAGGAACAGGGCCCTCTGGCCCAAATGTGGGCGCGATTGATCCGTTGCTCAGGCCGAATGATACCATGCTCAGTCACGTGCAGGAGCATCTCAGGTTGAAGCAGCGAGACTCAGGGCCACGCTCAGGTCCAGGGATGGAAATGGAAAGTCCTCGTGTCGAGATTCCGACCTCGAACTCCCTGTTTCTTGGTACAAGAACGGCAAGGCTGAGGGCAAAGTCTGGGGCCCATGGCCCGGGTCATCCCTCTCATACCTCGAATTGATGAGCCAACCCCGCTGGGAGGACTGGGATATCACGTACCTATCGCGGAACCGCTTCCACTTTCTCGGACGTGGCAAGACGGAGCGCGAAGTTAGTGGTGGAGATTTGGCTTATTATGTGACGGAACTTGGAGCTAGTGAGACTACAGTAGCGAGATAGTGACTCTATATCATGGCCCTCTTGACTTGGTAAGTGCCCAACCATTCTTACTCTCCTTCTCACCTTCGCACTCTCATGTCCGATTCGGCTCAGTGTTACCACTGGAGCTCCTGTAGCGAACTGGGACTATCCAACTCCTGCATTATCTCTGGTACAAGGCTTGAACTCCTGTCGTTGCGGTTTTCTTTTGCAAGCCCTTTGAAAATCGCCTTTCCTAACTGTTGATATGATTGAATCAAGCCTTGATTCTGGTACAGCGACAGTTCCATGTTCGACAACTTAAAGGGGAAGGCATGAGCACCGGTGCGGCCACTTTCACTGCCCTCGTTATCACAAATGCAAACTACCCTCTCATTTAGACGTATTTCAATATGAGCCCCGTCGATGGCCGCTTCAAAAAAGCTGTCGTCGTCGATAATGAAGCATAGTAGTCCAACGTTAGGAGCATTGCGACCAAATATGAATGCGAATGACCGAGCTATCACGCATTCGACTCCCAAGCCTGCTGATGAGTTAACAGATGGGAGTCCGAGGAGAACTTGGAATATGGAACATGTGCTTTCAAGAGGATGGAACGGGAGACAAAAGGACAATCGAAGCAGGGAAACTGCTTACCTTTCAACGCTCTCACCGCCGCTTCTCTGGAAGAGCCACAACCCATCGCTTTCCCTGCGACAACGACTCTTTGCCCACTGCGAACTTTGTCTCGAAAGTCTGGCATGACGTGTTTCATGCAGTATTCAGCTAACTCTTCGTCGGTGTTACATGTGACCAGAGACTCGGCAGGTGCAATCTATACGTGTTGAAGCCAGCTCAGCAAATCTGGCTTGACAAAACGTTGAACTTGGACAAGAATTACAGATGAAGTTGGCAGGAGGAACAAGGAAATTCTCCGGACTTACCTGATCGGTGTCAACAAAGTCACCCAGCCTGATCACCTTGCTGCTGATTGTCGCGACGGCTGGATCCGTCTGAACCCCAGTCCGTCGCTCTGAACTATTCATCGTCTGGTCCAAGTCTAGCGCTGATGTCGGGCACAGTGTTTGTTCCTCATCGGCGATGGGGAGAGATACGAAATTTGGCTCAGAGTATTGAACATGTCTCCCGGGTATCAGGGACGTGATGTGGCTTGCTTTGGTACGGCCAGGGCGAGCTTTCAGTGTGTCAATAAAGCGGGAGTCAATTTCCTCGATGAAGCTCGTCGGATCTGTGACCGTCATGGAGAATGCAGACGCGGCGACCGTTGTAGCTGAGGAAAGGTTACCGATGGACCCTTGAAGTCATATGTCAGCTTCAGAAGCAAATCATATAAGAACGTTCCCTATAAAAGTCCAACACAATGAGCGATTTGTGACCTGATGGCCAACTTACCCTTGCCCATTCGATGCTTAAAGTTTCGATTTTGCGACGAGAGCCAAACCTCCCCTTCGTGTGCTTGATCAGCTCCCATGCCAACACAGTAACTGCAGCCTGGTGCGCCGATTTCGAAGCCGGCTTCTCTATAAACATCCATCAACCCCAGGGCTTCAAGTCGTGCCCGAATCGGAACTGATCCCGGAACGACTTTTCGTTTTCCAGGGGCCAACGGCAACTGCTTTCGCAAACCAACTTGGAGGACCAAAGCTGCGAGAATTAGGTCTTCTTCGGTAGTGGTACAAGCACCTATGAAACAGCCATCCAATCTCATCCCGACTTTGTCTGTCACAGGGACAACCTGGTCTGGTGAAGGGTAGACGGCAAACAACGGTTTGATCTGAGAGAGATCTATCTCATAGACTTCTGCATATTGGCAATCGTCGTCGGGGAGGAAATACAACGAGGTCGAGCGGTGGTGTCTGCCCCGTCGGCCATCCACATATGCTTTGGTGATATCGTCCGGAATGAAGGTGCCGGTGATTGCGCCGAATTCCTTTGATTCAGAAACGTAGTCAATCACGTTAGTGCTCATGCAATTATCTTGTGGACTCACGAAGTCCGCACAAGGTCGGTGTTAACTTACAGTGCACATATTCGAGATAGCGAATCGTGCGTCCACAGAGAGATACTGGCATCCTGGGCCTGAGAACTCCACAACTCGATCCATTGCAACCGTGTTTCTTTTCAGCTTACCCAGGATATAAAGTATGATATCCTTTCCCCCAATACCCAATTGCGGTTGGTTAATGAATCGAATGTTAATACATTCCGGCACAGAGAGCCAGGTTTCTCCAGTCACCAGTCCCATCGCGACATCTCCGGCACCAAGGCCGATGGCCAAGCATCCCACTGCGCCTGCCGAACAAGTATCTTTCAGTCCGCTAAGGTCAGTGCTCTCATTGGAAATCGTGGAAATGTTCGGCTTCCACACTTACGTGAGTCGGATCCAAGAATGAGCTGACCGGGTTGGGCTCGTTCTCTTGTAAATTCGGTGTGAAGGATGGTATACTAAGATGCCTTGTCAATGTCACAGACAGGGAGCAATAAAGTGGAATCATTGTTCTTCTCAGATAACAAGGGAGGTTTGCTGGACTTACATTTGGACCTTTCCATTCCGTTAGTTTATGGTCCATAGCCACCTTGTCAGCCGCAGCCAGTAATCTCCGGTTCAAGGGTGTGTCATATGTCCGAGGATCGACAACATGATCTCCTGCAAGCCAAAATCGATCGTTCCGCCACACATGGAAGTTTGGGAGTTGATTCAATGTTTTTGCCATTGTCTGGAAGATCACCCAGTGATGTGACATATATTAGCTCTTTGCTTCTTCGTTGACGTTTGAGGAGGCATGGGTGGCAAGAGTCTTTGTTTCTCCTGATTTTGCCAGCTGGAAAGTGAAGGGAAATGGAAAAGCACTGACAAAATAAGAACTCTCTGACGCCACAATCCAATCTATACTGACGCGCACCACATCACCCTTTCGCAGCCCATCAAGTGGGATGGGATCAAAGGCATGATGAGCCAAAATCTTTTCTGTCAGCGTCATCCCCCGGCGGGCCATGTCGAATTGTCTTGCTGACAATGGAGGACGCAACTGCCGTGAATTCTCTGCTGCGCTGAGAGACTTTAACCACGCCTCCACCCAAAACAGAATAGACTCCCGTGCCACCGTAGTTAGAGGTTTCCAGAGCTCGAGTTCCAATCCACCCTGGTCCTTTGGAAGGAGCACCTGATCCTTCGCTCTACGCAGACCTTCAGCTTCCCGTGTCTTGCTCTGAGTGACCAGGGCAGCAATGAATCTGTCCAGGACGATCCCGAAATGACCTGGGCTTGATTCCGGTAGAATACCTTCCCCTGTTTGGAATGGGACGGGAATTTCGAGATGTATACCCCTGACGTCTGCGAGCGTTTTTGAAATGAAGCTGGAAAGCTCATTTAGAGCTGAAGCGGTTGGATCTGTCATTATTGGCTCCATAATGCCCTAAGGTAAGCCTGCTTGCAATAAAGGCCCAGCGATGGATCGTGGCTTGGAACAGTCTTTGAATTGATCGAGTGACTGCTTCCAATCTTTCCAACAATATCGTTGAAGATTGGCGGTTTCGAATACTGCAATAAATGTCCTAGCTGAAGGAAGGGCACGTCTAGTTCCAATCTGGCTGATTTACACGAGTTTTAGCAAACAAGGGTACCTTGAAATGTCTACAATATTGTGTGTCAAGGACGTGGCTGCAATCAATCTCTCTTGGGTACACCGAAGGAGCGTTTTGGGCGGCTTTCCGTGTCATTGCGGAGGTCTGACCTCCCTTCGGCGATAACTCCCATCAACGAAAGATAAATTGATGGAGAGCCGATCAAGACCGGCGACAGGGATCGATTGGCACGAGGGGTGAACGAAGCAAGAGTGTTGTCGATCTTGAAAGTGGATGCTACAGGACTCAACGCAGGCGGTGTAGTCTTCAGCGTGAAAAATATTGTTATCGGAATACGCTGCAGACATGCATCTTTTCCCAGGAACACATGAAAATCATTCTCATGGAGTGGCCGTGCTATTCGCTCGCCCCTCTTTTCCTGTTCACGATATATTCTATTACTTTATCCAATATATCTTCAATCATGCAGCCCGTTGGTGCCGTTGGACCTATTCGCAGTTTCGGTACTTTCGGTGGCCTTTCCATCCCAAACATCGTCGGGGATATATACCTTGCCCTCAAAGATACGTCGAGATGTCCTCACAAACGCCAATACATTGAACTCAGGCTTCTCACTCGGCGTGGTACGCGCCCTTCGGCCGTCAACAGCGGCCTCGACCCGAACGTGGAACAGACCTAGCGGATGGGAAATACGGAATTCGGGGTCGTCCAGGCTTTTGGCTCCCCCATTGGTCAGGGTGTTGATCAGGGTACCTTGAAGCCGACTGCAGGCTGCTGTGGCAGCGGCGACTGTGCCAGCCATGCCATCATGGCACATATTGTTCAGGATGAAGCGAGAAACAATATGCGCACCTCCTAGAGAGCCGACCGTGTTGTCGCGAACTGGTTCGACCATGACTACGGAGGGCAGGCCAGGCGATTGTTGGTCCACCAACTCCCAATTGGTGCACATGCCCAATTTGTGCGCAACTTTCCCGCGGACTTCTCTGCAGCGCGCGATTAGTTCTTTGTCGTTGGTGATAGACGTGGCACTGCGAGAAGCCAAGTCGGCTACCCCTACATCTTTCGCCTGGATGAACGAGGTAAGTTGGGCGATATCCACGATAGTAATAGGGACCTTGATCCCTTCGATCTCTATTGTTTCGGTGGGAGTTCCCGTGGGCAATGGACCTTTGTTTAGAAATCCTGCTGAGGTCTGTATTATTTGTCGTCAGTCGGATACGTCGGCGAATGAAGAGCGTGTGGCAGGAGGGCGGTGGGACAAGGCATGGAAGAAGTGGTTGAAGTTCTCACGTTGCGGAAGTCCATCAGAATAGGAGCTCCAGTCCCCGGGACACCAGCAATGGCAAAATCCCCCCGTGAAATAGATTTCCCACTTTTAGCACTGACAGGTACGTGGGCGATTAATAACCTCTTGATCGCGGTCTGATAGATGCGAACTTCTCTTGTTTGTAAGTCGGGATCCAAGGCTACCCCTTTTCGAAAAGGCTTTTTGATGATTCCCTCGTCGATAGCAAATGGTCCCACGCCAACACTGATGTTGCCACAGTTACCCCGTAGCCGAATGTGGTCCTCTGCGATGCCGACCTGCCCAAATGTGTATTCCACGTCGGCATCTTCTCGATCAGATGCTTTTATGATGGCCACTTTCGATGTTACAATGCGGGTTCCCCCCATCCCGTCAATTTGTATGGGATCTGGTGTACCCATGACCCGCTTTAGGACACGTTCTCTGAGGAGCCCGGGGGGTGGAATGTCCTCTTCCTTGAAGAACATTGCTTTGCTGGAACCTCCGCGGAGGTAAACAGCAGGAATAGCAATCTGGCCTTCAGACATGTTATTTTGGTCTTTATTTTTGCAAAGAGGTCTGCTGCAGGGCAGAGGTGGAACAAAGAGGGATATCCTTTGTATCAGAGTCTATCATATCCCGTCTGCTGTCGCCTAACCCAAAGAGAGGGGAGATACCATCCCAGGCAAGATTTCGATTTTAGATTCCTTAGGGTGTGATAGAGCCGATCTCAGCTGCCGACTGTCGGACCTCTGATCTCCGGTTTCATTTAGATGTCCGATGCCCAAAGTCCGATACTCAATTCCTTCCCGTCCGATGCGAATTCCGCGCTCGAGGTTCGGCTAAGCATGGTTTGAACCCCATTAACTCTGAGAGTTGGCACTGTTGGAATAGGTTTGATCTGTAAACCAGATAAGCTGTCTATTAGTAAATGGCGGGAAGGGCAGTTATGAATGTTTCTTCTAAATCGTGAGCATCGCTGGTTCATTACATCCAATACGGCTAAAAATGGGGTCTTACTCGGCACCTGTTAACGCAGCTGCAGTTCTGCGCCATCGTCTTGCCAATGAAGCAGACATTATTGTCTGCCCGGGGGTATACGACGGCCTCACTGCCAGAATTGCTCTTCATGCAGGTTTCGATGCTTTGTATATGGTATGCCAGCCGTCTTAGCGAGAAAGCCTGCGTCTTCATAGGGATACTTTTGCTAATTGGTAGACTGGGTCTGGGACCGCCCTTTCGAGGCTGGGTGCACCTGATATTGGACTCGCTACACTTAACGACATGAGAGAGAACGCATCTCTCATCGCGAGCTTGGATCCTTCGGTACCTCTTATCGCAGATGCGGACACAGGATATGGAGGTATGCTTGCCCAATAAGTTCGATATCAAACTGACCTGGCAATCTCTGGATAGGTCCACTCATGGTCGGCCGCACTGTTGCTCAGTATATACAGGCTGGAGTAGCGGGACTTCATTTGGAAGACCAGGTTGCAAACAAGAGATGTGGCCATCTCCGCAACAAAGAGTTAGCCCCTGAGCAAGAGTATGTCTCCCGCATTCGGGCAGCAGTGAACATGCGCGCACAGCTAGGCAGTGATATTGTGATCATTGCCCGCACAGATGCCCTACAGTCATTGGGATTTGAGGCGGCTTTGGACAGATTGAAGAAGGCCATTGCTGTAGGAGCGGATTTGGCATTCCTGGAAGGAATCAAGACCAAAGAAGAAGCCGAAAGAGTGTGTCGGGAGCTCCATCCAGTCCCCGTTTTGTACAACATGGTGCAAGGAGGTGTGTCACCGCGCTTAACGGTGGCAGAAGCAAAAGCAATTGGCTTCCGTGTTATAATATACCCCTCCATTGCGACGCGTGCAGCCTTTTTAGCAATCACAGAATCCATGACTATGCTGAAGGCCCAAGGAGACTATCTCGATGAAACTGGAAAGATTGGGCCAACGGCTGTCTACAATGTGTGTGGATTGAAAGCAGCCATGGATTTCGATAAAGCAGCTGGGAGCAACACGTACGATGATGGAGTATGACGAGTGTCTGCGTGGAACATTTTGCTGTCACCCACTTATCAACCTGATGAAGAGATCAAATACAGAGACACCTTTTGGCATTGCCATACCCATTGTCGTCCTTTTGGACCTTGCTTACCTTTTGGCTGCTTCCTTCGCACAACTCTCGTCACCCTTTTTGCGGAACTCGGATCCCATAAGTTGACTCTCTAATTTGATACTTGTCGTCTTTGATATGCCATAGTGCTGAATCATGGGTTCTTCAACCTAGGGAGGCATTACCTAAATGGATGAAAGTCCTGCGTCACCTGCTGATGCGAGGGGGACTCGGTTACTCGGCCCGTTTCGGTAAGGTCGGGCTTGGGTACTCGGGGGCCTTTTTTTTTAAATATCAATGGTCTAGGCCGCTCCTTGTAGTTATTTAGCCACTTGAACCTCAAAAACCATCTCGCTTTCTTGTTAGCAATGCCAGAAAAACAGCCACGCAAGGATATCAGGGCTTGCACGCAGTGCAGACAGCAAAAGGTTCGCTCGCCACCCACCCCTTTGACTCATTGCCATAGTGCATATCCCGTGCCGAGACCAGGATAGGCGACTAAATGGCTCGACTAGTTACGCTGTGATGCCCATCAGTCGCCTTCAGCTAAGTGTACTCGATGTCGAAGGATGAATCTCGAGTGCGTGGTCCTCAGGTCATTCAAAAGGGTCAAGAAGAAGACGTGAGCTCATCCAGCATCTCAATTCAGCCGTGGGCTGTCAATCTTGTCAGTCGGAGAAACGCCAAACTGACCACCAGCATGGCTACAGCAAAGCAGAGCTACAGGAAGAAAACGATCGTTTGAGACTTCAGGCTTCTATCATGGCGTCTGGAGACGAACCGGCACAAATAATACACCACGCGTCTGAGCTTCCTTCTGTCTGGCAGCCGTCGGCCGCTAATTCCTCGTCTCCCAATACCCAATTCCATACCATTGACTTCCTCAATCTCTCTCCACCTAAAGCCCATTCGACTCCTACGCAACCCAGCCTTGCCAGCCCGGACGTAAGCAGCCATACAGGGCAAAGCCATACTCAGAGAGAGCCTGGTCAATGCCAACCCGGGACAGCTCAGTCACACCCAAAGCCACCAACCTCAATTCAACAACCCCTATCAAGTGGTGCTGGATCAGACACTTTGCCCCGAACAATCGATCGGGTAGAAGCCAGTGCAGAGCGGATAGACGACTGTTTTTCTCTGTAGGACTATGCACCGAATTTTCCTTCACCTGAATATGGATCGCAACTGACGGTGCTGAATGCTTAGATATTTCGCATATTACGCCCGTGTCTTACCGATCCTGAATCCCGATATAACTCCCAACCAATATTACGCTCGGTCTCCTCTTCTTTTTTGGACTATTGTGGCCATCGGATCACGGCGCTATCAAGCCGACCCAACCCTCCTGACAAAACTGGCTGAACCCCTTCAAAACTTCGCCCTTTGTTCGTTCGCGTCCCGAACCGAGGTTGTCGAAGTCATACAGAGCCTGCTTTTATTATCCCTTTGGCCACTTCCATTCAATTCGGCCCACAAGTCCATGTCCCATATATTCAGCGGTGCCGCCGTCAATCTTGCTATGCAAAACGGCCTCCATGTCCTCGGCGTCGGCCAAGATTTCGCAAGAGTCCGCTTGAACAACAATGAGGAAGAGAAAATCTCTCGGGCCCGGCTATGGATCTACTGTATTATCACCGCTCAGAGGTAAGCTTCACTTCCGCCCGATCTGGAGACACTGAAAGACGAACACTCATGTTTAAAGTGCTAGCTACTGTGATGGGCTTTTGCCCTGGATGATCAGCTCTTCTGCTGACTTTGACAAATACCAAACAGCCATGGCCCACGTTATTCCGCCGGTCTTGCAATATCGCGAGAGGATCCATCACATTGCCACCGATATGATTTCGGCTGTGGTCCGAACCGGCGTTACTCAACGCGGCTCAAAAAACGATGCCGCTCTAGAGATGCTCATCGAACTGTACGACAAAGAATTGTCTCGAGTAATAGTCCCAACCTCTGACGATTTCGGTGAGTCATACTTGCAAACAGCAAATCCCTTGATATCTCTAAAGCAATTCTTCTTTTGTCTGTCCCTAATTAACTATTAGATAGGCAATCTCTACTTTTCTCTAGCACACCTTGAAATCGTATCGTTTTATTTTTTCACTCAGACCATCAGCACCAAACCCATGCACTTGATCAAGATATACGACGACGCCGTTAATGCAATTGAGCATGCGACCTTCATTCAAGACTTTGCTTTGGTTTGCACATTCTACTTCCACCGAATGTTGCTGCTGGCTGCATTCTGCATCCTAAAGATCCTTCGAAGTGACATGAATTCAGCGGTCGACGCCCGAGCGGGGGAGAGGGCATATTTCAAATTCATATTGCTTCTAAAAGAGGCATCTGTCCAGCACGATGACATTTGTTCTCGCGGAGCAGGGATACTCACTCAACTCTGGGCGAGCGACAATATCTTCAAGAGAGCGGACGGTGGGAGGGATAGTCTATCCCTAAGAATCCAGAGTCGGTTGACGATGAGTGTGGTATTTGATTGTCACTGGTGGTGGAGAGAGGAGTTTGGGGGACAGGGGAGTCCATACGAATTACGAGAGGAGAGCAAGACTGCCAAGGTGTCCACGTCTACGGAGGACGGTAAGTTGATCAGCGTGACTATCCGAAGAGATGGCTCATTTCATACGACGACATTGATAATATGCTAACCAGCCTCTTTAACAGCAGACAAGATGGCATCCGAGCATTTTGGCCCCCCAATGGGACTTCATGACCCGACCGTGCCCGACAATCACAGCCTTGAGAACAACGCCCCTAAACATCAATTTCCCGAGTTTGATGATTTCCTTCAAGGCTTTACTTTCGATCTGGTTTCTGATCTAGGAGACTGGACTACAGAGACAATGGCACCAGTAAGATATCATGATAGCACTTGTTCAACTCTTATCCCTGACGACTTCAACCAGACCATCTCAGCAGAAATGGACCCGTAATTGAATGAAAACTTTTGGTTTGGGAGTGGAGGGGGGTGCCTTTATTACTCGGAGCTTTTGGTCAAGAGGGTTTGACATCGATCGACTGAGGATTCTGTCGCCTCTCCCGGTCAGCCTCCATCAATCCTACTCCATGTTCAGCTGCAAACACCAACGGCCTCGGATGTTCCAGGAAGACTCAGACTAAGTCATTCCAGGATGATGAATTCTACTTTCTTGCGCCCTTTCCTTGATATTCGGGTCTGAAAACCAAGTGCATTCATTGCAACAAATCCAGCAGCTCTACAATACAATGGCTTTCCAAATTCTCGACCACCTCCTGGATCTTCGCAGCTTTTTCAATTCCATAAACGGATTCCGCCAACGAGATGAACTTGCCAATTACTTTGGAGTGATATTCAGGCGTTCTGGCTTCTTCCCGGGGTGAAGCGTGCGGTCGGATTGTGTCCTCGAGCTTGGATCCGTCGGTGAACTCCAACGTGATGGTTTGCTGGAAGCGAGACAAGGTCTCATCGGACGTGATAGTGATCCGATCTGCAAGACTGTGCATATCTGCGTCGTCCAGGTAGTCATAGCCGGCCCAACCTGTCCTGGCTCCATGAAGCCAAGTAAGAGCCACTTGGTAGTACGCCGAAAACTGAGCATCGACAACATTCTGCGGATGGATCTTGTTTTCCTGGCTCGCCCCGACCACCGGAATTTGGTAGGCCGGCATTTTGATTCTGATTTGCTCTATCGTTTGAGAAGGGAAAGGATCATTTGGCGAAGACGACAAGTCCTTCGATAGAACTTTTGTCCGCAGTCGGTCCACCATTTCGATTAAGCCATGGGTCATCCGACACGCCGGATACGGTTTCGTTAATGTCGCAAGGAAAATCCATTCCGAACCCAAGTTGCCCAACAATTTCGCATAATCAATACGTCGGTCACTTCCAGAAATGGCATACATGTGGAAGAAGCCGAATTTGCCCTCCAAAATCTTGGACGCCCCCAAGACACCCTTTTCGGCCAACGCAAGACATAGAAAAGCATCCCGCACCGCAAAGCCCGGGTGAAGTCTTTTGTTCCAAGACCCGTTTTCCAGGTACTGCATTGATCCGGCGGCCTTGGAACCTGCCAGCCCGAATGCCATTTCGACCACGCCTGCTTCCAAACTTTTGAGCTTGGCAATTGTCGCTATTGCACCGAAAATGCCAGTGATGGAGGTATTGTGGAATCCGCGGGCATAAGACCCCTGACCTACTGCCCGTGAGAGGCGGCAAGTGACCTCGTAGCCGACCGCGACCGCTGTGAGGAAAGGTTTGCCTGCGATGTCGACACGTGTTTCGCGCAAGGACATGCCATCAGCTGCCACAAGGCCGGCAGTAATAGCTGTCACACCAGGGTGCACAGATCCTTCGCTGTAGGTATCATCAAAGTCCAAGGAATGGCCCAGGAAAGCATTCAGCAGCGCGGCAGACTGAGCACAGTATCTGCGACCCTTCGTAAATACGGTGTACAAACCACCCTGGCCATTCGAACTTGCGTCAAGTTCTAACACGGCTTGAAACACTGGTTCCGTGGACTCGGCTTTCTCGACAGCGGCAGCTGCAACCCCAATGTAGTCCAGGAGCAAGTCTTTGAGAACGGAAATATCGTCCTTGTCCAAGTCTTCATATTTGGCATCATGGACAAATTTGGCCAATATTTCAGTAGCTGGCGGAGGTATCGACGACGAAGTTAGTGTATTTGATACAATTTTATCCCCCATCACAACTTGGTTTTTTGGGACAGTTTTTAGAGGCAGGCTGTTTCCGTCTTGCAGTGAATGATCTGGTCGTAGATATGGGTATGTGCCGTTTCGATAACCAAAGGTGGCAGCCGTAAAAATACTGACCTCAAGTGCGTCCACAATGAATTGTAATAACGAGAACCACAGATATCGGAGGCCACCCAGAGAATCGGCGAAAGGCAAGGATCCTCAGCCATTCGTTTTCCCAATCTATTCACGTCACAAGAAACCCGCGCCAGTCCTATTTGCTCATGGGTACCAAGAGAAGCATAGCGAAGAACCCGTATCTTCTCCACGAGTCCCACACCCGATAGTGATCCTTAGCGAAGACGGAGATTCGAGCTTTCTAGCCAGTCAACCTCAATCCCCCAAGTAATCGGCCAAAAACGTGGTGCCCCGAGTTTTTCGGCAAACTACATGCGGAGAAAAGGTGGATGCTGGGGTTTTAGAGAAAGCCGATTTTGGCCAAAACACCGATTCGACAGTTTCAGCTCCGGTCAACGACATCGGCACTGGGCATATGCTTGGGTGTGTGACCAAACACCATGGCCATAAGTGAATATAGAAATGGGTGGATGTCTCTGCTTTTCAAGACATCCTTGAGATTAAGCAAGAACCACAATGTCTCCAGATCTCAGAGTACGAAGAGCGGGAGAGACTAAAGTCGAGCCACAAAGCGACATAGTCTTGGACAAGGGCACCGTCCGAGTCCAGGAAAATGTAGTTTCCTACTCAGATGCGGATGTCAAGCGACTTCTGAGACGCTTGGACTTCTGGTTTCTACCAGTCCTAGCCATCTCATACCTCTTGCAATAGTAAGCACCATATCTTCCGAAGTTTGAAAGGCTGTTTGCTGACATGACCGCAGCTGGGACAAGACTCTTTTGGGCCAGGCAGCCTTGTTTAACTTGACTACTGACTTGAAACTGATCACGGTGATTGGTTACAATGCCGAAGGCAAACCCATCACCAACAGTGACAAATACTCGAGAGTCTCGTGGATTTTCTATGTCGGATATCTCGGTAAGGACGCCCTATTTTGGTACCTCGATAAGATTTATGATTCGCGGCTAACTCAAGCCCCAGTCGCAACATATCCAATGTCTCTTCTCGCTCAAAGATTTCCTACCATGAAAGTCTGCGCGGCCAGTATGATGGTATGGGCTGTCGTGATGATGAGCACCGCTGCGTGCAGCGACTACGCACAGCTGATGATAAATCGGTTTTTCCTGGGTGTCTGCGAGTCGGCCATTGCACCAGTCTTTACTGTCTATATGACATTCTGGTATACACCCAAAGAGCAACCTTTCAGGACTGCGATCTGGTACTGCATGAGTGGATGCGCCGGAGTTGTGACCCCATTGATATCCTGGGGCATTGGACATATCCATGGCTCCTTCGGAGCATCCACGTGGAAATACATGTATCTCATTGCCGGTGCAACTACGTTCGCCTGGGCAATCGTGGTCATGGTGGTGATGCCTGGTGAGTGTCTGGTGTCGACTTGGCATAGATTGAATGTAGAACTCATGTCCTGACAATATCAACAACACAGATGACCCACAGCGAGCTAAATGGATCAACGATCGAGACCGCGCCATCATTGTGGCTCGACTCAAAATTCACAACGTCGGCACTGTTGACCGTCATTTCAAGAAAGACCAGGTCTGGGAGGCATTGACCGACTTTAATTCCTGGTCCAACATGTTCTTTGCCGGAGTCAGCAGCATTCCCAATGGTGCCTTCTCGTCATTCGCTACGCTCGTCATTTCAGGGCTTGGCTATAGCAACTTTCAGGCCTTGCTCTTGCTGATGCCTGTGGGAGGAGTGGCAGCCACTGGATTCCTCATAGCCGGATGGATCACTCGACGTTTCCAAGGCTGGCGCTACTTTATGATCCTTATCCTCTGCACACCGGCTTTAGCAGGCTCACTGATGTGTTGGAAAATTTCTAGAAACAAGCCAGGCGCGTTGTAGGTTTCCCCTTCGCTCAGAGTACTACAGTTGCATTAACAACATGCGCCTTCAGATATGCTGGGCTGGTCATGATGCCCCTTGAAATCGCCACCAACTCTATTGCGATTGCCATGGTCGCGTCAAATACCGCAGGCCACACGAAAAAGGCAACTGTCTCTGCCAGTAAGTCAGCCAAGGCCTCTCCCCTCCAAATCAACCTTTTCCCACCTACTCCATTTTACGTGTTGCACGATGTACTCTGCATTATCCCTACTGACATGAGTACTTCCATCTCTAGTGGCATTCATTGGGTATTGTGTAGGCAATATCTTGGGCCCAGTGGTCTTCAGCTCGACGCCAGGGCCTCTATACCTTGGCGGATGGATTGCGTGCGTTGTCTGCATTATCTCGCTGATGGTACTTGCCGTCTTTGCACGATGGTACCTTGGTCACGAAAATTGTCGCCGCGACAGCGTGTATGGTGCCCCTGGCCCCTTGACAGATGTGGACGGCGCAGAAGATGAAGCAGAGGGACATATGGATATCACAGACCGAGAGAACAAAAACTTTCGGTATCAATTGTGAGCTAGTTAAGGGCATCAGCGTCCATGTTGAGAGAAAGGCCTGTCACTGAAGGCTCAGAGCAGGCATGGCTGTCAAGTGTAATGACAATGAAGGTGCTGTACTCTGTATAAACTTGACATCGATCTTGTTACGCACGTAGTGAGCTTTCTCATGCTTTGAGACATACATTCTATCCTGTTAATGCCACCCAGTCTTTGAGTTGATAATGCTATCATCTTTAGACAACGACATCCTTCTCCTCTCCGAGCTGATATTTTGGAATAGCTTCGCCGGCCCGCCACTTGTACTTCGGACCTGGATGGTCAGGTGGCAATCTCTTGCTACCAATGAAGACTTCTCTAGCGGTTGCCCCCTCGTTCTCCACCGATGTTCTGAACAAGCCCCGACTTTGCAATTCTGGAAGAAGATACTTTATGATATCCTCAAAGGATCCTGGATTGACGATGTGAGAAAGGTTGAATCTATCCACCCCGGAAATCTTTAGCCAACGTTCAAGCTCATCCGCTGTTGTCTTCGGACCTCCGATGATGTTGGGTCCTAGACCACCAACAATAATATAGTCGATTAATCTTCTCTTGGTCCAACGTACATTCTCTGTCCCGGGAATTGTACTTCACCACCTTCTGATCAGAGACTGTAGGCGAGGAGAGTCGCTCAAACTAAAATCTTCATCGTCCGAATACTTAGACAAGTCGACACTAGTCCAACCTCCAAACAAGGCTACCGCTCCTTCCTAGTCTACATAACTAAGGTATTCGCCCCGCTTTTTGAAGGCCTCTTCATCCGTGGCGGCCACTATCGTGGTGCTACTGGCGATAATCTTGATATGGTTCTGGTCGCGGCCTTCATTCTCGGCCGCTTTGCGAATATTGAGGACACTAGTTCGGACAATCTCTGAGGTCGCCTGAGATATGACCAAGCTGCCCGGGGTCGTTCTTTGGCGGAAGTACTCTGCGGCCAGCGGACTCTCAGTCGCGAATGCGCTCCGAGACCGGCCCAGGGCAGCATGGACGATGCGGTGCCTGAGGTTAAAGGCGCCGACTTTCAAGGGATTGAAGAGCTTGGCCTTTTCGCGCTGAAAATCGTCTGGGAGAGACTCGTCATTGTCGGGCACGTCGGTAAATCCGCTTGTTGGGCCCCGAGCATTCAAGCTTGCAATCAGGTCGACAGAGCCCATCCCTAGGAAGTATCTGAGGCGAGGCTCAGCAGGGAAAAAAATGGGTTTGCACGGCAACTATGGGCCATGTTGCCATGAACTCCTGACTTCTTGTATTTGTGCCGAATGCTTTCTTTTTTTCCCTGGCTTTTTTTTTCTGCTTCTACGCAAAAGAGCCCGGTCGTCTCTCGCAGAAGGGTAGCCACTCGAGGTCAATGAACGTTCCTGTTCAGTAATACTTGAATCCGTCCATGGCATGATATTTTGTGGACACGTCCCAAGTAGGACGTCAAAAGTTTGATGTTGAGTAATTTCGGCCGAAGCAACTGCTTTATATAGGATGGCGCGGGCTTTATACTCCCATGGGCCTTTGTCGCGTAACTATAGTCGATCTCATCACTCTATACTTAAATGACGAATCTCCCGGCTCACTCTAGAGCGATCAGACAGAAGCTCACCATTCCAGACTTTAATGACGAACACAGAGCCAACAGGTCCAATGCACTGGCCATGGACAGTCGAACCTCGCGTGGCAAGCCGGCGTCTCGGATCGGGTTGATTACTATTCCCAAGAAACGGTCGACATGGGACAAGTTTCTTCGGAAGAGATCCAGCATGGATTCGTATACACAGGGTCCTGTGAGAGACAGAATACATACCGATGTACTGGTGGGAAGAAACGAGAAAACTAGAGAGAAGAAGAAAAGCTAGAAGCTGAAGGTTGAAGAGGATCGCTAACGGCCGATAAGATGGAGTTCGAGACCGGTCGCGAACGTCGAGATCAGGGTTATATAGATTGCAAAGGGACTCTTCGGGTGCCAGCAAATCTGATCAGAGCATCTGTCGTTGAACCTCACCACCGACAATGGCGTCCAAGGAGATCGTCCCCCAGGCTGAAGAAGTGCTGTCGCAATCGGGCGAAGGTGAGTGCTGGACCAGCCGATCTGAGACCCTCCGTGGCCTCTGCTGACCCCGGTCCGCGCAGGGAAGAAGAGCGACGTGGATGTGGCCTTGGACCTGTACATCCAGGCCCAGGGCCTCGACCATGCAAGCAAAGAGAAAGAAGCCGCCGTGCTTCGCAAGATTGACCTGCATTTGCAGCCGTAAGTTGTTCACTACTCGGTAAGGAGTCGCAGCACCGTGCTGACCTGCCTTCTTGCTCAGGCTCCTGATGGTCACCGGGTTTCTGCAGTATCTTGACAAGCAGGCCGTGCAATATGCCTTCCTGTACAACTTCCAGAAAGACTTGCATCTGACCTCCCATCAGTTGTCGTGGACCGGGAGCTTCTTCTACGTCGGGTATCTCGTTTGGTAATATCCATCACTGTTGCTGATGCAACGATTCCACATCGGCAAATACGTTGCCACGCAGGTCTTTCTTTCGGGCGCCATATCGTTCTTGCTGGCTGCCGCCAGCAACTTCGGTGGCGTTGTCGTCTTACGTCTCCTTCTCGGAGCGGCCGAATCGATTCAACTCCCGTTCATGCTGTGAGAGTGACCCATGGACCCCGGCTGGTGATCTTGCTTTGCTGACCGTGGACGTTAGCATCACATCCAACATGTACTACACGAGAAAGGAGCAGCCGTTTCGCATGATGCTGTGGTATATGCAGAAGGGCGTGGCCCAAGTGGCGGGGGCGCTGTTCGCGTATGGCGTGGGACACATTGACAGCCAAATTCCTCGCTGGAAGTACATTTTCATCATTTGTGGCTCCCTGTCGACGGCGTGGTCTGTCATTCTGTTCTTTTACCTTCCGAGCAATCCTGCACAAGCCTGGTTACTCAACGAGAGAGAGAGAGAGGCAAATTGCCGTGATGAGAGTCAAGGACAACCAGACCGGCATCGAGTCAAAGACCTGCAAATGGAAGCAGGCGTGGGAGGCCTTGACGGATCCCAAGGGTTTCCTGAACGCCATTGCCGGTGGATGTGGCAACATCCTGGGAGGAGTCGGAACGGTAAGCACTCACTTTCACACGGCAGAGTCTTGCTTCGGCCCGTCTAATGGACGCAGTTTGCGGGACTCTTGATCAAGTCTTTCGGTTTCACCACGCTCCAGTCGACGTTATTACAGCTACCCGTCGGCGTGATCGAGTGCATTGGCTTGGTCGTTGTCTCCTTTATCGCCACCAACGTGAAGAATTCCAGAATGATCATTTCAATCATGGTGGCCCTCACGTCACTTACCGGGTCAGTCTTACTGTATGCCTATGACTTAAAACACAAATCGGTCTTGTTGACAGGGTAAGTGCACCCATCCTGGTATCCGGACATTTCGCTAACGAGACTGTCTTTGCAGCTTCTGGATGATGGTCGGCATGATCCCCTGCGGGTTCATCACCGGAGTCGGCACAATGACTGCCAATGTTGGCGGTCACACGAAGAGGATCACTGCACAGGCGCTCTTCTTCGTCTTTTACAGCGCTGGAAGTGAGTGAGTCTGGACCCGTCGTGATGAAAACATGCTGACCCAAGCCTGAATATAGACATCACCGCCCCGCAGTTTTACACCGAATCTCCATATTTCGAAGGTCGGCGTGCGAACGTGGTGGCGCTTGTGGTCGTTGTGGTGATCAACATCCTGATCCTGTTCTACTATATCTGGGAAAACAGACAGCGGAGAAAGTATTTGGAGGCCAACAGGGACGCCCTGGACGAGAAGGACTTTGCTTTCCGCGACTTGACCGACAAGGAGAACCCTTTTTGCTTCAACGTCTGGTGAGACCCGATGTTTCGAAGAGGGAAGGGCGTTCGAACATGGAGAGCGAACAGGATCCATGTGCCTACCCAGCCCGAGGACCTGCCACGATTGCCGAGCTGCTTAGATGCTGTGAAAAGAGCTGATGGGACGAAACGGGTCCTTGTCTCGTCCTCGTGTCGAGTAGCGACAGCAGATGGCGAAATACCTCGCCTAAAGTTAATACACCGACGTACACAGCCTGTCTGCCCATTTCATTAGGTACCCAGGTAGTGTGCCCTCTCCAAGGCAAGGCTGAACTAAACGGCACAACCAAAGAGGCCCCATAAAACAAGCTTTTCGTACAATTAAATGCAGATGATATTTTTGAGGTAGCAATTTTAATCTCGAAATTGCGTTCGAATAGTGTAGTGGTTATCACGCGTCGTTCACACCCCACGTGAACAACAAATCCGACGAGGTCCCCGGTTCGATCCCGGGTTCGAACATGACCAAATTTTATATTTTTGTTTTGGACACATGCATTTATTTTTTTAGGATTCTCTTTTTGGCCATCCAAGCAGAGAGCGCTTCTGCAATCGGAGCTGCTTATCTAACGTGGCAGAGTCCTCTACGGTGGAGGAAAAGGCGAATGCCCTTGGCATTGGGATAGTTGTTCAGTGCCCGCGATTCGCTTAACAGATGGATCTTCTTCCAAACGTAGGAGATGAAGGGGAAGAAGTGGTTGGATCAATCTTTTCGAATACCTTGGTAAGGCCTACAGATGTGCGTGAGTGAGTATGAACTTGGCTAGAGTGGAAGCCGCATGCTATGCAATATACATCTTTTTTCATGAGATCTCTGGAAATAGGAATCTAGACGCCTGTGTGTATATGTACTATGCAAAAACGACGAGCGTCTAATGCAAGAAAGGATAGCAGTACAGTGTGCTCCGTACTAGAACCTGTTTTGCGTCATGAGAGGGAATGACTTCTTCCTGTCCATCTGATCAAACCCATCTCGAAAGCAAGCAGCATCCTAAGTGCTTACTTGAGAGCTTTGACACATTTCCCAATCCAGTTCTGATTTGCCCAACACAGGAAGCCAGGCTTCCTTCAAGGAGACATTGTTTTTGGCTGTTTTCGGTACATGTTGGTATCACCCCCAACCACCGGAATGCAACGACAGAACAGACCTGACAAGGCGCCCAAGTCAACATTCGATTATGAAATTGCCGCGCAGTACCAAAGGCTATCAAGGTGTCACTGCCCCTGTTCAATATTCCAGAGGAGTTATCCGAGCCTGGTCCATTTCGAGAAATGCAACACATTTTCCACAAAGCCCCGATTTTGCGAGTCCCTTTCCATGTTCAACAGGGCTTCTGGATGCTCCTGGAAGATCCAAGTAAGGAGATCCAAACCATGCGTCATTGCCGGCACGGTGCGGATCGCCAAAAGTCCATGACAGGTATATATATCGGTGGGACGAACTTTGCAACCCCTTGTTCGATTCTCCCGCCCCATTCCGCCACGGGAAATAACGTTCAATTTTGAGGGAATAGTTTTCCGGGCGTCCCCCCAGAATACGAAGGACGGGAGAGTCCACTTTCGATATGCATGCAGAGCAAGATGGTCATTGACGATTTCACAGACCAAATACATACCAAGATGCACCGCGAGACGAGACACAGAATTGAGCGTGCATCATTCCGCGCAAATTCTTACCCACACGCCCACATCGGGGACAAACTTGCCGTGCCGTCACGTTCACAGATCTAGCTGGGTAAGGGCATTTCCCATTCAGAGTCTCTGGAAAACTTCTCCAGTGATCGATTCATGAGTTTGCCATGGGGTGAGATGGGCATTTCCATGAAAATGGGATATGGAAAACTTCTCCCCAGCTGTGTCGATCCCACTGAAGTTTGAGTTTGCGACGGATTTTTATTGCACAACCTTGGGAATCACAAATCCGGCGTAGATACATGTTAGATAGAGAGAGTGGAACTATCAAAGTCAGTGTGCATCTGAGGGGAAAAGAGCAGCTAGGTTAAGAGAGTTTCTCCCTCTGTTTTTGAAACCCCCCACACACAGTCTTTCAGGCCGAGGAAGGTTTCCGGAAAATTGAACCTTGTCTCTGTCCCCGGCAAACCCGTGGAAGGGAAGTTGAGAAAAGTGCCTCCTTCTGTGCGAGAGACTGACACGACCATTTTGAGTTCCCGTTCGCACATTGAACAGTCCATGAGCCTACTGATGCGAGAGGAAGCAAGGAGGGGAGTTTGCAACGTACCAAGGCCAGATGGGCCAATCGCACACCATTTGTTCCTCGTTGGGACATAAACTTCGGCCTCACGCAGTAATAGTCTTTGAAACATCACGACCAAGGTTCGATAGGGCGTGTAAATCGCTGATAAAGCTTGTTGATTTCGATCATGTGCAAATCAGTGACAAGACTTGCTGCGCTCACCACGTGTATGTTTATGTCAAAAGGATGTTTCTCGCGGGGTGGGTGCCGGACAAGGGAAAAGGGGTGGCTGGGGCCTCGAGGGCAGCCGACAACTAAACACGGCAACGTCAGGAAATCATTATTATTATCATTATTGTTGTATCAAGTTAAAAAGAGAGAAAAAAAGTGTGTAGCAGCCGAATCGGGTCCAGCGCATATGCAAAATGGAAAAAATAAAACCAAAACATTGATTGACCCTCGTGCTCAGCTGTCCTGTAAGCCTGCCTGGTTCCAGAGGCGTCGTCCCCATAATATTTAGCGAGTGAGTGGCTTTTCATCCCACTCCACCTCCCTCCCTCCCTCCCTCCCTGAGTCCCTGACGTGAGACACATTGACATAGAGTGAAATCTGTCCACCCTCTTTCTCCCCCAAATCTCCCAAAATCTATACACACCCTCACGGAAAAGCGACCCGTTCGTATTCGTGATCAAAAAAGCCCACAAATAAATGGCGTGGAAAATGCAAGTAATTTTCCCCTGTCAGTTGCTGTAGCGAACAAATCCCAAGGAATTTTTTAATTCAACCTTGTCAGGGATTCCCCCTCTTCACATGGGATCTCAAGACGGGAAAATCAGGTCCCCACACAATCTAAGCGTCATGGACTTCGGCAGTCGGATTTGATTTCCGTGGGTTGTGACCCTCGAAGCCGGATATTTTCGTTATCTTCATCTTGGGAACAGGCCTTGCACCATCGGTAGCGGTGTGCATTTGATGGGTTCAACGAGCCACTGATTGTGCTCCTCAAAAGAATCAAGATGCTCCCAAACAGGAGCGAATCTTGGGTCTGAGAAACGTGGTTATCCCCCATTGGATTTTCGGGGACTCGGATCTATTGTTTTTATCACTCACCGACTTGGAAGTGCGATAAAGGCCAGCCACTCTCTCGGAAGATTTGACAGATAACTTCCGATAATGGTTGCTGGGCGAGGCCCATCTATTGACATAATACACCTTGACATACCGCAGTAAATCGGCTCGTACCTCCCGAGCTTGTTGGACCAGCATTGTTCAGACAACAATGAGTCGCCATGCGATTGGGGTTGACAAATCCCCCTGGAAGGATCTGAAACAAATCCAATCCAGCTGCTGCAGAGACATCCCCTTCACCCGACGAGCAGTGTTCGTGAACCAACTCGCCTATACTGGCCGTCGGCTTCGCCGGGAAGTAAGTTGTACCGGGGCTCAATAGTATTTTCGCGGTCGGGAAGCCTGCACCTGTTCCAGCCAGACCAGTTTGCAATTGCCCATTCGACGTGTGACAATTACACCATGTTGGACCCCGTGACTGTACCCAGGGTACCGAGAACTGCTTCACCATGTCTGCGAACAAGGCAGCTTGTGACAGGTGTACAGGAAAAAAGTGCGAACCACTCCCACCGCGTCTGTAGTGGTTGATATGCCGTGCAACATCGGGCGACCATGACAAGCAACGCGGTTGGAAGCACAGTCTTGGTATCCAATCAGATACACTCTACCGTCATCTCTGAGTCGTAGAGGTTTGTGCTGTGGACCAAATGTTACAACTCTCCAGAGCTTGGAGGGACTGAACGCTGGTGTTGTGACAGTTACCGAACGCGTTCATGTGGAGAGCAACAATGGCCGTATTGGGTTTCAAAGAAAGAACGATCCGTTCTTTACTTTTCAGGGCCAATGCTCCGTCAATTTGGGCAAAGCACGCCACGTTTCGTTTGACGAGGAGTTGCCTAAAATATGACCGGAGATGTGCCGCGAGGCCAGCATACGAGTATCCAGCCTTCTCTCGCAGGATGTAGGAGCCACGGGGCGGCACGGCCGCCAGCAGCGGCTGATTTCCCCAGCACAGCCTGGCCTGTTGTTATTCTGCGAGCACTTCCTCACCAATGCCGTCATGAGCCATACTTGGTCGCGAGAAGAAAAACCATTCCGGCGCCTTGCCGCATGGGAAGTCGGAGAGATACAACGAGTCATGAACCTCAGTCAGCACGAGGTGCCAGACCCTGCAGAATATAGAGTACGCTGTGTGTCCTTATACCGATGGTACTCAGTCAAACCACTGATGGACATGGTCCCCCTATCCAAGAAGGTATGGACCGCGTCAATGCTCGCTTACAGATCTGACATGCACATCGGGAGTTTGTAGTCTTATCCGAGCGATCGCAGGAAAAATTTGTAGTGGAAAGGGCACAGTGCGTATGGGCCTCAGGGCCTGATGATCGCAAGGCGCGCTATGCTGTACTTAGCCTGTATGACAAACGCGTAGGAAGTCTCAATGAAATGATCTATGCTTTGCAGTTCGGCAATAGCCCGGTCAGAGCAACAATTCGGCCAGCGATATGCATATATTTGACCCAATGTAGGCATTGCAATAGCTCCATATTGGGCTGACTCAGGCGCCCCGTCTGGGCACCGAAGCATTCGTATGTTCTTCTGCTGTTGACTTGTTTTAAGCGAGGTTCGGATCAGTGATAGAGTCAATATCGATCCGAGTATTGCCGCCCCAGCAAGTAATCCCAACTTGTTTGGGTGCCTCGATTGCGTGACAGGCCTTGCATGTTCGAGACGCATTCCGAGGCTCAAGCAATACGAGTAGGTGTCTCCTGTAACCGTTGCATAGCTTTGTCAGGATGGGGACGGTAATCAACGGTTGATACTCGAGATCAACCTTGTTCTTTTCCTATCGGAACGAAACCCCTGCAAAATGAAAGGGTAATGGATAACTCTCAATGCGCAACACAACAGCTGTTCCTGCAAAAGGGGCCCTTGACAGTTGACGAATCCAACGCCGGCGCAGCCGTGCCGATGATTGTCGTTGATTCATCATTTCTATAACAGGAGTCGGGCGCGGGATCTGGAGCTCAAGGAACTGCGCCCCAGCAAAAATCCCAAACTCCTCCCTATGGAGTTCCAAATATGGCGGCACCAGGTGGAGATCTAGCGGCTCGTTAAGCGCAAATCCAAAGGCTCTGGGGCGACAAGTAGCGTTTCCCTTGAGAGGCAGTTGCCGGGTGCTATTATTTTCGTTATCAGCAAGTCCCTCGGTACAAGGGAACAGCTAGCCAAGACAATCCTGGGTGAGGCGGAATGTCACAACTCGGAGAGTGTTTCCAAGACTGGCCATTTGGGTGTCGGTACCGTGCCTGAGTTTCTAAGGCATCAGGCTACTAATCTGACAACGATCATAGGTCCTAAAGGCCGAGGAGATAGGGTAATAGATAGAGACTGGGCCCAGAAAGTACTCGGTACTCTTGGACGACTCAGCCTGGTGGGAGCAGTTGTGCACGGAGCATCCCACTGAACGAGCAGGCCTGTCCTCCACAATGCATCCCCGGCGATCTTAATCCCCGAAGGTAAACTGATTTCTCCACACTCTATCCATTCATCAAATTGTCGAATACGCGAAGGTGATGAGCTGGCAGGCATTTTACGATATGTCGGACGCGGGAGGGAGCTTGGGGGCTCGGCTGCTGAGGACCTTTGACATCAAACACATGCGCAGCTCGCAGTAAAGTCCGGGCTGCTTTGCTTTTACGTATGCGGCTCCAAAGGAGGCTGGATGGCTCGATGGCTGGCTGGGTCTGCCATGGCGGTGAACCACTGGCGGGCGATCTTGTCGTATCAACCCGTAAAATGGGCAGCTGTTGGCACATTCCGTGTTGCAGTAGTTAGGTTGTGACTCGCAAGGCAGCTTTGCAAACCAAGAAGCTAGTAGGAGAATCGAGGCGCATGTACAGCAAAACGGCTTGTCTACCCGTGTTTTTGGCGAGCCAGCGCTACCGTGCGAGGAGTACGTACTCGTATGTCTGCGGCAGACCAAAAATGGGCCGTGAGTTCTCTAGCCAGGAATTGGCGCAACAACAGCCAGACTGACGGTGCAGCGCGGAATGAAGCCAGGTTAGAGTAGTCGAGGTGGCTTGCGGTGATCCTCCTCTGACAGGAACAGAGGACAACAGCGCGCATGGTGTCATTATCTCGTGCAACCTTCAGTAGCAGAACAAGACGGCATCGTCTCCAAAGTCAGGACCGGGGAAGCTCACCAAACGGGAACCAGGGCCGGGGTAGTTGAGCAGGAAGGACGGGAAAAGTGCGAGGGGTCTAACGAGAAAGGAACAGCACGGTTGCCGTGTCTTACTCTTGCTCCAAAGGTAGCCGATGCGAGATCCTTGACGACATCACGTTAGGTGGTAGACAAATTGGTTCAATATGGTTTAGTCATGGATAGGTGGGATGGCGAGCAGACAAGGAACAGCCTCTAGAGTCTGGCAGAGGAAACAGCAGTTCCTAGTCGTCTGTCCACTGTCCACTGTCACCGTCCACTGGGGCACCTTTTCATTCGTAACGGCGGTCCAAACAGGCAAGCGGCCGGACAGAAACCCTTGCATATGATCAACTCGCCTCTCGACAGTTCGGGCAGTGAAGTGCAGCATATGAAGCTGGGAAAGCTGAAGGGTGGACGCATTGGGGAAGAAGAATCCTGGTGAAGAATCGCCCCCATGCTATTTCGGGCCGTGACAATTGAACTCTGTCGTTCCCACGATGGGTGCATGCCGCAAGCCGCAAGCTGCAGGCTGCAAGCTGCATGGCGGAGATGCTTGCCCTTTTCTTCCGAGGTGAAGCTGCCAGCAGCGGCCGCCAGCAGCCAGCAGCAGCCAAAGAGGGCGAGGTGGTGTGGTGGGGGTCGCATGGGCGCCGATGGATGGCCAGCAAGTATTCCAGTTTTGCGGGCGCTGCATTCTCTGGGCGCATTTCTGGCCGGGCACACCAATAATCAAGCCTCGAGCGCCCAAAAAGCACCCTGGGCGTGCATACCTTTTGCCCGGTTTGGGGATGAGGTCTCAATTAACCATGATCTATTGGCGGGAGCTATTCGCCCGAAAAGCAAGCCTCTCTCGAAAAGATCAAGAGCTCCTTGCGCGTCACCAGCAATGGCGGCGGTCGCGGCGGTCTCTGCGGGCTCTGCGGGCTCTTTCCAATCACTGCATGAACAATGAGAGCAACGGCGCGACCATGTGCATTGAGCAGAGCAACATCGTCGGGCCTTGCGACGGACTAACGTACAAAATGACCAGGGCAAAGGGAAGGGGAAACAGAGAGGCCTTCGAACAGGTGGAGCGATATGCATGCCGTCATCACCACCCAAGCTGTTCTCTTTCCCAGAACGATCGACAGCTGAAGCCTAGACCTTTTAGCCAAGTCAAGCAGAGGCTAATCGTGGGTAGAGTGTGAAGGGCCCAAGGGAGCTTGCTCTGTGCTCATTTTTGGTATTGATACCATGGCACATTACGGCCAAAACAGACAAAACGGTAATTGTTGGTCTCTGCCCTATGAGCTCAACCAGTGACAACCACTAGGTGCCGCCCTCCACCCACACCTGCCTCGCTGCCTACCTCGTAGACATCCCACCCACCCACTCCCCCAGCCCACCTAAAGCCCGCCTGCAGATTCACACGTCGACTCGCCCACAAAGCCGCACCCAAGAAAAAAAAGATTAGCAGATTAGGGCCCTGGCTCTATCTGCACGGCGCCCCTCCCCTCCCTCCCCTCCCAGCCCTGCCTGCCCCTTCCTTGTCCCTGGTCTCCCTGGTCAACTTTTGCCGCGCCCACTCAGAGTTGCTCACAGTTGAGTGGTCGGTGCTTCGTGTTCGCGGCCTTCCCACTCCAACTCTCTCTCGAGAGAATCTCATGTGTCTCCATCCATCCATCCATTCCAATAATCCATCATCCGTCGATCGTTTTTGCATCTGACTGCGTCCTCCTACTTTGTATATGCTCGTGTTTCTCTCTTTACCCTGACTCTCGCTCATAGCACAGTTGCTACTGCTTGCCTCTCGTTGACTCTCTCGTTGCACATTCGCTTGCTACGTTACCAGCAATTGTCCTGTCTCTGTCGTTACGTCTCAGCCCCTTACAGATAATGCTAATTTGGTTGCACCCTCACCGTCAGCCTTCCGCCCCAAGTTGTATGAGCCTCCTGCTTTCGTCGGGCTCAGACTCCAAGCCACTGGCACTTACTCTACATTGACAAAGAAAGAAAGAAAGAGACTCTCATACACCCACACATACCGACCAACAGCTCATGCCTTCCTGATCGTCAGGGCTTCTTCATATTATCCTCCACTCTCTTTCTGCAGGTCCTTACAATATGGACTCGCCCACAGAACGCATGCCCATAGCCTGCGTTCACTGCGCAAAAGCAAAAGCAAAATGTGACAAGAAGGTCAGTCATACTCGTCAAAAACACACGTCCTGCTTTTGGGGAGAAGGAAGAGATGCTGCTGTGAGGCGGTGGGCGTGGAAGGGTTCCGAGTGCCTCACGCATCTGGTCCTCGCAAGCCCCTGGAGAGAGCGTGTCTGGCTCTGCGACATTGGCATTTCAGCTGTTCTAACAAGCAGCATCATAGGTCCCATGCTCGAGATGTGTGAGCAAACAGATTGTATGCCAGTCTCGGGCCACTCGTCGTTCCTCTCATAATCCTAATCGGCGCAACCCCCTCCCACGCCCAAATTCAGAGCGTGCTCTACATTCCTCTGCCTCATTCCATGTGTCACAAATGTCTCATTTCTCTGCTCCGACTCCCGGCGTCAACGGGGTCTCTCCCAGTGAGCTTGCCCCCTTTCCCTCGTTCTGGGACTCGAGACTAAATGACCATTACAGACGGTATGGGCCCTCGTCCCCTACCTCAGCACCGGATGAGCCTCCCTGACACAAACCACCCGGTACCAATTGCTCCGGCCGTATTCGGCCAGGATATAGAACCGCGAATGCTGAGAGCCGGCTTCACACACACACCCCCAGAGATGACTATACCAATTACTCCCATGATGCCAAACATGCCTCACATGGAGAACTTCATACAGATGCACGGGACCCCCTACGACCATGAAAGTGACAGTCATTTCTTGGCTATGAGCAGTGCTCAGCCGAGCATGCTAGATTTCGACTCTACCAACATACTCACAGACTTCATGAGCCCCCCTGAGGCCATGATGCAAGACCATGCAGAGCAATTCCTGCTGCATGGTAAGATGGGAATTCCGACCCCAACCCATATTCCTTTGCCCATCCAGATTCCGGATGGAGCCACACCCTTTCCCCTTCGAATGGACCTGGAAAGCCCTCATAGCCACTTGCAGTACCGGCCCCCAGCCGGCCTCTCACCGTCCAACTCTTCCACCACAAGTGGTCTGCAAGAGCCGGATGCCGTGCTGGCCGCCCACCATGCCTGGCCGTTTTTCCAGTGTAACCGGGTCGACAAACAATATTCCTTTGCTCCACCAAAGACGGCCGCCATTTACTTGGAGGGCCTTGCTCAAACACTCCGTAACCAGGCAACTTGGGCGGCATGGACAGCTCAGCTTGATGAGTCTTTCCTGGACATTGCCACCGAGCGGAAAATTGCCACCGAACCTATCGTAGGATGGTCTCGCGAGAAATTGCTCGCCATCACTCAGAGCTTCCTACATAAAGCGCTGGATATCCACAAGGCTGATCATGCAGCTCGAGAAGACACGCCGTCCAGTCCGGATTCCAGCCGTGATGCGTTCTTGATGCTACCACCGCCGGATGTGATGCAGTACTTCTTGAGGAGTTACGTGGTTCGATATGAGCCCTACTACTCATCAGTTCCTGCCGGCCGACTGGACCCCAATGTTTTCATGGGATCAAACAACAGCAAGGCCGCAAGCCTCCTGATCCTGCTTATGGTCGCCTCGGGAGCTTCGGCCACAGCCACAGTCGAGGCCAGATACATTGCCAGTGGCTTGACAGAAGCTTGCAGAATCTCACTCTTTGACACCATCGAGAAGGACGTGCTCCAAGCACGGGAGACTTTGGTGCTTCGATCTGCTCTCCTGTTCACCTGCCTCGCCGCTTGGTCGGGTGATAAGTGGCATATGGACGTAAGTCAGACTCCAGATACTTTCATTGATCTTGTCCCTAACTCCACAAATAGATTGCCATGGGTCAACGCGGCATGTATCTCGCTGTAAGTCATTTTCATGCTGGATTCAGTATGCCCTTACTTACTTCTTCTAGATGTTAGCGCACTCTGGAATGCTCGAATTTGATGAGTGGTCGATCACTGTTGAAAGTCGTAGGCAGGACCCAGAACGGGCTTGGGAGGAATGGAAGGAGCACGAAGGCAGACATCGGTAGGTTGTTTCCGTGGTCAGGACAGACGCCGCGTTATATCATGCTGACCTGAAGAACAAGGCTCGCTCACTCCTGGGTGATTGTCGACCAGGAAATGAGCCTGTTTTCGGATACCACTCCCTTGCTATCCATCGTAAACCTCCATGCACCTATGCCCGACTCTGACGACCTGTGGCATGCGGAGACCGCATTAGAATGGCTCGAGTTGTTCGATAAAGCACATGGCTCGACACATCAAAGCCCAGCGTCCGTCAGAGACTTTTTCACCAGCTTCGTTGACGGCGATCTGGCGGGCAAGGAGCTCTCACCAACCCAGCTTCGATTGCTGTTGCACCCTATCCAGGCTCAAGTGTGCCAGCTACGTCAATTCATTGCGTGCCTACCTGACGGCGGTAACCATGCCAAGGCATCTCGTGCAGTGTCGAAGGCAGCAACCAAAGCTCGCCTGGAGGAGATTTCTTCCTTGCTGCAGCATTGGTATTCCATCAGCAAGCAAAGTTTCGCAGGCAATAAAGGCACATGTTGGACGACATGTGCAAACCTAATCATGTATCACCTAATATCACTCAACGCCATCACCAGCTTCAAAGATATCGAGCAATTTGCTCGCCGCGAGGTTGCTATTGGCTCGTTCCGGTACGCATCATGGCTGCAGATGCGTTGCATAGACCAACCGGAAGAGGCCTTCTTCCATTGCGGACAGATACTGCGCTTGATCCGATCAATGCCCCATGCTGTGCGCCCGCCGTGGTGGGCAGGTGCAGTCTATCGCGTGGCATTGACAGGCTGGGCAACCAGCATGGCGAACAGCAATGGCCGATTTTCGCCCACGCATGGTCCGGCCGAGCCAGACCGGCCGTTCGCAATTGATGATTTGACTCCAGAGAACGAGGCCATCTCCAGATATATGAAATACCAAGAAGGTACTCCGATGCTCACTCGATCGGATGGATCTCTTGCCCCCATGGATGTCCCTTCGAATCTACTGCAACACTGCATTGAGGTTCTCGACGACGACTCGTCGATGCGACTGACGGATGGCATCAAGCGCAAACTCCGCATCTTCATGGCAAGCTGGAAAGACATGTGAGATGGGCGCAGCTGTCTGCGCCGGCACTTACACATGATGGCCATCGGTGCCTTTGGCCCACCACTTCCACTTCGGAATTTTAATGCGCCAGGTTCATATTTCCTCCCGAACGATATGGCGTGATGTATCCGCCTCTTGTACAGTTGATGAATATACGCCTCATGTCTTTGATGATGACGAGGGGACACTTAAATCCTAATGGTATAAGCGGCGGACATGTTCTCGGGATGGTTGACTCGACTAGTCTGCCTCAAGGTGGGAAGATCGAACGGGACCAACGAGACTCAGGGAGGGATTTTCATTGTTGGGTATATATAATGAGGGAGGAAAGGATCGTTGGGCGCACGTCGATTTCATGCCGTGGTGTCGCTTTTTGGGTATGGGTCGGACCTAGCTTGGTGTCAAGGAAAGCCAATGGAGATGCAGATCAGCCCGTATGAATTGGAAGAATTCTTTGAAACCAGGATCCATGTCTCAAGATTGCAAGTGTCTTGTGCTCGTTGTTACTGCCATGTGAAGGAGAAGAGGTCCGAAGACTTTGGAAGCCTCGGGGGAGGTGAAGCTGGGGTCACTAGGCTTTATGAGGAGGGGACCCGAGTTGGTACGTCGGAACTCACGACGCCAGGAGAAGCAAGAGGGCGAGATGGAGTTGGCACAGGGCCATTTTTCTAAAACAACAAGCGAAGCACTAAAAAGACGATTGCATCACGGCCGGACCAAACATGGACGATGCCAGAACCAAGGTTCGACGGGGTGAATGTCGATGGAAGCAAACCATGTCGAGAAGAGGGAGGATTGGTCGGCGCAGTAGATATATGTCGGACAATCGGACAGGAGTTGGTGCCGACCAGATGGTCTCGTCTAGATCGAGGTTAGATGTGGTTGTAGCACGCCAGATGAAGATCAACCGCCGATGGCTGGAAATTTGATGGCCGGTAGAATGCTGGGGAAATGGGGATGATTGTGCAGTCTAAGCCCAAAGTCGACATGCTTCAGGACTTTAGCAAGGGATAGTTCGATCCGTCTCAGGAGCGGATCTTTAAAAAAAGAGACAGTGTTCGGGGCCGGAGCATGGGCACAAGGACACAATGTGCTATAGATGGGGAAGGGGAATTCAAAGGGGGACCAACAAGGTCAGATTTAGGAGCTACGGAGTTTTGATTCGGGGTTCGTCTAGGGAGAATAGTCATGGCTACCTAGGTAGGTAGGCAAATAGTGTGTGGTTGTCCTTCGGGTCTGGTTTGTTTGGAAGAGAGACCTACTGTACTATAGAATCATAATGAAAGGCTATGTGAGGATGGGATATCAAGTAGCTGACGAGCAGCCTTGCCTGAGGCTATCATGATCGAGGTCGTGTGAGGTGAGTACCGAGCGAGCGAGATACCTAGCAGTTCCGCCGTGAGACGTCTGAGGGGATCCCTCTCCAAGCCTTATTCTACCCCTCACCCAGCTACCACAATGGGCCAAGGTACGGAGTACGGAAAAGGAGGAATATCAAAGAGTGATGCCTGAGAAAACAGCCTTGGCAGCAGGCCAAAAGGGGCGCATTGAGAACCTGACGTTCAAGTTGCGAGTGTCTTATGACGCCAGACTGCAAGCAAGAATACGAGGTGCCATCATTGCTGTCGACAATAGATGCCAGGCACGAGAACAAAGGTGGACCAGCTAAAAATGGGAGGGATGGGAGGGGCCAGGCCAAGGAGCGCGGAGCGCAGCACGCAAGCAAGGGACACCATCACTAACACCACCACCACCACCCCCATCACCTCCATCACCAGCCCCTGCTAGCGTTCGGACTCGACAGACCCAGAAACGGTTAGACCTCGTAACGGCTCAGGACATGGCGCGGTACGCACAAATACAGTCGTGGTAATTTTCACCCCCGAACGAAATCAAAGAGTCATCATTGACCCGTAGGTAGAGAGAGCATCAACCAAAATCTTGGAATCTGAGACATTTTTCGAGTTTGGTCGATAGACTACCACAAGTTACGAGTGCGAGGTGAGTGACTACAAAGAGCCCGAGCCATGGCGTTGCGTCGAGTCGCTACAGAGATGAATGCGGAGTCGATTGATCTTCACGAACTCAATGAACACCTATCTACCTGAATTCAGAGTAGCAGCCACCACATCTGCAGACAAGCAGACAAGCAGACAGATGGACTCTCTTGACTTCCTCACTCACAATCCAACGTTGAGAAGGAGCAGCCCGCCGGACGTCCGAGACCCCCAGAGTCTCTTGGTGCATCAAGCATTGGCTTGCTCAATCATCATAATAGAAAGGAGCCGCTGTCTTCCCTCGCTGTCTTGTCCACAAACTTCCAGGTTCCTGATCCATTGAATGAATGCCTCGGACACTCACCACGGCAGACCTTCGAGCCTTGTCTACCTACCTGGGCACTTGCTGGGTAAGGGTCCATGTGCAGTTCTCGTAGCTAGGTATGTCTGTCATTGATCTCTCTCTTGGCCCCGGAATCTATTTCTGTAGCCCACTGCCAGTGCATGACGAACACTCCCTTTCACATTGCTCAATCACCGCCGTCACCCGGTGAGGCTGCCGACGGTCACGTTGTCACCACCTGCTGCCCCTCCGTACCCAGCTCGCCAGGTACCACAGGCACCACAGGCACCCAACAGGTAATAATAATAACAATAATAATAATGCCACCGCCTGCCCCGCACCTTCAGCGCCCGCTCTTCCTCCAGCGCAAGCTCAAGCTCAAGCTCAACAACATTCAGTCTCGAGTCTCGACTCTCAACTCTCTTCACCGCCTTCACCGCCTCGCCCTCAATGGGTTCGCCAGCACACGCCCTCGACTGCTCCATTGGCCTCTCTGCCTCTCCATCAATCCGCCATCCCGTCGGTGAGGCTGCCAGGCCCCAGACCCTCGCTCAAGCCTTTTCTCCCGACTTCCCGACCTTCCGACCTTGCAGCGTAAGGCACAGAGAAATCAATAGTATCAGGGTAGTCGCGGTCGTTTGGTCGCACTCCGGCCTAGTGTCGGGACAGAAGTAAGAGCCGCCACACACAAACTCTCCCCCTCCTTAGCATCCTTAGTACCCGTAGAAATCTGGCCCCCTATTTTCCTCGTCTCTCTTATATCGAGCATTGGACAAAACTGGCCTTTCTTCCTCCCCTTGCAAACACATCAATTGTATTCTTTTACCATCCCTTCATCCATCCTCGTGCTTCGTTATCGCTTGCCATTATCTGATATAGACTTGTCCGTCATTCACTTGTCGGATATCTCGTCGTCCATCTCATCTCTCCATCTGTCCCAGGCCGTGTCTCACTCACCGCCTGCTTACCCCCGCTCCGACCTCAAAACGTCCTAACAACATAACAACATGAGCGGCAAATCCCAGATTCGCCTCGACGGCAAGGTCGCCCTGATCACCGGCGCCGGTCGTGGCCTTGGTTCTGGTTTGGCCAAAACCCTGGCGGAGCGTGGTGCTGCTGTCTGCATCAACTATGCCAGCTCCGCCAAGCCAGCTCTGGCCACCGTGGCCGAGATCGAGAAGGCCGGCGGCAAGGCTGTTGCCATCCAGGCCAACATCTCCAAGGTCCCGGAGATCACCAAGCTCTTCGAGGAGGCCATCAAGCACTTTGGCAAGCGTAAGTCGACCGAAAAGCCCATTGAGCAACCCCTCAGGGGCCGATGTCACGTGCTGACCTCCCAAAGTGGATATTGTCATCAACAACGCTGGCATGGAAGCCTTCTCCAAGCCAGAGGACGTCACTGAGGAGCTGTACGACCAAGTGTTTGGTCTCAACACTCGTGCTCAGTTCTTCGTCGGCCAACATGCTCTGAAATACCTCAGCGGTGAGTGGAAGACCCCAGATCCTCGAGTCCAGGTTTGAATTCCCCTTGGCTGATGGTCTTGTCCTGGTTCAGACGGCGGCCGCATCATCTTCATGTCGTCCATTGCTGCCCGTCTGGGTGTTCCCAACCACGCCCTGTATGCTGGGTCCAAATCTGCCGTCGAAGGCTTTGCCCGCTCTTTCGCTGCCGACGGTGGTCCCCGACGCATCACCGCCAATGCGATCGCCCCTGGCGGAATCAAGACCGACATGTTCGCTCAGAACGCCTGGCATTATTCCCCCGGTGCCACCAAGGATACCCCCATCGAGGTGATCGAGGCCGGCATTGCCAAACTCATCCCTCTTGGCCGATGCGCTGTTCCCGATGACATTGCCAAGGTTGTCATGTTCCTGTGCCACCCTGACAGCGAATGGATCAACGGTGAGTCTTGCCCCCACAATCTGCTGTGGTGGTTTTTTGATCGCGAAACTAACGGACAACCTCTTTTCAACGTCTAGGTCAAATCATCACTCTCACCGGTGGTAGCGGCATTGCCTAAACAGCTCTCTCCTGCTCGTCACCTTCTTTTCCATCATGAGCTTCTTCTTTCTTTCGCTGAGAATATTTTGGCTTCCCAGAGCGTGCTTTCAGCAGTTAAAGAAAAAAAGTTCTTTTGGGATTAGCAGAGTCGGTTGGGTAGAAAAGCCTCGTTCATGGATTTGAAATGATTTGCATGTGCGGGCACGGGGTGCAATGTCAAGGCGGCGGAACCACGGCTAGACACCATGACCAAGAGTGCAAAGATTGGAAATCAAATAGAATTTATCTTGACCACCGTGACTCTTTTAATGGGCTTGACCTGGTCCCTTGCCCCCATGCGCCTTGGGAAGATGCACGTGACCCTCAATACCCCTTTTCACCCTTCCACACACAATCACTGTCTGCCCTCATCTCCGTAGGTGCAAGTTGTTGTTCTGCTCAACTACAGGTCGTATCGATCGATACCTCTGGGAATTACCGCTACTCACATTTTGGAAACAAGTGCTCGGACATTTTGTCACGACTCACGACCCAACATTGAAGACCGCCATATGGATACCACTATTCAACCTTCGACTACGAGCGAATACTCCGTGAACCAACCCCGAATCAGCAAAGCCAACGGGCAGAACCACCGCCGACTCACCGACGTCTCCTCACAGTCCTTCGCCCTATCGTCGATGGACCTAATGTAAATTGTCGAATATAGTATAGCGGCTTTCTCGAGATCAGATCTACCTAGACACATACATACAATGCCGAGGACGCCTCCCCCATGTTCCTGCCCGGCCCTGCCCTGCACGGTTACGAATGCTCGGACTAGGGATGCATGTGCAGAGGGGACCTGCGTGCCAAAGGCGAAGACCAGGGCTCCGGACGAGGGACGACGAATCAAGGTCCACGAACCAGCTCCGGGGCTTGAGCAACGCAAGAGATCTAAATGTCGTGGTTATTGCTTTTTGGGGAAGGCGGGCGTTCTCTCCCGACAAAGATTCCGCGCCCATTACAGCAGGGACGTTCCTTGGATACAAAACCCCTCCCTCCCGACTCCCCTCTCCTCCGGAGGTGTGGCATTGGCCAAGTACTGCGAGTCAGACGACGCCCTGCTCGAGGGAAAGGAAAGCCCATCTCCGGAAACGAGTCGCCCGCATGTCATCCTCCCGCAAGAACTGACTGGCTGACTGACTGGTGATGATGGTATAAAGGAAGCAAGTGATCCGTCCCCCCTCAGTGCCTGTGCGTGATTTGCGTGGAACTACTTTTGTGTCCGACTTCCTTCCCAGTGCCCCTCTAGGTAGCTGGGAGTTCTGGGAACCACCACACGGTTGACAGCAGCAATCTTCGTCGTTGTTTCCCCCTTCGTCTTTGATTCGAGGGGATCCCTTCCCTTCCTACTTGCCTGGAGATTATGGCCACAGAAGAAACTTCCCTTGTTTGTTGGTTGTGTCTGGCCTGGGCAGAGAACCATGTGCGCATTGCGAAGGGCGTGTTTTAGCGTCGAGATGACACGACCATATCGGGATTCGTTCACGTTATATTATCTAACGGTAAGTGCCACGGATCAAGATTCCCCTCTATACAGTCACCTCTACAAGATCCTTTGTTCTTTTCTCCATCCCTCAAGAGCCCAAAGTTCTTTGGGTAGTGGACTTTGCAGACTGCAGCCTCGCGTAATTGGGGTGTCTCCATATCCTCATCAACTCAAATCCTACGGTACGAAGGGTACCTTTTCAATATCAAGATGGACAAGTTCATCCTCCACGAGGAGCCCGTCTCCGCCAATTGCTACAAGATCCGCTTGACTGCGGCCTTGCTGGGCATTCCGCTCCAGCGACGCATCTACTCGATCCTGAAGGGTGAAACAAGGACAGCAGAGTTCCTCGAGACCGTCTCTTCCTTTGGCCGCGTCCCCGTTCTCCAGATTGGTGACTCTACTTTTCTGCCCGAAAGCAATGCTGCCTGCTTCTATCTCGCCGAAGCCGCCGCGTCCACGGCAACGGCAGCCTCCGCATCGTCCTCGTCCTCCTCGTCGTCGCCGCCACAAGCGACGACATCGCTGATCCCCAAAGACGCGCTCCAGCGAGCCGAGATGCTGCGCTGGATGTTCTTCGAACAGAATCAACACGAAGTCAACATTGCGACTCTCAGATTCTGGGTGCACGTCATTGGCGGCCAGAATTTAGACGGATCCCGACGTGCGCAAATTGTGGGTAAGATCGCGGCAGGGGAGCAGGCGTTGGATTGTATGGAAGATCATCTCGCAAAGAGCCACCACGGGTGGTTTGTTGGCGACACCGTGAGTTTTCACCCTTTCACCCAACTGCTTGAGGCGCGGCGTATTTCGTGAAAACCAGCTGAACAGACTATGGCAGATCTCGCTGGCTGACATCTGCCTCTTTGCCTACACGCATATCGCTGGTGATGCTGGCTTCGACCTCTCAAGGTGGCCGTCGATCCTCAAGTGGTGCGACCAAGTTAAACAGGTGCAAGGGTACATCCCTATGAGTTAAGGCAGTGACGATAGCTGTACGCTGAAGAGAAGACACGGCATTGCCAGCGCCGCCACGACTTGAGACAGACATGGTCATTCCGACGACAAAGAAACGATAAACTTGATCCTTTGTCATTACCATTGTCCAATGTGGCTAGATCAACAAGATGCACCAGCATCTGCTCTTCCATCTTTGTCGGCTTTGTACTCTATGCTCAATCTGCGACAAAATACCGTTGTCTCGGCTGTCATGAAACCAAGAGCCTTGTCTTCATTCAGATTCTCTGCCTCAGGGGTTTGGGCTACGACACAAAGGACAACAGATACGCTGTGACATGCAAGAGCATAAATGCAGCAGCAAGGTCGAGTCTACGGCTCGTCTGCCCAACGCACTGTGTGGCCAGCTTGTTGACTGTAGAAACGACCTTCCCCAGCACGGCTCAAATATATCGCTGGGTTCAGCACTTATCAACCATGCCGGAGACAGTCAATTGCGCCCAACCACAGGAGGTGGGACCGGCGAGATTCGTTGATCGAATCAAAGCGAGGGCACGCAAGAGGACGGCAGCAGTTCGAGGATGCCTCACGTCCGTGGTTGAGAGTGAGTCGGAAGACCCAGCTGCTCGGATTGAAGATTTCCTTACTTACGCTGCCGGTACAGAATTTCGTGGATCGAAACGACGCCAACCAGAGGCGCGCTGCAGCGACGCTTTGAAGCAGATAGAACGTCAACCCGAGGATCGTGAAGTCTTGGTCGATATTCCACATGGGAGGGGATCCGTCAGCAGCTTTTCAACCGTGCTAGGCATGTACCCCCCCGAGTCCTCGTCCACCATATCACTCCCCTCGACTTTCTCGATGGGCTCAATGTTTGTTCCCGAACCAATTGCACAGCAAGCTTCGCCGGCTCATCCAAGCACCTACTTTGCCATTGAGACGCCAGATGACTTTGAACGATTCCGCTCGGATCTGCGAAATCGAACCGAGCTCGAATCTGTGCCAGCATTGCCGACGGCAGGGTCACGACTAAAGACTGAATGCTTTCACGTGGATTCGACACCGATTCCTGTGGGTGAAGAAAGGGACAGACCCAGGTTCAAGGCATATCCTGGTAAGCCAGACGCTGACAACCAGGGTCCCGTCTCCTTTCAAGCGTACTCGGCTGGGACGAAGCTCAAACATGGAAGCGTCCGTTACATCCCACCTACTTTGCAATCTGGGTACGTCAATGGTGTCCCGCCAGCTCTTCGAGCCGCACACACTGGCAATAGCTCGACTCGCCCTCAGAGCACTCCCAAGGGGACGGCTGCTGGTCACACAAGCCAGAACTATTCGTGGCCACTGGTGGACTTCCACAAGGAAATCTTTCTGAACGCCGATCCGTCACAAACAAGTCACTCTACTCGGTACCAGGAGCCACGCATTCCGTCCATGGAATTCACTGGCCGTGGACTGGAGGACGAGATGAAGGCGGTGCTGGACAGCATCCACAAGCGGGAGATCGAGAAGGAAGCCGCACACGTGCAAGACCGAGCCTGGATGTCGCCCGGTTCACCGTTGGACTGGCCGGCTTATGAGAGGGAAGCTTGTATTCCGGCTGCGGCAGCGCAAGCAGGGGTGCATCCGCGAGTCCTCACCATAGGGAGATTGCAGGAGCAGGAGAGCTCGATCGGCTCGGTTCCGGCTCCTCTTCCTCCGTCGAGCGAGGAACGCAGAGTCAAGTTCAGTGAGTACAACTGGCCCCGGTTCAGCGATGATCAGTTCACGGATCCGGCCGAGGAACACTCGCGCGAGTACCGTCGTCGGAGACGGGAAGCGCGAAGGAACACTACCAGACGAGAGCTTTGATGAAGGGCTCGGAACGTATAGTGGGTTCTTTGGCTAGTAGGCTGCTCAGCTTCAGGTTGATTGGGCGGGATTCTTTGGAGGTACATACATACACAGACCTACAAACCTGGAGTTGGACGCATTGTTGGACATTGGTAGGATGGGGGAAGGATTGGTATCCGACTATCGGCGAAGAGACCGGCATGAGACCGGCATACTAGATTCGACTGATCCGGAGACAAGAAGACGCCGTGAAAGATGAACGTCCCAAAGGTCCCGCAAAAAGGGCCCAAGTGGCGGTGAGGGTGGACACACTACCTCATACTGTTTGACATGGATCGCTTTTGGTTTCCCATATTTTTTGCTTTTTCTTCCCCTTCTCTTGTGCGAAAATCGGGATCACATGCAGTTTCGGGGAAAAGTGGTCATCACGTGAGAAGATGGAGCATCCCGGTTTCTCTGCTTCGATCTCGGGATGATTAGGCCGAGGTGGCCGAGGAAGCATGAGGGATGGAGGGATGTGCGCCCTCCTCTTTCCCCAGGTACTCGGTACTGCCAAGGGGAAAGCCTTGTAGCCTAGAAAAGTCCCTTGGGCCGCCCGTGACCTTCCTGCCTCGGGAAGTCCCAGGTACTGGGCGAGCCAGGCTCGCTGGGAACCTCCAGGACTCGTAGGCGGCTATTGAGTACCTAGGTACCTACTATCGGGGGCACTGGGCACCACTGAGCAGCACCCCTCACCCACCGTGAAACAATTGCCCGGGCTCGTCTATCGCCTATCGATCTGATCGCACATCTTTTCCCAATTCCTCCGCTGCAACTTGTGCGAATTGCCCATGTTGATCACTCTCCCTCCTTATCCTGTTTGTCCACCACCCCACACTGCACGACCACGACCAGGTCAATGATCAGCATTTTTCTCCAATCGATAATGCAATCGTTTGTCGTCTATCATGTTCGATACCGAATCCATCATCATCATCCTCGAACCTTTTGAATCCTTTGTCCACTTTTTTATTTACCCTTTGTCTTGCATCATTTTAGCCTGAGAACGGCAACATTCAGGTGACTGGACCACCATGAATGTTTCTCTTCTATCGCCTTCGTTCTCGGCCTGCTCGTACTACTGACTCAGCTTGCACTACTCCATGGACTATTGATGGGCTGTCGTCCCCCCTTCCCAAGTTCCCGAGGTACCGAGTCACACCTTTGATGTAGTACTCGCGAAGTACTTGTACCGCCAACTGCCCCTCTAAAGGGAGTCGGATGGTACCTTGTCGTGGCTCGTTTTGCAGGTCCAGACTCACCACTGAGTGACTCGACCCTGTGCCTCAGAATAGCTATTTGATCCTTCCTGAGCTGACCAAGAGGGCCGCGCCCTGCTCGCTTGCCTCGCTTCGTGGCTTCGTGGCTTCGTGGCTTTTTGTCGCCTCGTCGCTTCTTTTTGCACCTTCCCACGCTCTCGATCCCTTTTCAGTGCTGGCTATCCCACCCACCTCCCCTGCTCACCCCCAAATTTTATTTTTCTCTGCCCTCGCCCTTATCCACCCTTGGAACTCTCGCAAAAAGTGGGGTGCAACGGGCTTTTGACTCTCCAGCAGAGTTTCCCAAGGAAAAAGCCTCCCACCTCCCCCCTCTTCCTCCACTCACTTGTGGTTTCTTCCATCCTACTGAGAGACAGAGAAGAACTTACCTGGGCGAGCTGCGGGATACCGGAATACCTGAATGCCTTGGTCCCTTAATCCCCGAATTGACCGATCCCGCAACCGTTGTCTCCGTATCTGTGGTAATCAAGCCAGCTCCGACAAGAGAGCCTTTTGCTCGTTCCTGGGGTTCACATGTTCCATGTGTGAGACAAAACCCTCCCCAAGGTCCTCTTGACGTGTCACCCTGGACGAAAACTCCATCATCGCCCTCATTACGACGCCCCTACCCTCACCGACTTCAACCTGCGACGTCTCCATAATACCACAATTTTCACTCACACGCACACAACCACACACTCGCAGCTCTCTCGGGTTTAGGATCCTACCAGCTCTCCATCCGCCCGTCCCCGTCTAAACCCGCCACCAACCGTATCTCATTCGAACGGCTGCTCCTCCCGTCATTTCCAGTTGTCGTCTCGTTTTCCTGCCCTACTTCAAGACACCGCACAAACGCGCAAAAGGGCCACAAGTTCTCGCGAGATTACACCGTCCGTTTTGCCTCAGCTTCGTCTCTTTTGAGAGCCGTTTTCGACCCTAGAATCTGGATCCCGGAGTTGCATTCATGTGTCACCAAGTGTTTCCCCTCCTCTTCCGGTGACCTGTCGTGGTGTGCTGGTTCTTTTTCGTTTCCTAAGATAGGAGACAAAGGAAAAACACCAAGAAGAAGACAGGAGTGGTTAGGGGGTCGTTACCATGTACAGAAATTCGGCGCAGTTGAAATGCATCAAAGGCATTCCGCCCAACGCCCTCCCTTCGCCCGACAACACTAGCGACTCGGACTCGGAACTCCTCGATGCCCTCGACCAGAAGAGGAGGCAATTGGACGAGGAGGTTGCCAAGTTCAAGGCTGCGAAGGACCGCGAGTTTCGCGAATTTGAGAAGCAGCTATGGGTCAATAAGAAGAGGTCGCGTGCGGGTGCCAACAGTGCTTCTGAAGGCACGCCCACCAGGGCTTCATCCACCACGTCTGCCTTGAATCTGCTGGCATCGACGCAAAATGGTTCGGTACCTGGCCGGCCAGGCTACAAGGCGAGAAGAGACGCAGGAGCAGGCGACAAGGTCAGAAAGCCGGCACCGCTGAGCGGGCCGACTCTGTCCTTGGAAAAATTGAACATTACTGGCGAAACCACGCCACCTCTGCATACCCTGGGGACGCCACCCACACCTACAATCCTAGCTCGGGCGAGATCACGCTCTCCCACGAGTGCGGCGGCACGGCCGACAACGCCGCCCCCCACACAATTAAAGACTGATCCTCCGCTGACGTCCACTCCTACACCTTCGAAAGACCGATCCGACCCCTTTGCTGGAGTGTTCACGCCCATGTACCTGCCCCTTCTAGAGTCAAGCGATCGTAGTCCGATCGTGCGGAGTCCGCAGCCCATGACTTCTGCGGAAGAGGAAGCAAAACGGCTACAGTTGGACGCGGAGTCTAAGGAGCGGGCGGATCAAGTGTTGAAACAGCAGGCCCGATCGTCCCAATCGTTACCGCCACAACCGGTGTCGCCCACAGTTGTGGCGACCAAGCGTGCCCAGTCGACATCTATACTGCCGAGTGCCAGTCTCCCCAGTGCTTTAAGAAGTACCAGTGGCGGAGGAAGAAGGAGGAAGCATGTCATGTTCCAGCTGGCGGATCTCAAAGTGGTCGATCCGAGTAGCAGTTACGAAGAAGGGCCGAGTCCGGAGTTGGAAGGTGAGACGGATATGAAAGGAGAAGCACAACATGGGGGCCATTCGCTCGAGCAACATGGCAATCAAGTTAGCGATGTGAGGGACAAGGGAAGTCCCGGACTACTCGGTGCAAAAGACAGGCGTAGAGGAAGGGGAAGAGGAGGCCGCTTCATCTCGCCCATTCCTTCCCCACTGGCAAGTCCTAGCCCGAGCCCAACACCATCTCCAGCCCTCAATGGAGGCTCACCCTCGGCGTCACCTCTGCAATCTCCGCGCCTAATCTCTTCGCCGGACGAGTCCGGGTTTTCCGGCGGGCTAGTTGGTGCGGCGGACGGAGGCAGCGGCGTCGGGTTTTTTGAGCTCGACGAAGAGCTCGCCAGTCCGGCACTGAGAGACGGTCGACCGGCCGAGGCGTTTGACCTCGAGGTTGAGGATGAGATCAGCGAGAAGATCGGCCGGGATCCCGCGGGAGCAGGTGAGAAGGGACTAGGCATCATCCCTCAAGTCCAGGTGGGGAGCGTCCCCATCGATATTGTGAAGCCCAGTGGGAGCTGGGTCGGGAGCTTTGGACATTGAGCTGGGTAGGAAAAGAGGACACGCTGGGCCTCGAAAAACAAACCAAAAGTCAGGAAATCAAAGAGGAAAAAGGCACGGAGAATGGTGTATCTCGAAGAAAGAGTTACACCATCTGTTCTGTCTCTCGATACAGGAAGCCATACGGGGGGGATTTGTACCAGCCAAACCCCCATTGATTGAAGGACGGGAGTGTCCCCACGGGACACGTTATCGGATCCGCACGACATTTTTGTGCCTTTCGTACTAACGAGCATCTTGGGCGGCATATTTGATTTTCTGCCTCTTTCCTTGTTACGACACTACTGGGAGGGGGATCTTTGCCTCCCCCTGCCCCCATCGCGCGTCTGCGAGCTACATACGAATATCTGGGTCGGCTATTGTGAGCGATATTGTTTTTGTTGCGTCGTTATTTTCGGGACTGGAATCTGGATTGATCCGCCTTGCTCTGCTCTGCACTGCCCTGCTCTGTGGTCTGTAAGGCAGTCAGTCAATGAGCATCAAGAGAAGACAATGGAAGATATCAACGAGGAATGTTGGGGGAGGTTATCTGTCTATGTGTCTGTCTCCGTTTGCCGTTTGTTTATATCTTTTTGCGCTTTCTATGCCCGTGGGTTTCAGGCTGGGGAGCGGCGGCAAAAAGTCCACCAAAAAGATTCATGCTTTTGCTTGCTGAGTCTTGCGATGTTCGGTATTGTTTATGGAAATGCTCCTGGTATGTTACGAGATGGAAAATGGAATTGGGAACTGGATAGTGGATACTGGTGTACAGAAAGAGACCGTGCATACATACCCTACATACCTTACACAGGTACTTTACATACTGTCCACAGCTGACAGGCACAGACCCAGACGCGAGCCGCGCAAAGCGAACGCGAAAATACTATACTGTATGCCTGACATTGCCATTGCCTTCTTCTCTCCCCTTTTCAGATTCCCGAATGGGTTGGGTAGCTTGATTTACACCATGGTCGAGTTCAGCCTCGACTCGCAAGTTATGTGTTGGGCAATTGTAGGTACCTAGATGATGAGGTTGCGTGGTGGAGACGGCGAATTTGCCGGGCGTCGGAAATGGATTCCGACGTGGGCGAGAGTCTGACTTCATCTGAGGCGCATTCGTCAGATCTTGACATCCATGCACCCTGCATCTTAGTCGAGGGCATCAATCCTGCGTGTATACCTGCATAGCGACTCATTACAGCCTCGCGCCCATCGACACACATGAGTGACTTCGTCGGACACCCTGTCGCTGGACGACCTGGTAGACAATCATCACAATAACCATCGAGACAACGACCCGATTAGGTCTTCCACCCACGCTGCCTATGTCGTCGAGACTGGCATCCGGCTTACCCTCGAGCCTCTTCATGGTCTTCTCTTTCTTCGGCGCTCTTTGGGGTTACTGGGCTATCCTTAAGCATACTTCACTTGTCACAGCAGCCTTTGCAACCTCCCATGTCTCGGCTCAAGCGCCTTTGGCTGGCTCTCCCGAAGCCTTGGACCCCAAGCTCACCAATACCATCGGCAAGGATGTCATCAAGCTCTACTACAACGGTACAGGTCCAGTTCCTGCGTACGACAAGAAGACGCCGTTACCAGAGCCCATCACCCCGTTCGGCGAGTCAGCGGTTGAGCAGTCGATTCTGAACGAGCTGCTCGCCATCCTGGACACGCCCTATTACCCGGATAGTTGCTCAAAATGCATTGCCGCAGGTCAAGTGCTCCACGTTGCAGCCATCAGTCAGTCTGTGACTGTCTTCACAAACGTGCTGACCAGAGCCTGCAATGCTGTGCCAGAGTTCAAGTCAAAACTCCGGGCGGCGTCCTGCGAGTCGCATTTCAGCGGCGGAGCTGGGCACGGTGCCTACCTGGCGCAGCTCTTTTCGAAGATGAGTCTGGCCACGGGCGACATGCACTACTGGTGCTCCATCAACTACGAATTTTGTGAAGTACAGCCTCCTGTTCTGATCGACGAGGACTTCTACTTCGATCCGAAACCAGAATCGGCCAACCTCGCACCAGAACCTTCCGGCCATACTTTCAACGTGCTCCATCTCTCTGACTGGCACTTGGACCCTCGCTATGACATTGGATCCGAAAGCAATTGCTCAGACTACATGTGTTGCCGGCCGTACTCGGTCAACAGGGAACTCTTGACTGATTCCCACAATGCCTCTATCCCCGCCTCGCGGTTTGGGTCATTCTTGTGCGACTCGCCTGCCGACTTGGCACTGTCTGCACTCATCGAGATGCCCAATTTTTTGGACATGGACGAGCTTGCCTTTAGCATATTCACGGGTGACATTGTCTCGCACGACCCGGAGGACATGCTCTCACAGGCCTATGTCTCTTACGAGGAAGAAGTGACTTTCAAGGTCTTCAAGCGCTTTCTCGGGGACAAAATCCCCGTCTACGCTGCTCTCGGGAACCACGACACTCTCCCAGTCGGCTTCAACACGCCACGCAGCATGGACCCTGACCCCACGAACCGGAGCAGCAACATCCTGCAGTGGAACTACGACCTCCTATCTTCCCTGTGGTCCGGGCATTCGTGGCTGAACGACACGGACGCCGAGTTTGCACGCACGCATTTCGGCGCCTACGCGACCACCACCGCCCAAGGTCTGCGCGTCATCTCGATCAACTCCGACTTCTGGTACAAGGAGAACATCTTCAACTACTGGAACGTGACGGACCCGGACCCGAGCGGGATCCTCAAGTGGATGGCGGACGAACTGGCGGCGTGCGAGAAGAGAGGCCAGCGGGCGTGGATCATTGCCCATGTCCTCTCGGGATACGATGGCTCCTCGGGCATGCCGAATCCGACGGCTCTGTTTTACTCCATCGTCCGCCGCTTCTCGCCCGCGACCATTGCCGCAGTTTTCTTTGGGTGAGTTTGGAACCGTGACTCCGAATGATGTTTGTACGGATGCACAAAGAATCACTGCAAGCTAACAGCACTCCTAATCATATAGGCATACCCACCAAGACCAAGTCCAAATCTTCTACGACTACTTGCCTTCCTCCCTCTCCACAATTTCCGACCCTAAGGGCGGCCCCAAGAAGACACTGCGAGACACGACGCAGATAGACATGACCAAGCCGTTACAGATCGGACACATCGGCCCGTCGATCACGCCCCTCACTGGTCTCAACTCGGGTTACCGGGTCTACCAGATCGACGCGGCGACATTCTCCGTCATGGGCGCGCAGACGTACTTTGCAAACATGTCCAACAGCCTCAGCTGGACCAAGCCGGTCTGGGAATTCGAGTACGACACGCGGCAAGTTTACTCGGTCGACCGGGAAGACGAAAGCGAGCGTGATGACGACGGCGATGGCGATGACGACGAGAGCATAACCGCCTCGTCCAACGGACATGGACATGGACATGGCATCTCCTGGCCCGCCACGTCCCCTCTGAACGCCACGTTCTGGCATCTCGTGACCGAGAAGATGCTCAACGACTCCCTCCCCAGTCACGACGACGACGACGAGAAAAAGTCCCCTCTCCTACAACTCTACGAACTCCACGAGTCCAAATCAAGCTCCCACCCAGACCGCCGGATGAGCGGCGGAACGGACAACCCAGAGCAAAAGGTGTGCTTCCTGCGCGCTGGCAGCGGCTACTTGGGCCACTCGTGCAAGGAGAAATTCCCCGGCGGTGGCGGTCGGGGTGATGCGCGATCCCAGCGCGAGAGGGATTTCAACGTGAGATGAGTGTCAGAGACGGGTGTGTGGATTAAAGGTGTGGTGGTTGGGTCGTATCGTTGGTTATATGAGTATATAAACAGGGGCGTTGGGCTTACAAACAAACAGTCTGCAAGCAAGCCTAACAGCAGGATGAAATCGCGGTGTCGAAATATTTTTTGGTAAAGAGTCCAGAAAGAGTCGTTACAAGCTAGAATGAATGACACAAACGGGCCATTTTTTCCATCGGAAAGAAAATAGAAAAAACAAGTAAAAAATATTCATCAATTCCATGAATACAGGTTTGGACGACCATGTTTCCCAATCCAATCTGTCGTCCGTTTTACCAAAAAAAAAACAACGGTTACCAAGCCCCACACAAACTCCCAGGGAACGCCATGCTCGGATTTTGACAACAAGGGCCAAATGGGTGGTTAGCCGGTTACTTCGCTCATTCGGTCACGACAAGTCACTCGTTCAAGATCAGTTGCAGTTGGGGGAGCCTTGCGGATTCACACTTTGCGGGGGCTGGCGGTCGCCGGTCAACGATGTCCAGCTGCGTCGTCGCCGCCGCCGCCGCCGTCCTCTTTCTTGGAGGTCCTCCTGCTTCGATGCACAATCTCCTTGGCCGTCTGCGTGATGCTGATGCCGTTGAAGAGCCAATCGTCGCTGTGCCGCCCGTATCCGCCAGGCGAGCGTCCGCTGTGCCGCGGTTTCTTCTGGATCCAGCTGTCCCGTTTCTGGAGGTCGGGCGACGGCAGTGGGCTCGTGGCCATGGCTGAAGGGGAGAGGATGGCGCTGTCGGAAGTGTGTCTCTGTGTCTGTGTCCGTGGGTGATCATGAGAAGGACTTTGGGCCGGGTGTGCTGGCGAGGTCTGGGTGTGCTGCTTGAGGTTGGTACCGGAGGGCGGAATGTTTAGGTCTATCGGTGGTGGCCGGGGGGACTTGGAGCTTGATCTGGAGAAGGGAAAGGGGAAAGAGAGATGGGCTCTCCCTGGAGGTGACGATGGCGAAGACTCGGTTGATAATGGGGAGAGCGTGGTTGCTGGAGACAAAGTCCTTGAAGTTGTGATCGCACACTGTGATCCGTCGCTTGCACTGCGACCTTTAATATCAGGTCTGGGAGAGGGAGTCGCCGGTGTTGGTGTTGTCGTAGGGTTGGAGCTCATCTCACTTGTGTTGGTCGGTAGGAACGGAGGAGGTGAAGCCATGAACAAAAACCTTTTTTGACGGGTTTAAAAAAGAACGAGGTATATCTTTGACGCAGGGGAAAATTGCATGACTTTTAACTGCTGTTCAGTTGAGGAGGTCTTCGAGACGACTTACAAAACCAATTGGACATCATCCGGTCACTGGGCTTTGCCGACTCGGAGTGTGCCCAGAAAGATCAAAGTGCATGGCTGCACTCCATCTGCATGCTTTTCAGGTAATGAGCTGATCAGACGAGGGACTGTTTGGCAGCCAAGGAATGAACAGGCGAGGTGCTAGGCTGATCAAGACCAGGGGGACGACAAAAGGCCTTTTCGTGCTCTGTGCTCGGTGGAGCCAGTCGTCGTCGTCAAGGACCTTTTCTTTGTCTTCCGGGCTCTTTGTTCTTTACCGAGTACGCAGTAGACCAAGTCCCGGCTCTTGAGTCTTGACCCAATCAACCTGAGCCACATTCTGCAGGCTGGGCTGGCCAACCGAGCATCTGTTTTCCCGTCACATGTGTCTTCGTACTGCTCACCGGTTTGGACCGCCTTGGTTCAAGACTGGCTGGAAAAAGGCCGCCAGATGCATCTCGAGTCCCCCAACTGCAAGCGTGCAGCAGCCGAACACCCCCACGTTGAAACCAATGGCAAAGGTTGCCCCCAGACGGAGTGAAGAGGTGAATGGGTGGAGACACATTTTCAGCCGCACTCTTGGGAAGTGTTGCCTAGGGCCAGGAAGGAGAACAGTCTTTCCGAGGAGGATGAGGGTATCGGAGTAATGTCAACGAGACCAACGGTGGTGAAATCGAAAGAAGGTCCAAGGTAGGATAATGCCAGCTAACAACATATCTTTACTCATGTCAAAGGACTTTCGGACGTGTGATTGAAGGCGACGGCTGGAAACTGGGCGTAATCAGGAAGGGCCAGCCTGGGCAGGGGGACAAGCTTGCAAAGTCCGGGGACCTCGTGCCACCTTTTGGCCATTACTACTGCCCAGGTACCCAGGTAGGCACCCGGCTACTAGGTACCTAATTACTGCCTAGGTAGGCACCCGGCTAGGTAAGGCCCTTGGACACCTCGCTCACTGCACTGCAAGCCTTTCGTCGCTCGGCACTTTGGCTCTTTCCCGTCAAGCTTTCCTACTTCATCTCTTAGACAGGGATCACGGGTAGGACCTCGTGTTCCTCGATGAATTCCTTTCAGGAGAAATCTGTGCACAGGTGTTGGATCTGTTCGAGCGACGATGCATGGATCGCAAGTCATCTTCTCACCAAGCTCCAGCATCACCCTCTCCGCCTCAGAAAGATGGCTATAGTCCGCCGACAATCGACCAGTCGCACGATGTTGCCTTGGTGATAAAGGCGCTTGACCACTCCTACAAATGCCATGGAGTCTGTAGTACAAAGATCTTGCTCTGGGGTTCTCCCGGGTGCGGGTATGCCATCACAAGCAGAGATTGGTGAACACCTCTAATATTTGACCAGCAAGCGTCGCATTGCTACTCAAGCTGCTCTGGAGTTTTCCACCCGCACCGGTTGCAAGGTCCTCTGGATTGATGGCCGATCCTTCGAATCTTTCATCCGCGACTATCGAGCAGCCTATACCAAAGTCACCGGAGAGCATCTTCCCCAAGGTCTCACCTTGACCCATACCCTTCTGAAGATCAGATCCACCTTGGAGGCTCGTCGGGATGAATTACTTACCGTCGTCTTTGACATGGAGTCCTGCCTGGAAGAGGACATGGAGACTGAACTAAACGCACCCGACCTCTATCTTCCGGACCGTGGTCGCATACTTTGTACCTCTTCATATGCCGTCCTGAAAGTGGCCGGCAGTGATGACCATGGACCACCTGAAGAATGTGGTCTGAAGTTTGCCAGTCGAGCAACATGCTTGTATGTCAGCGCACTTAGCGAGGAGCAAGCCTTGCAGTATTTCAGAGCTTCACTGCCGAACACCAACGATGAAGTCAGCTGTCTCCGCGCGTTCTGGCAATTTCGACTAAAGGCATGGCACACCGCGCCACTTCGCCTTGCGCTGTCTTGTGCTTGCATGCGTTTACTGCATTTCTCGCCCAGCCGTTTTCAACAGTTGTGCGCATACAAGGCAAGGGAAGGCTACAGTCCAACATGGCCAGGCTACAGTCCCATCTTTTCGGACATAATGTCTATCCTATGGGATGCTCTCAATGACTATGATGTCGCCGCGGGGGAGTTGCTGGTCGTTTGCTCAGCCATTGATCCAATGGAGATTCCTGTCGCACTTGTTGAGAAGTTTCCAATGTTTCAGAACAACCAAGGACGACTTCTCTCCACGATTGACTTGCTCCGTCTGAGTGGGTTACTTGAGATCCACCAGGGACCTGAGCTTGCTACCATCAACCTGCATCCTCAGGTGCAACGCTGGCTACAACTCAAACGTCAGGAAATCGATGACAAACACGAGTCTACAGACCTCGTCCACACATGGATCTCTGTGCTCAGCGACTATCTAGCCAAGCCAGAACACGACCTTCAAAAGGGTTGTCCCATCTTCGATCCCGAGAAATTCTGGGGGATGTTCGCTCATATCATCTCGCTTTGTAATCTCAAATCAGGGCAGATTCGCCAGTTTTGCAGCCCACAGTACATGACGTTCCTTAAGCATGTCGCCATTTTCCTTGTCGACGACGGCATCTTTCAGGTCCTGGCCGGCCTGGCCATAACACATGCTTTGGACATGTGCACCCTTCTACAAACTCGACAAGGCCATAATACTCTTCTGGACCGTGAGTACGTCCACATTCGTCAAGTGATGGCCAGCGCCCTTATTCAGTTGTCGGAATATGTCCACGCTGATCGTGAACTTCGAGAGGCGAAGCGATTTCTTATGCAGCACCTATTAGGTGGTGCCAGCAGCACCCAGATGTTGCGCGAGATTGAGGATACACAAGCGTATCTCAGCATCATGCAAAGGAATTGGCCCGAGGCTAGCCGGATGCTCGCTCAGCTGCTGTCTGCCCCCGAGCCTGACCATGATATCCGCGACCTCGCGAAGCGACACCATTGGATGTCAAGATATAAGGCGGCTGTAGACGCAGATTTCAGCGCCTTGGAGCATTCGCAGTAAGTATACCCCGAAATGCTGTCGAGTCTCTCGGGGGCAAGAGTATCGATCGGTCTCGTACACCAGTCAGATACTAACTTCAAGTTAGCATGACCATGTCTTACTGGAGAGATCTACCGTATGAAGAACAATGGGGCTTCAAAGATACCAGGCTGCTGAGCTGGGTTGAAAAGCACATGATGAACCTAATGAACATGAGAAAGTACAAGGGTGCCCTTCTCTTCGGTACACGGCTACTAGAGAGAGCGTATGAGCTTTCACCGATTCTTGGGAACTCTGTCTGCTGCTTGACTTACCGCGTGGTGTATTGCCAATGCATGCTAGACATGGCCGACGATGCCGAAAAAACTGTGTGTCGACTGCTCGAACTGCCATCGCACGACAACTATGGAGATGACACTACCCGGGCTTATCTGCTGTACACACTGAACGAACTCGCGATACTGCTGCAACGCAACGGGAGGGCCGTGGAAGCCGAAGGTTTGTACAGGTTCAACATACAGACCTCAAAGCTTTACGACGTCAAGAATCTAAGCGGAACTGAAACGTACGACAGCTGGCGTGATTATGGACAACTGCACATGTGTCTCATCGAGCAGGGAAAAGTGCTGGAAGCAAGGAAGCTCAAGGAAGAATATGAGTTGGGGAATCCGGACAAGGAGTTTAGAGACTCCGCCATGCAGAACAACTTGACCGCTTTGCGTTATTCGAGGGAGTTGTACGTCAGAGCACTCGAAGCAGAGAAATCTGGTACCACTTTGGAGTTCAAAGCCGCTCTTGATTTGGCCGAGACTCGACCAGCATTCAAACGGGCCGTGAAATGGTTTGGAAGCCCGAAGCGTCGCGTCGAAAGGGGCAGAGACTTTGAGAGCGACGTGGATTTGCACCACATCGGTCGGGCACGGAACAGCCGTCTTCTTCAGCTGCTTAAATTCCCTCTCGTCTACTTGGCTTTCATCGATGGGCGCCCCAGGACTTCAGCCGACAATACAGACAATACCGAGTTCCTGTGGGCCAGTCTTCGCCAAAGCGTTCTTGGGCAATACTGGCAATGGTGCGACTGTAGGAGGAAGAGGCAGCGCAGTCAAAGCGTCCATGAATGGGATCGCTACACCGTCAGGCCGACGTGCGACAGTGAGGGCTCGCAGCTTAAGAAGCTGAAGCAGAAGCTAATCACGGGCTGGGTGATAAGAACGCCAGCGACGACCAAGGCTGTCGCGGCAGATTGCAGCGCCGATTGTCCGTGCGTCGAAGCCAACAAAAGAGGTCTTCTCGAGACATGTGCACTGGAATCGAAACTTTGGTTGTGGGAAGAGCCGACACTGAAAAAGCGCCCGTCAAAAATTCCAGCCAGGTTCCGGAACACTAAACCAAACCGATCACCAATCCCCGAAAACGAATATTTTACACTCGTCCGTCCTAATACTTGGTTCTGGATCCAGTCTGAGTTCGCGAATGGAGAGATTGAGGGGGAGAATTATATCATTCCACGAGCGGTTGAAATTCCTGGAATCGCCATCACACCGCCCGAAGGTCAAACGGATCTCCTCCCGCTGGCCACGGATCCGCAAGAGAGTCTGACAAAATACTACAAAAGGGACTATGCAGCAGATTTTGCTTCTGTGTTGGAGAAGCAGGAGGCTAAGTGGTATAGTCCGACGCGGTTAGATGATATCTTGGAAGACGACGAGGACGAGGAGGATGAACCGTGAAGTGGAATTTGGGGTAACTGAGGCTGACATTTGATTCCCTAATACAGTGGTCTTCCAGTGGTGGCTATCGTTGTTATAAGGCCAGTAAGAACAGTACAGGGATGATCACAAAGCATACGGAGGGAAGAGGTATATACGAGGTACCTAGGTATAGAAGGGGAAAACCCCTTCAGGACTATGTGACTATAATGTACGACGAGAACGAGTGCTATATTGCAGTCTTGGCATGACGTCGGGATTCCGGATCCTGGGCGGTGGTGATTGATTGGACGGGAAAGTGACAAGGAACTGAACGAGACTCGGACGTGGACCATCACATCGACTCAAATTCCCGAATACGACGATTCCATCTCATCTCGCCATGTCCATTCAAGGCTTTTCTTCCTCTCATTATCCTCACGTCTTTGCTGATGATAGCCAGGCAGGAGATGCTCAGCTATCCGAGGTTGTGAATCTGCAATGCTCCCAATCCATGATCCATGGTTGACACCTCTCCATCCGAACATGTCCTTCTACACCACGTTCACTTCTTCCTTACTTGACCCCATGCTCTTTCTTTGTACATAAGCAACTTTTATAAATTTGGATATGAAACGACCTATTCATGGCCTCTTCGCAGCCCCCTCATTCTCTGAACCTGACATCGTCGCCGCCCATCTTCATCCTTCCAACTCACTTGAAACCAGACGAACTTCATGACACAGAAGACTTGATTCTTCAAGCCGGCGGCCACTTGACGTATGATGCCCAGGAGGCAAGATTGTTCATAGGCAGGGTCGCCCAGAAGAAGCGGGCTGCGTTCGACCTTCGGGCTAAGGGAGTATGGACCGAAGAGGCAGCCTTGCCGGAGACCAGCTCCAAGGGTGGAGGAGATCATCAACAGACCGTGGAACAAGGCCCAGCGAGGAAGAAAGTCAAGCTTGCAGACTATGCTGGCGGCTCCCGGCATTCGACAAGACAGAAGCGGCGCAGCTCAAGCACGCTCTCGGCCTCTTCAGATAACTCTATGGACGGTGGCGCATCTCGACCGACTCCGTTCTGGCCTAATCTTACAAACCATATTCTCATACTCAAACTCTCCTGGCTGGAAGCTTGTCTCAAGGACGGACATCTAGTTCCATACCAACCTTACATTGTCTATACTGCGAGAATCCTCCCCAATCCCACGGGCGAAGACTCTTCAAAAGCGCAAGCGCCACTGTCGACATATGTCAAGGTAGGCTCTGGATCCCAATCCCAATCCCAAACCACCACAGCACGAAGAGCATCCAAACCTTCAGTGTCCGCGTCCATACTGGAGCGCGCAAAGGCTGAAGCAGCGGCCCTTCCCTCCTCATCTCGCCGCCGTTTTGGCGATCATGCACATCACCATTCGTCATCACAGGCCGACTCCAGCAAACACAAGCCGCCTAAACTTCATCGCACCACAACATCTGAAATGGAATATGCAGCCGAACATCCTCTGCCTCCTCTTCCAGACTGGGCAGTCGGCCCCAACGCGGCCTACGCATGCTGCCGCTCCACGCCCATGCACACCCCCAACGACGCCTTCATCGCTCAACTCACCAAGATAAAGGAAGCCCGCGTCCTCAGGCTCGACGAGATCGGGGTGCGCGCCTACTCGACCTCCATCGCCTCGGTCGCCGCCTATCCCCACCGCATCACTCACGTTGAAGAAATCACCCGCCTGCCCGGGTGCGAATCCAAAATCGCAGCACTGTGGCGCGAATGGCAAGACTCTGCCCCGCTGGAAGCCGACGACTCGGAAAGGTCCATCCAGGTCGTTCGTGACCTGGACGCCGATCAGGACCTCCAACACCTCCGACTATTCTGGAACATCTGGGGCGTCGGACCGGACACGGCGCGCAAGTTTTATTTCGAGCACGGCTGGAAAGACATGGACGACGTGGTCGAGTTTGGGTGGTCGACCTTGACCCGCGTGCAGCAGATCGGCGTCAAGTACTACGAGGAGTTTCTGGAGAAGATCCCCCGGAGCGAGGTGAAATCGATCGGAGACGTGATTCTGCGGCATGCGCGATCAGTGCTAGACGTTCCGAAGGAGAAATTCGGCACAAACGAGGACGTGGAACTGATCATTGTCGGAGGATACCGGCGCGGCAAGGACTTCTCCGGAGACGTGGACGTCATCCTCTCCCATCGCGAAGAGTCCAAGACCCAGGACCTCGTCGTCGAGGTGGTCAGGAGTCTCGAGGGCGAGGGCTGGATCACGCACACGTTGACACTGCACACCACGACTAGTGCTCGTGGGCAGGCGACGCTCCCGTTCCGCGGCGACAGCACGAGCCACGGCGGACACGGGTTCGACAGCCTCGACAAAGCTCTTTGCGTGTGGCAGGACCCGAACTACGAAGGCAAATCCGACACTCGCGAAGCTTCCGACGCTGAAGCAGAATCATCCCGGAAAAAGAACCCCAACATCCACCGCCGCGTCGACATCATCGTCAGCGCCTGGCGCACCGTCGGCTGCGCCGTGTTGGGCTGGTCCGGCGGGACCACCTTCCAGCGCGACATCCGACGCTTCGTGCGGAAAGCCCACGGCTTGAAATTCGACTCGTCGGGCGTGCGCAACCGCGGCAACGGCCTCGTGCTCGACCTCGAGGCTCCCCGTCCCCGGCCCAAAGATCCCAAAGACAAAGACAAAAACGTGGCGCTGGACAAGGTGCTGATGGGCAAGACTCTACGACGCAGCGATTACCCCGTCGACGAGTGGGAGTGGGATGACCAGGATACCTGGGCGGATCGGGAGAGGAGGCTCATGGACGGGTTGGGGATTGGGTACCGTCCACCGGAGGAGAGGTGTACGGGCTGAGCAAAATTGTTATTACTATCTAACCTGATATCTATACCCCCTCCCCCCTCTTTGTGCTGGGAGTTTTGGAACATTCCCTTTTTCTTGTGGGCCATTTCTGGATGTCTTTCCCGAGGCCAAAGTTGGGTAAGGCAGAGGGGGCGCTCTTGCATGAATTGAGTCTTTCCTCTCAGGGTCATTGGGGATGGCTTTTCTTTTTCTACCTAGGTACTCATCATTTTATTTTTCCATCATGCGCGCGAGAATACGCCTCGTTTCTTAGTGGCGACAATTCGAGGGAGAAGATGGGTCGGTATTACGAGCGAGGGGGAGTGTACCTAGGTATGCATCACCAATCCAGAAAGGAAACCTCAGGTCAGGTCAGGTCAGGTCAGGTCAGATCCAGATCGAAAGGATGAGCTCTAACGAAGTGGAAGTGACAGTGAAATGAACGTGCAATGAGGTACGGGGATAAGGAAAGGCAAATGAGATGAACATTCCACACTTTTATTCCCCGAAAGGTTTCCAGTTTCATTTCATACCTATTTTTCTATCACGTCCCTGAGAAAAAAGCGGCCTTTTTTTTTTGATAATCTACAGTCCCAAAGAGAGGTATACATCGTGCAAGGTACGTGGTGTCAACCCCTCCACCTAAATCCCCTTCCCCCAAAAAGATCATCTCTTCTTCTTCCCAATACTGGTGTCCACACTGCCCACCAGCCAAGCGAGCGCAAACACCACAGCTGCACTCATAAAGATGGTCATGGGTTTCCGGAAGGCCGCCAGGAACGGATACTCGTACGTCACCAACACCGTAATATCTCTTGCTTCATCGACGATATTGTAAGCCGTCAGCTTCAACTCAGTCCTCCCCAAAGTGTCCATGAACGTCTTGTGGAGGTCATACTCGGCATGCAGAGGCGGCACTCCCGTTCCGCCGTGAGTCTGCCATTTGACGTTCTTGGCGCCTTCGGGCAGGATGACCCGGAAGACGAACTGCTCGTATTGGATTCCCTCGGGCATTTTGGGACCTTCCAAGAGTGGCACGGACAAGATGTAAGTGTCGGATTGGGTCTTGAGCTTGCGGAGGACGGAAGAGAGGGCATTGTTCCAGCCAATGCGGAAACTATACTTCCACCCCCCAAAAAGGGGATAGCGAGGCTTGAGTTCCAAGCTGGCTTCGCGGACGTTGTTGGGCCTGAAACGCGATGTCGAGACATTTCCAATGTCGTCTGTGAAATACGGATCGACAGTGCCGGGTTTCAGAGGGACCTTCAGTTCCCTCAGGGCCGAGGTAGACCCCTGCCCTGCGCTGATGTAGAAGTTTTGCGTGCTCCACGCCAGCCGGGAGAATTGGTTTGAAAGTGTAGCACCGTCATGGCGGAGCCAATATCTTTCTTCGGTCGCCAAATTGCCTCCCCAGTGGGACACCTCAACATCTCGTTCGAGGAGGCTGCATACAAGCAGGGGCTTGTTGAATTCGTAGCGGACAGTCACCGGATAGGCTGTGCCTGGCTCGATCTTGGCTGTATCGTATGGACCATATGTGAACGAGGACCCTTGCTTTTCTGGATCGGTGGCTGATGTCAAGCCGGTCGTGGTGCTGTATTCGGGGACATCTGCAGAGGGAAACTTTACTTTTGTTTTCTGTTTAACAGTCTTGTAGACGGTGGGGACGTAGGCGGAGAAATTGTAGATGAGGTATTGCTTGTCTTCCTGTCTGATAGACGCAGGCAAAGGCGAAAGAACACCCAGCACATTCCATGAGATTGAGAGAGTGACGGTGCTTCTGGGTGGCAGCGGTTCCGAGAGGTGGATGACATAGTATTGAGTAGGCCTAGAATAATCAGCTAAGTTTACCTGTGAGTCCGTACAGGTTCTGCATACTTTGAGGCTCCGCCCTGATCGTCCAACACAGCAGACAGCGCAGCGATGGTGACCTCCAATGGAAATTCTGGCCTCTTCTTGTCCCGGGCGTCAAACCCGCCAATCTTGCCCATCAGGTCATATTCAAAGGGGACATAGTATTCCGACTGTGGTGACTTGTCCGTGTTGGTGACGAGCACATTGGTCGTCTCTCTCACGTAGCCTTTCTCGAGGTTGATGGTCCGAACGAGGTTGGTGTTCTCGAATACTTGGGGAGGTTTGAAGTCGCCTGTTAGGATCTTTTGCGTGGAGCGACGTTCTGTGAGATTCGACTCTGCTGCCCCGAGCACTCCGGTGCATAGGGCGAGGATCGCGCCCACCACGGATGAGAGCCTCATTCTCATACGTCAAGGGGAGTTATAATCAAGACCGCATCGTCGTTGGCGACCCAATCTGGCCAGCGTGGAGAAGGGGAAAGGCTGCGCCTGCGGAGTTTCAAATGACAATAGTGACGACGCTTCTCAGTACGGTGGAACACAAGCAGCCGAAAGCGAGGCGAGCTATAGGGAGGATCATAAACCCTTCAAGAGCACAGTGACATTGACTTCCTTGTCATTGGTGGGAGCTCTCTCTATACGTCTCGCTTTCTCGACGTCGCAGTCTCATTTTACAAAGGCACTCCCGTCCTCGATCTAGATTGCGATCAAGTCACAAGTCGCCCACCATGGCGTCAAAGCTTGTGCCACAGTTGGTACGCCAGGTGACGAGGACAGCCACCAGAGCTCCTCGCAGACAGCTGTTTCATCCAAGACAATTCTCAACCTCGCCGTCGTCGCGGAGTGAATCGCTTGCAGTGGTCAGTAGCAACATCCACTGATGAAAGTCTACATGAATCCAGTCCCTAACAGAGAAGCCCACAGCATCGCAATACCCCCGAAAACAACCCTTCCATCCCCTTCAAGTTCAACGAGACCAATCTCCGCCTCATCGATGAGATCACCAAGCGCTACCCACCACAGTACAAAAAGGCCGCCGTCATGCCCCTCCTGGACCTGGGCCAACGCCAACACGGCTACACCTCGATCAGCGTGATGAACGAAGTGGCCCGTATCCTCGAGATGCCGCCCATGCGTGTCTACGAAGTCGCGACCTTTTATACCATGTACAACCGCAACCCGGTCGGGAAATATTTCGTCCAGGTGTGCACCACCACGCCGTGCATGCTGGGAGGATGCGGCAGCGACGTCATCATGAAGGCCTGCGAAGAGTTTCTGGGCATCCACTCCGGCCAGATGACCGAAGACAAACTCTTTTCTCTCCTCGAGGTGGAATGTTTGGGTGCTTGCGTCAATGCACCCATGGTACAGATCAATGATGACTACTACGAGGACCTCACACCGGAGACAATGAAGCAATTGTTGCAGGCGCTGAAGGACTCGTCCACTATCAGTGGCTATGATGTGTCAAAAGTCCCGCGGCCAGGACCACAAGTCTACGAGGGGAAACAGAGAATGACCTGCGAGCCGAGGGCTGGGCAAACCACGCTGCTGAGCGAACCATATCATAGCAAAGACGTGCTGAGGGCCGATGGGGAGCTGTAAGGGTCAGGAGAAGGAAGAGAAAAGTCCCGCCACTGGACGAGACAGGAGACTTGCATTGGGATTCCCAAGCTGCCGAAGCCCAGTCTTAGAGAAAGAGCAATGAAAATTGAAAGGCCACCAACGGTTACTCAGTTACTCAGTCAGTCGCCCAAGCCCGGCAAGCCCGAGCCGTGTTGTACATATAAGAATAAGAGTCCCCGAGTGACGCACAGAAGACTTACAACTTTCTGGCCTTGTCTCTCACCGATAGGATTAGCTATCAAGCATTTTACCTTGCAAATGTCCAGCACAATTCACCCCGTCATGGCTTAAAGACCAGCGCCTTTTTACTAGGTATACAACAAAGTCCTTGTTCAGGTGCCATTTCCACTTTTCAATATCTGATGCATTCCCATCGTCACTTCGTGATGCTCGTTAATCCAACGCCGGAGAGCCCGACACACCATCCCAAGTGGACTCCTCCTTGCATGGTCAGGGTGTGTGAAGCCCTCGAAATTGACAAATCTGGACGACCTACAACGCCCAAACTTATCTTGGCTGCTCGCCGCACGAAATTGGCGATTTTCAGAGCGTGGCCAGTTTGAACAACGTAACAACAAGACCCGGGACCATACCATCCATAAGAAGCTGTGCGGGCAGGACAATGGTAAACCCATCCTTTTGCCGGCCCTTGTCATTTATTGAGGGGGAGCTTGAACAAGAACTCGAGAGCCGGGGCGAGAGGATTCCAAGCCGCTGAGACAGACTGACCGGATTTGTAAAATGTGAGCGTGGATGTTGTATGCGTTGAAGATTGGTGCGTGAAGGGATCCCCGTGCGGCAAATTTGTGACGCCGGCTGTCCCAAAGGAAAGCTGAGGCTCGTCCTGTTCCGAGTCGTCTAGTTGCTCACCAGTTTGCCCTGTCCAGCCATCAGAATTCGTTTGCTCTAGCGAATTGACATCACCAGGCTCTGATGGTGGTTGGGATACCTCATTTGAATGGACGCCGAATGATGGCTGGATCAGCTGCCAATCCATATGGTCTCCGGAATGACTGGAGTAGATCATGGTCCAGGTCAAGTCCCCTTCAAACTCTTCTCCATTTGCTGGCTGCACAACGTCCCCTTGATTTGGTTGAATGGCGATGGATTCGAGGGGGCATTCTCGAATCCGTCGGTCAGTAACATAGGCTTCAACTTTAGCCTTCAACCTGTCTGTGCCCACAGTGTCCTTTGCAACGAACCATTGTTGCCTTCCCCCATTACTGAGCCATCCGCTGAAAGCAACCGAAGTGAGTTTTAGATCTGTCTTTAAGTGCTTGATCAGGCGAACCCAGCATTCCCGACGATCTTCACCACCGAGGAGGGTCACATTCGACAACTCCAAGCGTCGCAGGGTGGCGGCGTGGATCTTCAAGAAGTGAATGAGGTCTTCATCGTGGCAGATGCAGGCGTCGACGATCAAGGTTTCTAATCTGGGGACAAGAGGCGTCGACGTCCATGTCCCAGCGGAGGTTTCCAGAAGTCCAGTAAAATCCGAAGTCAAGTCATCCTCGGCATACTGGAAACGACTGGCACTGCAATCCGTCAGCCGCAGCTTCAGCGTCTTGATTCTCGAAGCGCCCTCTAAAAGAGAGCGGACTGCTTCAATATGATTGGCGGTACTAATCAGTGTGTCGTTACGGAACGAGAGCTCCAAGGTGCGGAGGTTCTCCGTGATAGTTCGACAGATGCGAAGTTGCTGGAATGCTGCGGGCGCCTTGATGGGCACCACTCCAAACATGGAGCGGCCATCTATATTTTTGGCCTTGAAGATCTGAAGGTGGCAGCCAGCAGAGAAGGCGGCGGTGAGGAATCCTTTTGTGTACGATCTGCCGGAAGTTCCCGCCATGGAACTCCAGTTGACCGCCTTTGGGTTGACTCTCAGGCGTTTGCAAAACTTGAGATAGAAGGAGGGAACCTTGTCCGCCGTAATAGGGGATCCATCTTCGTGGTCTTTGACGCGAACCGCCTGCAGGTTTGGGAGGATTCGTAAAGCCCTAGAGAGGATGGCAACTTCGATAGAGGCCTCTTCATAAGGTTTGAAATGTCCGGAGCAGGTGCGGTCTAGCAAGGCCATCTCTTTGTGCTGTTCCTCCTTGGGGAATGGGAGAGTTGGGTCAGGCGGAACTCCCTTGATGCAGTGGAAGAAAGAGCCAAAGCGGCCATCATAGGTCAGAGTAGTGATATGACGGGGGATCTTTGAGCGCTTCAGCGCTTTGTAAAGGCCCAGGATACAATGGTCGTTTGGAACCAGAACCACTTTGCGCCAGAGATATGGTTCAACCATATGAGCGAGATTCTTAGACACCAAGCGCAGCTGTTTCAAGGTAGCTCGCGGACATGTTTGGATGATAAGCAGGAAGATTTCATTTGGGAAATCTGGGACCTGGCTCACGGCCACCTGGGTTGCGGAGGAAGTCATGGCGCGTGAAGGATTAGATGGAGATTGAGATGGAATTCTGGAGGCAGCACATGGAACAAAGTTCGAAGACGATATTTCATGGATGAAAGCAATGAAAGCCGACGGAGCGCAGGGCACAGCCTTTTTGTATGGTGTTGGCTTGAACGAGGCGCCACTGAGGCTTGGGCACCTGGTTGCGGTTGCCCTTGAGGCTAGCGCGGTTGCCTGACGGATTTATGAGTCCATCGAAGCGCAGAGACGGAGCGAGGAAGCGATGGAGGGGAGATTGAATGAAATGAACTCGGTCGCTGAATCTGCCAGATAGAATGGATGAATTCCAGTGTTGAATGAAGAGATGCAAGAGCCAAGTGACGACGCCGACGACGGGTTCTGTGCTGTCTTGGTTCCAGTCCCAGAGCGGAAGTCGCAGACGACGACCATCCCAATCAATCACTTCTCATGCATCTTTGTCTGGACAAGGCTCACCTGCCGAGCACCAGGAACCAGCTTCCAGACTACGAGAAGCTGTAGCTCGAGTAAGCTCCCTCGTCTGTAGCATCTGTAGCACGAAGATCCGATCAATGCAAGGTTGGGGACGGGTGGATGCTCTGGTTCGTGGACTTCCTCTCGGCCTCGCAAGGCTGTATCGGCCATGCACTGGCAGTCCGCAGACTGTGATGGGTGAGAGGCGCCACCTACGAGTACGAGCACAAACCAATCGGTATCACACAGCTCCTCGTACTGCTCCTTAGTAGTTTGATAGCTTGTGCTGCTGCAAGTCTTCGCAGTCGGCTACTTGGTGATTGTCGATTTTGACATTGCGCTCACAGCCTAGCAACTCGATGGCGGGGTGTCATACTTAGATATCCCACTATCACCAGCTGCTTAAAGCCTATCTCACCTATCTCCCCCCACGAGGGGAGCTTGTTAGGTTCGGTAGGTGCCTCATAGGCGGGCACCTAGGCACTAAAACCTAGCGAGCTAGGTAGGTGAGCAGTGGGTACCTCAATATCCCCACTGGCAGACTAGCTGCTTGCTGTCCCTGGACGCTCTGGCCTTATAAGCATCAAGGACAGGAGCACGTTCCCTAATCCCGCGGTTGCCATTGGGTTGCTGGGGGGGCACTGATCAACGCCCTAAGCAACCGGACGCCCCCGCAAGCCGAGCCCGATTCGCAGTCTTCGAGGTGCCCCCCAGCATCACCTCCACCCATCACCTCTACCTGCAAAGAATTTTGTTAGCTTTTGAGCTTTGCTTCTGCTGCATCATGCTCCCAATACGTACCTAGGTATGTCTATTATTCTCTGCTGAATCTGAAGCTCTGTGTCCTTCGTCACTTTTACTCGGTCTATCATACGCTCACATATCTTTTCATTCAATGCTGTAGACTTGCAGCGCCCTTCCAATCCCTCTCGCCATGAAGTATGTTCTGTCCTGAGCCAACCCCGCTCTATTGTGTTCCTCCCTAACAATCCACCTCTCTCTAGGTTCGGACAGCAGCTCCGCCAGTCCCTGATCAAGGACTACTACTGGCACTACATTGCTTATGACGATCTCAAAGCTGCCCTCAAAAAACCCTTTGTGAATGGCAAAAGCGGCGAGCGAGAAGCATGGACCGACGACGACGAGGCCAACTTCATCCGGCTGCTGGAGGCTGAGCTTGACAAGGTCTTCACCTTTCAGAAGCTCAAAAGCCAGGAGATTATATCAAGGATCAAGGCCGCTGAAGCTGAGGTCAAGCAGGTGGTCGAACGGCAAGAGCGTCAAAATCAGAACGGCTCAGAGCCCGACGAGGAGCTCGAGAACGATTTCGATCTGCTGGAAGCTGACCTTTCCGACATTATTGCTGACGTCCATGACCTGGCCAAATTCACCCAACTGAACTACACAGGGTTTCAGAAGATTATCAAGAAGCACGACAAGCAAACCCAGTTGATCCTTCGTCCTTCCTTCGCGACCCGCCTCAAAGCAAAGCCCTTCTTTCAAGACAACTACGATGCCTTCATTGTCAAGCTCTCCAAACTATACGATCTGGTCCGGACGCGGGGCAACCCGGTCAAAGGAGACAGCAGCGCCGGTGGTTCCCAGCAGAACTTCGTCCGTCAAACAACAAAGTACTGGGTCCACCCTGACAATATTACCGAGCTGAAGCTCATCATCCTCAAGCATTTACCCGTCTTGGTCTTCAACCCAAACAAAGAGTTCGAAGAGAAGGATTCTGCCATCTCATCCATCTACTACGACAATCCCGAAACATGGGAGCTGTACATGGGTCGTCTCAAGAAGACCGAGGGTGCCGAGGCCATCCGCCTTCGGTGGTACGGTGGCATGGAAAACGAGACCATCTTCGTTGAGAGGAAGACCCACCGCGAAGATTGGACGGGAGAAAAGTCTGTCAAAGCTCGGTTCACCCTGAAAGAGAAGAACGTCAATGCCTTTTTGAACGGGACATTGACCGTTGATGAGGTCTTTGCCAAGATGCGCAAGGAGGGAAAGAAGAGCGTCAAGGAAATCGAGGACCTCGAACAGCTCGCTCGAGAAATCCAATACCGTGTCATCAGCAGGAAACTCGTTCCGGTGACCAGGTCTTTCTACCACCGCACGGCATTCCAGCTTCCAGGTGACGCCCGTGTGAGAATATCGTTGGATACCGAATTGACAATGGTCCGTGAAGACAACCTTGATGGCAGACAGCGTGCCGGCAAGAACTGGCGACGAATGGACATTGGGATCGACTGGCCTTTTCCTCAGCTGCCACCGGAGGATGTTGAACGGTTCCCTTATGCCGTCCTTGAGGTCAAGCTGCAGACCCAAGCCGGGCAAGAACCACCTCAGTGGATTCGTGACCTGACAGCAAGTCATCTTGTCGAAGCTGTGCCAAAGTTTTCGAAATTCATCCATGGCACCGCCACCATGTTCCCTAATCGCATCGATCTTCTCCCATTCTGGTTCCCCCAAATGGACGTCGACATCCGGAAACCCATTACCCACCGCTTCGGCATTGAACGACCTGCCAATACAGCAAGCTACTCAACCAGCGATGTTGACGAGGATGAGTATGATTCAGATGATCCAGCAGCTGAAGCTCACACCACCGGAAAGACGACACCCATGTTGGATGGCTCTCAGGACGCCGAAGACGAAGGGACGAGGCGCTTGAAGGCCGCACGGCAAGCACTCGACGAGCACAGTCGGGCCCAGGACCGAGACGCCATCGAAGACGGTTTCGCGGCGCCTGGTAACTCATTAGACGAGGAAGAAATAGTTGCTGCCATGCGCGTCTCAGACGAGTATCTCTACGACTCCGAAGAAGATGATGCTGAAGACGAGCTCGAAGAAGCCCGCCAGTCGAAATCGTGGAAATATTACCCGTTGTTTTTAAAGCAGCAGGCCCATCACCTTAGCGACCGTGTCCTCGGACTCGTCCACAAAATCCCTACAAGCACCCCCTTACCACAGAACGGAGGCGTTGCCGGCGGCAGGAACCAGCTCACCGGCCAAGTGCAAGTGAAACGCTTCAAGGCTCCCAAAGGCAAACGTATCCATGTGCCCGTCCGCGTGGAACCCAAGGTCTACTTTGCCGCCGAACGCACCTTCCTTTCGTGGCTGGAGTTTAGTATCATCATCGGCTCCATTGCCGCGGCGCTCTTGAACTTTGGAGACAATGTGAGTTTGATCTCTGCGTGGGGGTTTACCATTGTCGCCTCCGCAGCATTGGTATATAGTGTTGTCATTTATTATCTGCGGGTGCAGATGATTCGCAAAAGAAGGGCTAGCGTGTCGAGGTACTATGATAAATACGGAACATCGGCGTTATGTTTGGGCTTGTTGGCGGCCACGGCGGTCACATTTGTCTTTCGAATCAAGGAGGATGGATGGTTCCAGCAGACCTGAGTCGTGGACGAGGAAGAGACGACCACATGCAGGTGACCATCGGTTGGTGACAAAGCACAGACTGATGAAAGCAACAGCGTGACAAAATTATGTTCCAGCTTGGGAACCCAAAAACAGGGGGGAAAGAAAAAGAAAACAACACGGGACGAGGAAGGGGACTATTGAGCTGAGCGGTATAATGATGGCCTGATGGCCTGATGGCCTACATAAGTCGAGGACCGCCGCCATTGGCTATAGCATGCATGATAGGGGTTAGGGATAGGAACCAGTACTCCCTGTGGTATCGTTGGACTATTCTATATAGATTCTCACGGTACAGTCTTCCCCCAGGGCTGTGCAATGTAACTCAAGTGTATACATTAATTACGCCAGGGAAACGTTCCGGGGCTTTTGGTGTCCGATTCTATTCTGAACATTATTCTCTTTTATTCCGTGTTGCTCTCCTTATGTTGTTCCTACGTCTTTCCCTACAATAGTTCACGCCGGGACCATCGAGCATCAGAGCAGCTTCTCTCTCCTCCGACAAACCTAACCAAGCCTAAACCGGACTGGAAACGCCAGTAATGTTTTTCTCATCCCATGCTGAGGTGCTTTGTGCGCAGAAGAAAACAGTAGCAGCACTGGAAGCGGGCCGCTCAGTCGTCCTCGATGTCGTCGTCGGAGATGTAGAGCTTCCCCACGCCCATATCAGCCACTACTGGCATGTCATTCTTCAAATTCGTGAGACCCTGCGTCGAGCCGAAACCTTGTCTCGGGGGGTCATTGCTGAGTCTTCCGTTTGCGCTTCTGGTGGCGGGAGTGGGAGGCTGTGTAAGCCCAAGACCTTCGCCAGATATGGCATTCGCAGTCATGTCGTCTTCTTCAAATCCATCTTCATCTGTGGAAATATAGCTGGTAGGCTTGAACTTGGTGATCTTCTCCAAGACTGTTGTATCCCGTCTCCTTGCCGCAAGGATGCGAGTCATGTACGGCAAAAGCTCGGTTGCCAATGTATCCTTCGAGTACACAACCGGGGGCGGTGGGTTGTTCTCAGCCCCTTCCGGGCCTTCAGATAAGACGTTGGGGGTGGCTGTGTCTGTCGGCTCTTCTTTGACTTGTGTCGAAGACTCCCTGCTGGCGCTGTCTAGCGCAAACTCTTTCGTTCGCCAGTTCGCGACGCCTCCATCACCCATCCCGCTCGTAGAAGTAAACACAGAAGATACGTCGGCTCCCTCGGCCAGCATTCCACCGCCATAGACAAACGTCTCCAAGAGACCCTCCGTCTCCTCGATGGGTTTCCACAACCTCAGACTGGCTGGGTAAAACATTTTGAACGAATCTCCTCTTTTAGCACCTGGTACCGTGACCGCCGCTCGAGTAACCGGATGTGGTAAATTGAACAACAGGCCTCTCGTGGCAACATGGAAGCTGATTTCGTCCTGCCGCAGCGTATCCGAAGTTCCAGCCTGGACGTTTGACTGCACTGTCCCAAAATTGGGATTTGAATTGTTATGGCGCCGCTTCATTTGGCGGATTTCAGGATTCAAGACATCACTTGCGGAGAGGATGTCAGAACAGCCTTCGAAACGCTCCTCGAATGTATCACCATTGCATGACAGGATGTAATTTTCGTGCAATGTAGAGATGAATGTCTGAATGTCTGTGCCTGTCTCGTTGAGCAAGGCTTCAATATCCACTTCGGACGCCTTTGGAGTGTAGAGATGCATGAGATGATCGGGTGGCTTTGGTGGTGGTTGAGCTCTAGTGTCTAGTACTCGTGGATCTTCGCGTTTGTTGTAGACGATTTTTCCTGCAGCATGGAACATGTCAAGGGTTGTTTCGCGCTGGCAGACCAGTTGCAAGGAATTCTTTTCCACCTCTGTCAATGCCAAGTTCTCCTTATTCTTCGATGGCCGTTTCGCCTTCGCAGCAACTGTACCAGACCATTCCAACCCATCCCCTCCTCTCACGCACAAAAACTCAAGTGAATTGACCGCGCTACGGACGTCGCCCATCTCAGCTAGCCTTGTGATGATGGCTGGGCCCGGGATTCGACGTCGACGTGAGTCTCTCGCTTCCTTTTTGATCACTAGGTCGAGCGCTTTTGTGACGAAGGTAGGCGCAACGGGGTTGAAATCCATGGTGGTTACAAAAGGATGATTCAAGATCTCTGCACCCAACAACCGGTGAGCTGTGAGGCTGTCCGTCAGTGCTGTGGAAGAGGACAACAAAGTCTCAGAGACGATGATAACCACAGACGGGTAAATATCTTTGAGATTCTGTTGGCCACGAAATGCCATGGAAGCAGACCTGCTAGCTTGAGCTAGAAAGCGCAGGATGACGGATCTGAATGACTGAAGGGCATTCGAGGACCTCGTCATCGTTGATGGGAACTCTTCAATGACCAGAAGTCGCCTGTTTGAGTCTCCTTTGATTGCATCTCCCTCGGAAAAATCCTGATCAAAAGCCAGACTACTGAATTGACCACCTCGATTCAAGAACTCGTCGAATTGGGCGGATATTGAGTTGCCCGCACCCCCTTCCGAAACAGCAGGATTATGCCATGAGACGAGCTGTAAGCCCAGAGCTTTCGCAAGCAGACCTACGGTCGTAGTCTTGCCACTGCCCGCCGGGCCTTTTAGTACTAGCAATTGCTGATTGTTGCGCCCATCCAACTTGCCCTGCAGCCAATTTTGAACATCTGACACCTTCTTCTTGTGGACCATAAGCTCCTCGAGGTTGGTTGGTCCATAACGGTCGGCCCAGGGGCGGTGGTTGTGGTTATCAATCTGAGACGGGTCTCCAAGATTGTTGACAGGTCGGTCTGCTGCCGCAGGCTTGACGAATCTCTGGGTGGATGGTAGACTCCCACCGTGAGCATTACGCTTAGAGGTCGCCGTTGCAGACACAGCGCCAGGTATATGTCTGTTTGCATTGTCGTCGGCTCGGCCCCTGGTGAATCCTAGTTCCTGCAAAGTTTCGTCGGACAGATCGTCGTCTTCGATGGCATCACTCAACTCGCCATTATCTTGCACCTCTACATCTGGCGTCTCGGACTTTCTCTTCCATCTCTGGTCTTCTGTCGCCTTATGAAAGAAGTTGTGCAGTGATTTGTTCTTCTCTACCTCGTACTTGACTTTGGTATTCTTTCTCGCTTTCTCGGGTGAGGATGTTGGGGAGGGTTTAACCGCAGCCTTTCTGGAGGCAGACCTAGTCGTAGTAGACTTCACTGGAGAGACTGTTGTAGATGTTCTTCCATCGAGTGTGATCTCCCGCTGGAGACCCGCTCGTGCAGGTTTGGGAGACGGCAGGTCCAAGTCTTCATCGCTGCCGTCTGAAAGGACGATGGTAGATCTGCGCTGCCTTTTGGCAGGTCGAGGAGCCATTGGCAAGCATCCTGAAATTGCGGGTATCACGCAATGACTTCGCCGTCGATCGATTGAAATTCGTGCGAGTATTGCTGCTTGCCGCAGGCGCGCACAAAACTTCGAATGGGTTTGGGAGTTGGGGAGGTGGGAGGTCACCGACTCACCGCAAGGCGCCAAAGGCGGCACCAGTTCACGTGATGAGATGTTCACTGCTGTTTCGTTCCCCAGAAAATCAGGCTGGCGATCGCACCCAAATGAACAAGCGAGTAGTAGCAATAAACCTATGGCACCGTGGAGAGGAAAGCTCACTTCCCCTGGAGATCAGACACACCGACAGCGGGGCATCAGGGTGGAGAGTAGACGGAGTCCTTCCTCGAGTTGAAGTATTTGCTTGATGGAACCATATATACAGTAGCTTTTTCTCCTAGCACGAGTAGTACTCTGGCACTAGCATGGTACTCTCATTTTGTGCTGCGAATGCTTCATCCGCGATTGAACAGCCCATCCCACAGATTGTCCCAAAAGCCCAGGTCATACAGATTCTCAACGTGTGCAAGCGAGGAAACACGCTCCCATCGCTCGTCTGGCACCTCTTCCTCCCCCCTCTTACCTCCTCCGTCTTCAGTCTCAGGATTCGCAGCATCTCCTGCCTCCCTGGTGACCTTCCTCATCGGCTGTTTGCCATCTCTCGTCCTCACCAACCACCACTTTGCCCGCACGCCCACGGGCCATTTCACATCCTTGTCTAATGGTTCGACGTCCTCAGGCAGAGGTGGATATGTCTCCCTCAGCCGAGTCATCTCCGCCCTGAAGACTACCTTGTCTGTGATGTCTTCTTTCCAATCACTCCATTTGGAGCTCTCGTTCGTAGTCATTCCAGCCCAAATGAGATAGATGTGGTACGCTAGAAAACCCAGCGCCAGGGGGATACACATAATGGCCAGCATCATGACGGCCCCGATGCGCCATTCCATGGCGATAGCCCATGCCCAAGCGTGCGCGTACTCGCCCCAAGTCATCCGAGTGCTCCACCGCTTGGCCGTGAAACTGCCCCTCGTCAGCGCCGGCGGCACGAGGTGCTCCTGGAGTCTTCGGTCGAGCAAGGCATAACCTAGATATGAACCGTAGAACAGCAGTGCGGATATGCTGACCAGGAGAAGATTGAACCACAGATAGTTATTCCTTCCGACGCAGTTGTTGATCCAAATGCAGTGATGGTCCTGTTTTTGAATGCAAGCCTTACATATGGAACAGTGCTTGGACCTGGCTGGTTTTGCAAATCGACAGGTAGAGCAGAAATAGCCTGGGTGGAAGAGAGCAAAGTCATAGGGATAGGCCAGCATTGCCGACCGGTGATTCTCAGGGGTGATGGTCGAGGACGTAGTATTGGAAAGGTACAGGAACCCCAAAGGAGCAACGATCAGAGGTGGCAACGCCGCTATCTGATTGATCGAAAGGCGGTCCCATGCTGCTGGAATAAACAGAAATTCGCCGACAACTTGTAAGAGGACAAAGAAGATCTAGATACATCTGTGAGCACGTGTCCGGTTTCCCGCTTGAGGCTCGGTCCTCGAACATACAAGAACAAGGGGATGTTTCTCGTTCATGAGATAATTACCCGTCCTTGCAAGACTACGCGTGATACGGCGGCCAGTAAGCCGCTCATCGACGCTGATGAAGGCATTTGGGATATGTCTCCATAGCAGTCGATGGAGAAAAGCAATGGGTGTCCTCCTGAAAGAGCCTGTGAGAACCTGAGGCTGGACGATTGTTCAGGGGGTCAGAAAGCCGCTCACCTAAAGACGGGAAGTCGACCAAAGAGAGCAACGAAGACAACAAAGGATATGCTTAGCACTACTATGCCTATGGTCCGTATAACACCCATTATTGCATGCCGAAGTCATGTCTAGGAGAAGTTGTCAGAAGGAATCTGTCTGGTTAATAGCGCGCGACTGGGTGCCTGTTTATCTAGCAGTAACGTTGACTTGGGGGCGTTGTTGATGCCGTCAGCCTTGGCGTTTTTGTGCGCGGCCAAACTATTATGCCGGCCATGCCGCTTTAGCTTTCCTTATGCCCATAGCGATGTGGCGATGTTGAGAGATTCCAGTACATAACCTATACGTCCTTCCTCATTCTTCTAAGCCTTCTTGATTCACATTTCTTGATGGACAGAGCGATGAACAACCACGTGACAGAAACATGTTCCAAACTCCCCTCAATGACCACATCAAAGCACTTGAAAAGTGCTCTTGACCATTTCGTGACTGTGCCTAAAGGCTGAGTTTGACACCAAAACAGTTCGTTCAATGGTGCCCATTCATGACGACCCCCTTCTCCATTCGGCTGGCCGCTCCGTGGCCATTCATCATGGCGATATTGTTGCCTTTAGCATTGGATAGAGCAGCCCTATGCCGGAACATGTTGATGGTGTAGAGGGTGAAGGTCACGCCGAACAAGATACTGCATGCCGTTAGTCCACAAAGACGTTGATCGAGAGTGATGGGGGTACTCACAAGTTGATCACCGAGATTGCAAGGGCAACATATAGGGTTGCAGATAAAGAATCAGTCGATCGCTTGATGAGTCCACGCTTGTAGAGGTCGCGCTTATAGTTGACACAGACGCCGTCGTAGCAGACGGTACCGCTACCGCTAGTACTACCGTCACCGGTGCCATCATAGCTCGACGTATAACTTGTAGCTTGGACATACAAAGCGACCTTGTCGGCGTCGAGGGCAAAGGTGCAGAGCCAAAAGATGAGGATGAAGAGCTCGACAGCAAACATAGCCCAGTAATTGTAAAGATGGGTGTTTGCTGGGCTGTTCGCCACAAACCAGTAAATCAGGAAGATGACGCTGGCGAGAGCAGTGAAAAGGCTAAGGCCACCAGCCTTGCGGCATGTCAGATGAATACTTGTAAACATTCAGGGTGGGAACCCACATCATAATTCGGTGCCAGAGAAAGATGGTAGCACGCAATCCCGAAGACGATGACGGTAAAGACCATCTGAATGATCCTGAGGGGTAGGAAAATTCGTTGCACGGGGACAACGGAGTACCCTTCTCCAGAAGACATGATGGCTCGGTTGGTATGTAGGAACTTAGAATGGGTTCAAGATAAAGGCTGTTGGCCTGGTTTGAATGGGAGAAGAATGTTATGAAAGCGAATGCAACGAGCGACTTGAGGCCTCTGACCAAAAAGAAGGGTTGAATACTCAAGCACACCTGAAAAGGAGTCCATTGCTGCTGCAGTATATATACAGCAGCAGTGAACGCCGTAGGTCTTTACCAGAATGGCACTTACACAAGTGACTCTTCTCTTGCAGGGCAGAATGGGAAATTGCCACAGCAAAGGGCTGCAGAAATACGAACATTGCAAGGCACACATCCTGGATAGCATGCTATTTAGCTGATATATTTGGAACGTGTAGTCTTCTGAGGGAAATACGAGGGGATGAAGTCTAACAGGATGCTGGATAGGGGCTCGAAGCACATCCCGCCGTGTCTTGGCTACCGTCAAGGCGCTTGGCAAAGCTTCGGGCAATATCGTGCCTCAGGGATTTTCTGGTCGCGTCTCTCAGCCTCACAGACCTCGCGACAACAAGCTTCATCGAATCCCGACTTTCGCCAAGAGAAACTCTGCCTTGTCTAATTTCCACCAGGCCGACGCTCTGGCCGCTTCAAAACCTCCATCCTTGGCCGCTGCCAGCGTGTACACCTAGAAGTCCCTACGACTCGAGTACGTGAGGCATCCGGACCTGGGGGAGAAAGGGGATATCCACAGGCCGCTTCCAGTGTGAAAGCTCTGATGTCCACGAACTCACGCCCTACAAATCGACTTATGGCAACACGCACGTATACAGCGAATTTCGCAGCCAAGACGGTGGTGAGGCTGAGACTCACACGTTTTGACCGATTTGTCGTGAAATTGCCGGGAACACATGGCAAACATTTCCGTTGGAAAGGGCTGAACTCGCCCCAGGAACGCCGTACTGCGTAGGGAGAGCTTGAACTCTGTTAGCGAATCTGGCCCCGGCGATACGAGGACTTGAGGTTTCATGCACAGGAAGACTGATTTCTGCAACAGTGCTATCCCCCTTTCTTAACCGATTGTTGCTGGATCGAGAAGGGCTGAAAGGTCCAGAGAGGTCTGACGAAAAAATCAAGGCGGCAATACGAGCGCCGTTCAAAACAATTCACTAGTTCGTCGTATTGCCATCTACGGACCCTGTGAACTGAGCCTCGTTCCCAAGACTTTTTCGGCCGTGAACAAGCAGCAACCGACTTACTGTTGGTCCAGACTCTGCTTCTCGTCGCAATGAGTCAATCTCCTCCCCTTCTGCATATCTCCCGTCAAGAGTATCTCGCATCATCGCTTCTTTATGTGGAGGTTTTTTGGCCGAAAATGGCCATCGACAGAGGGCCGCCAAGTGATTCGAGGCTGTCTTGTGTTCCCGCCAGAATCGCAGCTGATGACCACGCGACGGGCAATCTGCTTGGCCATATAGAGTCGAAGCGACCCTCTTCGACCTGGGCAGAGAAAGCTAACTCATGGCAACCCTATCGTCTTTGTGATCATCATGTTGCCCATCATTTTGTGTCTGCCATTTGTTGTTCTTTTCACGAGCACTGCTAATGCCTACCTGATCCCACGAGACTCGACACCGGTATGTACGAACCTGCGAGCCCAATCAAACAATGGCGATCGCAAGATCGCCCTGGTCATTGACAGCTCTGGCTCTATGGAAGAGTCAGATCCTTACAACTATCGCCTCAGCGCTGCCAAGATGGTCCTTGACTGGCTTATTTCAAAGAGCGAGGTCACCAGTACCCAGAAGCAAGATGAGGTTGCCATCATCAACTTTGACGACAAAGCCTATCTGGACTACCCACTTGGAGATCCCGGTGCGGCTGCAAGTTCGCTTGCCCAGATCGGCGCAGATGGTGGCACCTATATCGCAGGAGGTGTTCAAATGGCCATCAAACAACTCAGTGCGGCCAATACTGGAGATACCGCCGGTCGAAGCGGCATTCTAGTCTTCACTGACGGAGAGGTACGCGGATACCGTCGCACCATTTGTTTGTTGTAATTGCCATGTCAGCAATTTTTCGTTTCCATCAGCTTGTTACAAGCCATCTTGGATATCTTGGACTGGGGAAATGTTACTGCATTGGCGCTAACTATCTCCCCCAGGACTCGAGCACTCAAGATCTCGTGGATCAAATCAATCGTGCTACCAGCCTCGGTATCAGAGTGGCATTCGGATTCCTGGATGACTCTTCCAGCCTGCAGGACACGGATGTTCTTTCAGCGATTATGCACTCTGGCGGAAGATATTTCACCATACAGAACTACAATGCTTCAAAGGCTTTTATCGACGGCATCATCGTCAATGGCCTTACGCACAACGACAACCCGGACGGAGATACTACAACTTTGTTGGCTGGTCTCGACGCGTCACACTTCATTTCAGGCTCCGAGACACAGACCATGATTTACAGCGCAAGGGCCAAGGAACAGCTGACATTCAACGTCCAAAGCGTCGATGCCGGGACCCTGACGGTGCAAATCGTGTCTGGTGGCAAAACCCTTGATAAAGGCCAATCAGACTACTATTCCAGTTACTATTCCGACGGATACTCTGTCGTTGCTCCCAGCACCGACACGATCGATGTCAAGGTGACCGCCGACAACGCGGCAAAGAATTCCATCTTCGTCGTCGGGGTGACCTCGAACCTGCCACCAGAGAACTGCACAGTTGGCGTTGGTGACGCACCCAAAAAGAACAACGTGCCCCAGATTGTCGAGGGGACTGTGAGCAGTGTGGTTGGACTTGTCGTGCTAGCTGGCATTGGCTATTTCATCTACAAATACTGCTACAAGAAACGATGTGGAAAACGCCATCCCCATCATGACAAGGACAAGGACCACTCGTCAGATCACTCGCTCGACCCCAAGCATCCCACAGAGACATCCGTTCGAGAAGTACCGGGCCAAGACTCCAACCCGTCTCGCATACCTTGGTTCAGTTTCCCGCCGCCTCTGCCGCCCACGTATCATCACCCACCTAAGAAGACGATGACTACGGATGACCAGGACCGGGACCGGGACATGGATGAGGACTCTGGCTCAGAAGCTCCCAGCTACAACGACAACTGTGATAACCAATCTCAGTTTTCGGACCCGCCAGACAAGCTGAACAGTGATGGACCACCGTACCACAATGCCAATCCGCCATCTCAACCTCCTTGCCAGAACAGTAACCCTCCATATCAGAACGGTAACCCACCCAGCCAGCCATCCTATCCCGACCAACCGCAAGATCCCAGTCAACCATCGAACCCCAATCAACCCTCCAACCCTCACCAGCCATCAAACCCGAACCAACCCTCCAACCCGCCCCAGCCCTCTGACCACGAGCTCCACCCACACCCACACATATACCAGCCCCGAACATACGGATCCAACCACCACCACCACATCTCCGCCTCGCACCCGTGCTTCACCAAAAGATGCCCCATCGCATCACCAACCCACGTTTGCTCCGACCCGTCTCACCCATGCACATGCGCCGACCCAAAATGCCCGCTGAACCGCCGCCGCCACAGATGTCGCGACCAAGAACAACACATGCCGCCGCCACCGCAGCAGCAGCACACCTGCGCGGGCCCGGACTCTGACCCGCGCTGCCCGCTGAACGACGCCGAATATGCCCGCCGCAAGAAGGAGGAGCGCGAGATGCTGGTGAAAAAGTACACGGCGCAGGATCGGGCCAAGGGTGCGGTCAAGATGGCGGTTTCGACGGTCGCTCAGGGCGTGCTGATCTCGCAGTTGGGCTAAGAACCTGACGGGGCACTTTTTTTTTGAGTGGGGGGGGATACAGTACTTCATACACTATATGACTGACTCTGGTGGAGTCGAAGGGGCAAACTTGATGTATTTATGGCAGTATACTTGCATAGCAGTAACGAGCATAACAGCGGTGGTAATGGCACTATTGACCCTGGCCGAAAACGATGACAAAGCACAGACATAATACTTGGAGACACTGAGCTCAAAGACGCAACAACGGGCACCAGGATCGAAAGGCCGTCACGGTGGAAAGGTGGGCACAAAGTGGACACCGAGATTGTACGGCTTCAGCTTGCAATAGCCTTTTCCTTTGCTCTCAAAGAGGAGTTTATAATACTCTAGCTAAAAAGAATCCCGCCAATCCCGTTCCCAGCGCTAAACATTAGAGAGCCGAAACCCGGGTCCATTGATATTGGTACAATTCATTGAATGAACTCATAGTCATCACAAAAAAGCCCCTCTTTCCCTGCTGAGACGGAAGTTCGCTTGACCTCGAAAATCAAGCCATGGCCTTTCTCTCCTCCTTCTTTTCGTTGACCGTCTTGGCCCACTTCTTGCCCATTTCATAGCTGCTGATCATAATTGCGCATGCGGGGGCCACTTTCAGACATCGCGCTGCCCATCCCTTGAAAAGTCCGCTCATGCCTTCCTCCGTGAAAATGTGGTAGAGAAAACGTGGTATCGACAGCTCCTCTGGGATACGCTTACCAGCTTTGGCGGCCTCTCGTGCGGCAATCACAGATAGAGCGTCGTCTCCGGCATGGTGATGCACTTGCTGACGAGTCTTGCCAACATCGAAGGGAGTGGTGACGAAAGCAGCAACGGCGCCGGAGCCCGCACCAGCAATGAAACTGTCGACAAAGGTGGTTGTGTGGTCTTCGTGGGCTTGAGCTGTTCGTCCACCGGTCATGGAACGGGCGGGATCGAGATGTTGGCCTTTGGCCAGTTGTCGAGCATCAGTCAATTTGTTCCGGATCGCTTCGTATCCCCACCAGTAGATGCCAGAAAAGGGCACATCTCGCCACATGGTCAGAGTCAAGCCACGCCATAGCGATGTGTATCCCTGGGTCTGGGTCATGCGATGCAGGCCCAGTAGAGTTTCTTTAAATACTCCCGTGCCGATTCCAGAGGTCGCTTGCATTCGAGTTCGGAACATCTCGACGGGCGAGACCGCAACGGCAGCTGCTATCCGTGCGAAGGAACCAGCAACAAGAGGGGCGTAGGTGTCGGACGCGATCTTCCTGATGGGACTGTTGTGATGGTAACGAAGCCAGTCGTAGCCCGTGAAGTAAATAACGTTGGCAGGAATGGCCATCAGCAATGTCGGAGAAAGCCCGCGCCATAGAGTCGTATAGCCTTCGTTCCTTGCAATCTTCTTCAGACCGTCAAGGGTCGAATTAAAGGTCCTCCGTTGGGTTTCTTCAACAGCACATTCAGCTGCGAGTTCTGATGACCCCTGTGCGGAGCCGTTCCCCGCGAGGCAGAACTGACCATTGTTTCCGACAAAAAATACTTCTCGACAGCATGAGTTGACGCCTAGATCGGGAGGAAGGTGTTTGAAGTTTGTAGAATATGCAGGGAAACGGGAGAGATTCGAGGGTGGAGGAGTTTGCTGGGATTGTAACCGTACACGCACAACGTCGAGCGGTGTTACTGTGCAGGAGTCAGTCAGGAACAGTGATATGTCGTATGGAGAAGCATGGCATACCCAGCAGTGAGGTCAAGATACTTCCCCAGGTGGCAGAGATCATGCGTTGAGTGGTGGTTATCTCGATGGTATTAGAGCCTGACATATCGCCGGCACTCTGTTGCGAGAGCGGTACTCTGTCATGCCGTTGTCCCTCTGCTTGTTGTTGTTGCTGGGCATCGTGGCCGAGCGCGTGTTGATCGAGGGGATGCTCGTCAAGTGACTGCGCAGGTGCGGCAGTGAATGAGTAGGACATTCAAGCCAGAGAAGCCTGCAGCACTGAAGACTGATCCAGGGAGGAGTCTTTTCCGACAGGATCAATCTCAATGCTCGAGCATCTGTGCAGGGGATGCAGGGAAAGAATATAAGGCGAAGGGCGTGAGAGAGGCAATTATGACATGGAGACTTTTTGGCGGGTGCATGGATGAGAAATTGAGCTGCAGCCAGATTCTTCGTCAGAGGAAAGACCGAGCATCCATCAATCCTCGGCCTTACTAGCCATTCACGCCGTTGTCGGGCGAATCCAATCGGGTAAGAGAGCCGACCACTCGCTTACTCTGCACAAGGCCCGGCGATAACGCGGCAATTAGATAAGCAGGTACGTACCTTTTCCAACGTCACTGACTCACCCACTGTCTGTATTACTACAAGAAGATAGGTATTGACGACATCTATTCTTATACTCCCTATCACAGCCTCGTGCTTACCATTGGTCAATAGAGTGTATATGTCTTGAGGTGATTCAGCTCACTTGGCGGGACCATCAAGTAGTAGCACAACTACCACATAAGGGAAGATACAATGGCTGAACCGGCCTCAGAACTCGAACAATTCCGCCAGCAGTGGAAAGAGGAAGTCAGCGCCCGCTCTAGAAAGCCAGAAAAGAAACCCGTATCATCAGCATCAGCACAGCACAGACAGAGACGGACCAGCGATGGCCGACCTGAGAGACCCGTCAACAGGCCCCCGACTCGCCACCCAGCGGCAGATATCAAACAGGACGATTCCGACCACTATAGCGATGCAGATCAGGCCGGCGGTAGCAGCTTGACCACGATCCAGCAACGCACGGAAGCACTGAAAATCCATAATGTGGACGACGATGATTTCACCGCGAGTGCCTCGTCCAAGAAAGAACCCACCAGCGCGTTGGAGCATTTTGAACGCGCCGTCGAAAGGGAGAGCCAGGGAAACTTGGGCGATAGTCTCTCCCACTACCGCAAGGCGTACAAGCTCGATGCAAAGGTTGATCAGTCATACAAGAACAAGCACTTCCCTCAGACAGCCAAGTCGAAAGCGTCCAACCCTAATCCTTCCAACGCTCCTGTCACAGTCCCTTCCACCGCCCACCACTCCCTCAAAGAACCCGGCCCGGAGAATCCAACTTTAACTTTTCCCCAACTGATTGAGTCCTTTGCACACGCTCAGATTGAGGGTGCACCGCCCATCGTCGAAGGCGACCGCCCTCCGCCTTGCGTTATCAGGAAGCTCCCCACTGAAGTCCTGTTGGAGTTGCTAGAACATATCGCAATCCGCGATCCAGCCATTTATGTTCGGCTGTCGTTGGTCTGCAAGAAGCTGGCATACCATGTCGTGACTGACAATGCCGTTTGGAGACGTGTGGCTCTGGGCCCGGAATTCGGCCTCGCCGGCCAACAATACGACTTCAATACCGACCTGCAAGGCCGCAAAATCACCTTCCGCGCTCTGGATGATGAAGATCTTGCAGATGAGGACGAATCATCGTCTCCTGCACGTGTGACGGATCTTCCATTTCCCAAAGACACTATCTGGCGAGAGATCTTCCACAACTATCCCCGCATCCGCTTCACGGGCGTGTACATCTCCACCGTCAACTACACGCGACCGGGCGCCGCTTCAGTCACGGCAAGCACCTGGACCAATCCGGTCCATATCGTCACGTATTACAGGTATCTGCGTTTCTTCCGTGACGGGACCTGCATATCCCTCCTCACAACCAACGAGCCCATTGAAGTGGTTCACCACCTGACACCGGAGAACCTGACCTATGTCCGTTCTGGAAAAAAGGAAGCTGCACATCCCTTGAACTTCACCTCCTCGGCACCAGCCCTCCTCAAAGAATCCGGCTCATCCACTGCCGCAGCCGGGGGTGCCACCCCAAACACAGCCGCACCACCCCCATCGGCACGAGATGTCATGAAACACGCTCTCCGGGGCCGCTGGCGCCTGTGCCACCCGAGCCTCGACCTGATACCAGCCTCAGCAGAATCCACCAGGCCGAGCCAGAGCCACGGCCAAGACCACCCGACAGTTCCAGTCCCATCTTCCAACCCCACCTCCCCCACCATGTCCCCCGGCGACCTGCACATCGAAACCGAGGGCGCCGGCCCACGGTACATGTACACGATGCACCTGTCCCTGAAATCCGCAGGGTCGGCACGCTCAAGGCACACCACCAAGAACAACAAGCTGGTGTGGAAAGGGTTCTGGAGCTTCAACGTGCTCACCAACGACTGGGCCGAGTTCCATCTGCGCAATGACAAGCCCTTCTATTTCTCCCGCGTCAAGGGCTATGGATTGGGCTATTGAGCACCGAGTACATCCGAGCTTCTTCCATATGTTGGGCCCTTATGTCAAGGATCGGCGTGGAGGTGGAGACACGCCAGATGCACACACGCATACACACAGATAGACAGGATAGATATACGACGACACGGAACACGCAACAGGAGAGAGAGAAATGGAGCGTTTACGATATAATCAGTCATCGCGCTATATATTGATCGTTAGATCCCCTCGGTGGTTTGCACGCACTCTAGGCTTTAGGCTTTCACATAGAGAAGAACCGGGAATCGTGAGATCTTGCTTCACGGCCTCACATAGACTGCACTGGCCAAGAACCCCGGCTATTTGAGCAGAAATCTCAGATCCTCCATCAAGGCCATCTCTACGGCATCTTTCTCCCCACTCAGAGCGAGTTGGGCGAGTTGCAGCTTTCTCTTCTGCAATTCAATGATATTTCTGTTCAATTGAATCCCTTACGACCTACCTGATAGTCTTCACTGGCTTCGTCTGCCCCATTCGGTGGACTTTGCTGAGGGCCTGGCTCCTCCACAGATGGATTCCACTGTGGTTCCAAGAGACATGCCAGGTTTGCCACGGTGAAGTCAAGGCCAACTCCAGCTGTAGAAATAGTGGCGCATACGGTGATAATTTTTCGACGCCTCGAATGGACAAGAAATATCTCGACTCGACCATGGCGGTGACAAGTACGTTCGAGCTCTTTTGCTTCTCACCCGATGGGCAAGTCTTGGTCAGCGGCAGTAAGGACAAGGCGATCCGATTTTTGGGGAGCCTGCATCCGGGACGATGAATTTCAGATTGGAAGGGCATGAAGGCGCACTATATTTGGCCTAGATTTCGCGCCTAATGGAGGTTCTGTGGCATCTTGCTCCGGAGACAAGACTGTGAGGCTTTGGGATGCTCGGACGCGTGTCCAGCTAGCACTTTTTGCTTGTCCAGACAATACCAATGGATGTCGCAATAACCCCCGACAGTATCCTCGGGGTAACTTGGGGCTTGGGCAAGTCTTTTCGGTGCTGGGATGTATCTGAGGACAAATTAGCGTTCGGAGCGGAAGGACATGCAAGACCCTTTTTTCGACATTAGATTTTCTCCGCGAGGTGCCAATCTGCTTACTGCGAGGTGAATCAGACTTGAGCATGTTGTGTCTGAAAGACCATTATGGGACACACGGTTTGTGATGCTCTTTTTACCAAACGTTTGACATCCAAAAACTCACCTCTTTGCAGGACGACGCACAAAGCGCCACTTACACCCAAGACGACAAATGGGTCATATCAGGATGTAGGGACAGCAGCATTCATTTCTGGGATCCAGCAACAGGTGTTCCTCACATGGCTTTGATTGGCCACATGAGGGGCCTTACCAAGTTTATCGCAGTTCCAAAGAAGGGCCTAATATATCCAGGGGAGGGGATTTTTGTGACTGTACCCAGAGACAAAACTACCCGGATTTGGCACTATTTCCCTTACAAAGGCAAGCATTGATGAGGGGATGGGACGAGTCTGAACTACTAATGAACCATGCGGAATGGTAAATGAATGTGGCTTTCCTCCTGGCAATAGCGGAGGAAACGGACGAATGTCTCGAGGAGCTACACCTTGTCTCAGATGGGCTGCTATACTTGATGCGGTTCTCGACCTTTCGTTAGTTGATCCCTTTCCCTTTCTTTCGGAGACCGCAGAGCAAATAGCTTGGTTTTTAGGTAGACCTAAGGTCATTTTTGGCGCCGGGTTTGCGGGAGAATACCTACGCGAACTTTTAGCTAGAGTGATGATGATGATGGATTCATTTTAGGCGATCCAGCCTCTTAAGGCAGCTCTGCGCCGGGCCTATCTATCATTGTCTAGGCAGAGGCTTACGGGTCCCTAGGGCTTCGGCTCTAGATAGGTAAGGCCTTTGGCCCTATCCGTTCGTTCGTTCATGGGTTCGTTCCTCTTGCCCCTGTCCCATTGAAAAACCAGGCTAGTGTCACTTGGTGAGCTTTTACCTACCTAGGTAGCTAAGAACCTTGGAACTGTACCTACCTAGGCACCTAAGTACCTAGTCAGGTATTTACCTAGCAACAGGCGAAGCGTGGCCCCAAGCAAGTTCCGGGCACCTCGAAATCCGTTCTAATTCCACTTCCCACTCACCGACTCCTTGGTTGGAGCTTCTCAGCAAGCATAAAGTCTGCAGATGAGCCAACTCCACTCCTCGCTATGCCTACTGCACTGCAACCATTCAACTTGCAATGGCGGCCCTCTTTTGGAGCTTGTTGTTGTATCTACCAATCTCAGTTTCCTGCACAGCAGAAGCTGTCGCCTCTGCCTCTTCGGTCCAACTTGTCTACCAGTACCAAGATGCAGTATGGGTCGAAAACTTGGCCGTGCGTCCGAACGGCTGGATTCTACCTGCTACCGCCACGTCCGCTATCCTAACGCAATTAAATCCTGCGAACGGCCAACAACAAGTAATTCATGACTGGAGCGCGGTAGGAAGCTCCATCATGAGCATTACCGATGTTCAGCCCGACCTGTTCCTGGCCAATACAATGTACTGCGACTTGTTAATTTTAGAAGTAGGAAAACCTTCTATTCTCCTATGCCACTGATATTACCACAACCAGCAAATCAACCTGCGTGCCACGTTGTGTACATTCAGATTTCGACGAGACTAATGATTTCATCGTTATAGTGTACACCTGGCACCGGGATCACATGGCTGGTTGACCTGCGAAACCCTGGCCCACCATGCATTACAGAGCTTGCTAGAGGCCCTAGCAACGCGAGTCTCTTGAACGGCGTTGCAGCACTGAACGACGCTATTGTGCTTATGGTAGATCAAAACCTTGGCGGCATTTGGGGAGTTGATGTTGTCCTCGGTGGTGCTAAACTACTCTTCACCGACCCAAAAATGATGGATCCCAACTCGACGGGCAACGGCGTCAACGGGATTCGTGTGGTGGGCAACACCTTGTACTACAACAACCCTAGCATTGGGACGTTTGGTCGCGTGACGCTCGACCCGATCACTGGAGCCAAACTCGGACCAGTGACAGTGATAAGCACTGGGCTTGAGTGTGACGACTTTGAGATAGACAACCAACAACGGTATGCCTATATTACCAATCAGCCTGATGAGCTCCTCAGGATTGATTTGGAGACTGGCCTCTACACCGTTTTTGCAACCGGTCTGCCGGGACCGACATCAGCCAGGTGGATCAGCCAACAAGAACGCGGAAAAGTTCTGTATGTGAGCACAACCGGTGGTCTCGAGCAGTGGCTAGAGGGAAATGTGACCCTCGGGGGGGCTTTCTATGAGGTGACTGTGTAGACATAGAAGGCTTGCCTGGTCGAGCAAGGAGACAGGGTGTACATAAGAAAGACTGTACATAGCTTCTCGGGCCGGAGTCTGAGAAAAAGCATCGTCCTGGCAGAATCCGACTTCCGATGTACTAGACTGTAGTAAAGATTCGTTCCGGTCAAAATGCGAATACCGAGCAGACTCCCAATGCACCTAAGTTATTCTGCGAATACTAAATACTAGTAGTCATGCGAGGTCTCTTGTCTGGAAACTTTGGCTCCAGCGGGAGCCTGCACATAGCCCGCTGGTCGAGCATCACTCTCCACGCATCAGATGAGCTTTGAGATTCGTCTCTCTCAGCCTGCAATGACGTTGTTCATTGGTGGTTTCTTTCTTGCTGGACTCAGTTCGTGCCTCTTTCTCAAGGAACGTTGTAAGAAATCTAGCAGGAAGGGAATGTTGCTCTGGTGGCAGCAAGCTATGCATCAACGTCAGATAGAGACCAATCACAGTCCTTTCCATACCTGTAGTAGTAGCAACCAAGGATGCGGATGAGTGTCTCGAGGGAGCTACACCTTCTCCCCAGACGAAATATTTCAACGGAATTCCTGACCCTTCCATTAGCTAATCCATTTCCCCGTTGGAATGATATCTTTCATCGACAACAGAGCAGACTATGGTGAAGATTCTCGTCGTATTTTCACAGTGGTAGAGCCTGTGTTTTCGTACCTGGGAAGACATCAGTACGTAACGTGTGCGTGTAGAACCAGCCTCGCCCGCGTGCCATTGCCTCGTCATATTTATCTACCAGGTAAATCATCCTCAGAATCATCTTCCCTCCGAGTCTTTTAACTCTTTGCAGCCTCGTCAACCCTTCCATCGGCACAGCCCGACGGAAGGCCGCTACTTCGCTCGGTACATTACAATTTCCCCCACTCTGTGAATGCCTCTATCTAACATGCTAAGGTTGCTGCGTGGGGGTTGGGGTCGTCATTCTAGTGTTGGGTGGGAAAAAGTTATGACCAATGCCGCGAACGAATAATCATCATCTCCATAACGAATGAGATATTTTTTTGATGTTGCTCTCTCATCCCGTCGGGATCGCAATCGCGGTCGGAATCCTAGTCTCTAATCCTTAATCCTAACTCGCTCTCTTTCCCCGCATCGCGATGTTGTCTGCGTCCCCGGCATCTGGGCCGATTGACCGCGGGAAAAGGGTCGATTGGAGTCTTGGTGGGGAAAGGAGGAGGACGTTTTTGTGTTATTATTGTTGAATGAGTCTCGCTCTTCCTCTTTACATACTCGTTGCTATTTCAAACCCATTTGTTTTGCTCAGCGTGACAACTTGATATATCTCTCCGACATTTTGAGGCCCCAAGAAAGTCGAAAACCAAGATATTAATCCCATCCCAAGAGAAACGCAAGATATAAACAATGGCCCCCGCTCTCGACGTCTACGACCACTCCTCGGCCGAGAACCGCACCGTCGGCGCCCTGGGCGCCACGACCTCGGGCAAAAAGCTCAGGGTCCGTTCGTACCCCAAGTTCGAGTCGCTCGAGGAGGAGCGCCTGTACCGCAAGCAGCACCTCGCCGCGGCCTTCAGGGTGTTTGCCGACCGGGGGTTTGATGAGGGTGTGGCGGGCCATATCTCGGTGCGGGATCCGATTTTGAGGGATCATTTCTGTGAGTTTCTTTTCTCTCCTAGATTGAGCCATGTGCGGATCGCGAGGGTCGGGAGAATGTTTTGAGGTGGGACCCGAGGGAAGAGGGAGAAGGCAGCTCCAGAAAGGGGGTGGAGATGGAACGACGACCTGATCCTCACGTTCTTTCACATCAAGAGGAAATACTGGCGCAAGTCACCTCCTTGGGCTAACCACTCATGACCATGACCGACAGGGCTCAACCCTCTCTCGCAGCACTTCTCCCAAATCTGCGTCTCGGACCTGATCCTGGTCAATGAAGACGGCGAGGTCGTCGTGGGCGACGAGCCCATCAACGCCGCCGCCTTCGCCATCCACTCGGAGATCCACAAGGCGCGCCCGGACGTCGACGCCGCCTGCCACGCCCACAGCGTTTATGGGAAGGCGTTTTCCGTGTTTGGGCGTGAGCTGGACATGATGACTCAGGATAGCTTGCGGTTTTACAAATCCCACGCCGTCTATGATAATTTTGGCGGGGTAGTCTTGGATCGTGAGGAGGGCAAGAGGATTGCTAAAGCGTTGGGCAATGGGAAGGCGGTCATTCTTCAGAATCATGGGCTGTTGACTTGCGCGAAGACGGTATTTCTCCGCCTCCCTCCTCGTCCCTCCTCGTCCCTCTTCCTCACCTCTGCTATTTCTTTCGCTGGACACATGCACTAACCCAAATCCCACCTTATTTGCCATTTGTAGGTCGACGCCGCAGCCTTCTGGTTCATCAGCCTCGACAAGACCTGCCACGCCCAACTGCTCGCCGACGCCGCCAGCGCCGGCAGCGGCCACAAGAAGAAGCTCATCTCGGACGAGGAAGCCGAGTTCTCCTACTCCCAAGTCGGCACCGACGAGAAGGGCTGGTTGGCCTTCCAGGGATACTATGACGAGCAGCTGGCCAAGACGAATGGCGGGTTCTTGAAATAGATACGAGAACCAGAAAAAAAAGGGGTCCCGAGCCTTGAGGGTCTTGGACTCTTGGATTCTTGGGGATGGTTTGTCCCAGAGCATATAATGATGGGGTGTTGTTCGTTGTAAAAATCAGTTTCTATCCTATTTACCTGTCTCTTTTTTTTTGATCGAGGAGACATGGTTTAGTACCTCGTCCACCTATCATCTGAACCGGGGCCATCTCGTGTCCCTTCTTCTTTGGGTTGAAAGCGAGTGGAAGCGATTAGTGGTGTGCTTGCCCCGTCATTTTACCAGTGTTTAGAATTCTCCAAAGTAGCCTTAGGCATCTGGGATGATAAGGGCATGCTTTGGACCGTCCTCGACCACCTGCAATATGCGAGCGAATCTCTTGCTCTGGTATGGTAATTACATTATATTGAGATCGGAATCCCAAGAGTGGGACACACGGTCTGGCAATGGGATATAGCCGGGGTGATATGTACCTAGGTATATTCGACTCCGGGTCACCCACGGCTAAATCTTGGAAAGGCTGACTACCCAAATTATCAAAAACTGCGTCAAGAGGCGTCCGGTGCAGGTGGTATCTGAGGGGTCGACGATCTATCCTGTCGTCCGGGTCTATGTACCCCGTTTGCATGGCTGGATTCGCTTTCTTGAGGGAGACCCTGGTGATCCTAGGCTGATCAAAAAAGCAGGGGGACTCGCTACTCCACAATCCAGTGTTCCGGGTCAACAGCCTCGGAACTGCGATATACCTCAAACTCAACTTCGGATACATCAGCAGAACTGGAGCCTCACTAACACCAAGCTAAATGGAAAGTCTCTCCCTCGTCTCGCTGTTGACCCCGCGTCGACGGCTGCCAGTGCATTGTGTCCGACTCTCAAACGCTGTACGACACCAGTTAGTCACCACATTGCGATGGCAAATGCAGCTGTCGATGGCTTTGAAGTTTAGTAGCCGACTCCTTCTTTGAGACCGTACAATAACAGAGTTGTAGCTGATCCTCAAACGCTCTCTTCGTCCCGAACACCAAAAGGTTCTGGCCCACCGATAAGACGTCGACGTCACCAGTGTGGGATCCCGGATCAGATTGGCGGCCGACAGAATCTCAAATTTGAAATACCATCTCCAAGCCATGAGCGGAGCCCACCACGTAGGAGTAGTTGCAGACACACCTGTACCCCGCCTCTATCTCGGTTGAACGCAAGGGTGGTGACGATGTCTTTAGATTATTGTAGCTCTCATAGATTAGATCGGCAGTCGGAATAGTATCCTCAAGCATAAGTTGATCCCATTGCCCGCCTCTTGAAGATTCTGTGACAAGACTTCTCAGCCACGGTTCTTTTCCAGTATTGAAAGCAAAAATCCAAGATCAACGACTGACATTTTGCCCAACATGCCGACAGGGAGCTGCTTCTGTGGGAATATAAAGATCGAGTACTCGGCCGAGCCAGCCATGACTGCAAGTCCTTCTGTCCAAAAAGCATGGCGCTCAAACTGATGTCCTCCCCCCCCCTAGGCGCTCTGCCACTGTGCCGACTGTCGAAAGATCTCGGGTGGAAACTACTCGAATAACTTTGTCGTGCCGAGCTCCAATTTCAAGGTCCTTCAAGGAACGCCCAAGGAAATCACCAAGACGGCAGACAGTGGAAAGTCCATCACCAGCTGCTTTTGCCCTGACTGTGGTATGTGATTGATCTTGTGGACCCGTAGGCTGTATTTGTGGTGCCTTTGACTGGGCGCATCTAAAAAGTGTGTTGTTTAACAGGCACCACACTATTCCGATATGGCGACACCTTCGGCGGGATCGATGGCATGAGGATCATCAAAGCGGGTGTTTTGGACGACGTAAACCTCCTCCACAACACCAAGCCTGGCGCCGAGCTGTTTGCGCCTGAGCGTATCAAGTGGATTCCAGCTTTGGATGGCGCTGGTCAAGTTGAGGCGATGCCGCCGCCGTCTTGAAAGAATGCTAGGATACAGAGTGGAGACACAGTGAAGAGCAGATGAGAGAATATTGGAACGGAAGCTGTTGGCTTGAATTCTGGATCATGCTGGGTTGAGTAATCTGGTGATTGAAACTTCTCCACAATGCCAATGATGCTTGATAAACGGCCGGCCCGCTGTTAAATGATCTTTGCTGTTGCTGAACTTGATATTGACAAAATGGCTACATCGAATGTGAAGCTGGAGGCCTGTGCAAACTACGGTGTGTTTCCATCGGCTAGTCCTCCATATCTCGTCGGAAGTACAAGGCAATCCCGGCACAGCTCCTTTCTCCGTCGCCAGCGCTTGCTCCTTATAATGCGTGGGTATCATAATGCATCCGGATCGCTTCAAACAAAGCCTGTCCAAAACAGAGGTGTGCCTTCGTCGCTGTCCAAAAACTTAGACTCTTTCACCGCAAATCAAGGACATCGGCTTCGGAGTCGGACTTTCTGGATCATCGGATGCTGCAGAGTCTTTCGACGGGCTCCCCAGAGGACTTGGTACAATCACTGTTTTCAAGGGACTTGGAAGAGGTGGTGCGGGAGAGTTCTTTCTGGAAGGGCTCGACAAGGGACTCGCCATCGCCAGGCTTCTTGCCCGCGCATGGAGTTTGCGTTCTTCGTCCCCGTTCCAATCTTTGGCAAGCTCGGCCCGGACTCCTCGGCTCCATTGTCGAATAACGTCCTCAAAAGACGACCAAACGGTGCTGTCGCCGACCTGATTTGCAACAGCCATCACATCCAGCTGAAGCTTGAGCTCCCATCTCAGCTCCGCAGCCTTTAGCCAATATCGAAGGTTGTCAGCACGCCTGTACGGTTTCGCCACGTCTTCGTGAAAGGACTTAATAAAGTCGAATTGCCTCTTGGATCGTTTGACTGCGGCGTTATGCATCTTCACCAGATCCCTGCCATCGGCCAGATTGCGGAAAAACTCAGGGTTGACATCGGCTTTCTCAGGGGATGGGCTTTGACCAGTCCCGTGAAGCAGGAAGTTGAGGAAGTTAATATCTCGTTCTTGCTCTCGATCGATCCACTTGGCATCGTCCATCCAGTGCCAGTCCTTCCTTTCGGTCCTGTCCGCCTCCTCCAATTTTGCTTCTTGGTCGATCATCATGCCGACGTCGCTTACCCAAACTAACACTGCAAGTCTTTCATCCTCACGAAAACCGCCCGCGAAGTTTCGAGAGGCACATTTCTTCAGTACATCCAGCACAGAGTAGAGATCTCTCCGCAATTCCTGGTCGGACCTTATAGAGTTCAATCTCTGGGGATTGGGATGTAAGGTGTAATAAAGTCTTGCGGCTCGAATTGCTTGAGTGGTGGTATCAAGGACATGCAAACCCTGAATCTCGTAGAATCCTTGTGTTTGGTCTTCAGGATTTCCATTCGCCGAACCCTCGCAGGACTCGACAGCTTGTAATGCGTTCTCTAAAGCTTCCACCAGCTCTTTCTTCATAGTCTTCTGATCCGGAGGTGGGGCCACATGTGTCGATCGATGACTGTACGTTGATACGGTCGGAGGCAACATCATATCTGTGCCATCCTCATGAATGGCATCCCAATTGGCCTGAGATTCGTCTTCAATTGGAGATTCAACCAGCTCTTGATTTGCAGTTAACGAGAGCTTTGGGATGTCATATTCTCCGTTCTGTTTCTTTTTTGCCATTTGACCTCCTTTACCATCCAACAGTCCTGTTCGAGCAAAATAGTATTGCAGATGGGCAATGCTACCGAGGCTCATGACACTCTCCCGATTCTTGGCCGATTCGGCAAAGGATCCTCCTTGAGGACGCACATAGCCACGCCGACGCGAATTTGTGCTGGTTCGAGAAGTAGTGGAGCCATTCGAGTACGAGGACCGGCTCGAGATGGTCGAGACGCCGGAGCAGGATCGATTGGACAAGAGTGTAGAGGAGTCAGGGGTCGCGAGGAGATTCGGGGAGGGCGAGGGCGATCGAGACGGGAGACTGGTGGATGACAGGTCTAGATCTGTGCTCATGGCGGCTGGATGGTTACTGAAGGCCTCGAACTGGGGAAGTACAAGATGTCTGGATATCGGCGAAAGCGGTGACCGTTGCACTCCGCTCGAAGGGGACGTGTAGCACAAGGGGGTGGAAAGGGCTGACCAGCAGTGACAGACAGATTGATAAGTGCAGGAGATGTTGTAATGAACGAGGGAAAATCAAAACGATCAAACGTGCACAAAACAACAGCAAAGGAAGATGGACCTAGCCATAGTAGCAAGGTAGTCGATGGTCGAGAAGCAGGTTTGGTGGTGAAATTGCATCCAGACGCTAGTCGCAGATTCGTGGTCAAAAAGGGGAACGAATTTGGGAGAATCATCAACAGCCAGCGGCGCCCTCATCTCGCACAATCATCTCTATAGCAACATCTACCGAGTACACATCTTGGCTCGCTATTTTCTCCGGTAATAGATTGCAAGTCAATATCAAAGCTACTTCGATGCAGATATATAATATCACCAGTGCATATCTACCTAGTGACCACCCGAACAGGCCGTTTGTTGACAAACCCGACGCCTGGTGACGCGCACTTACGGGCTCCGGCACTGTCAGCGCGTTGTTGGTCACCTGAAAGTTTGGCTGTGGCTGCGGGATCGACGGGCATAACCGCCCAACAGGCTTACCGGTAGGTAAAGCGCATGAAGGGCGCCCGGGCCCCAGCTCCAAATTGTCCGGAGTTGTGGCTGTCTGGCTGTTTGGCTCTCCGGGTGGCTGTCGTCATAGGCGGCGCACAATCCTCCTCGTAATGGCCCCGCATCAAGGAGGCATAACTGATGGCCTTCATCATTTTTACGTACCTTTGTATGCAGGCAAATCCGTTGAGAAACAATTCAGTGGCATCGCGGTTTGAAGCCCGAAGACCATCTCCACGTGAAACTGTTCATCATGGCCAAAAGAATTGCATTCAAAGTCCACGGCAAAGTGCAGGGTGTCGCGTTTCGGTAAGTGTTCGTGTGGAGGAGTTTTGAGAGTTCACCACGTTTGACTCGAAACAGTGACTTTACCCAGAGGAAAGCCTCGAGCTATGGCCTCACAGGCTTCGTCTCGAATACCTCGGATGGAAAGGTTAGGCAGGCTCGATACGTTCATCGATCAGTAACCAATTTGCATCAGACCACCTGCTGACATATCCTCTCCACATTTACTGTAGGTTGCCGGTGAAGCGCAAGGTGATGAGGAAGCACTAAAGAAACTGAAGGCGGATCTAGACTCAGGACCTCGAGCAGCCCACGTGGTCAAACTCGAAATCAACGACATTGGTGTCAAAGAGGGAGAGAAGTCGTTCGAGGTCTCAGCATGAAGAATTGAAGAGAATTTCGGCTGGCTTTTATTTGCCACAACAAGAGAGAGCTGCAATTCGAGTCTGGAGTGAAAGGCGCTGATATCATCATTGCAGACCTCCGCGGGTGGCTTTTTGTGCACTTGGCTCCCACATCACACTGCACCTGCACATCCGGATCTCCCAAGCGAGGTGACCGGCAGGACGTGAAAATAGAAATCTGAGCAATCTGAGCAAATAAGCAATCGATGCTGAACCACCAAATTGGTCATATATACCTACTTGGGGAAAATGATGAAAATTGTAAAACGAACTCATCCGAGGGTCATCCAGCCTCGAGTCCTCGACAGTGGACACGGCCAACATAGAGAGATACCCGGTTTCTTCCGATATCGAGCTGTGTCATTGTGCCCAGCCTGATGTTCTCAGCCTTCCACTGTGACACAGTCCCGGTCTTCGCCGTTCTTCTTCAAGTCAGCTGTACTCGGTACCTCGCACCTGTAGATCTTTATCGTCGTAGTCACCGAGAAACCAGACCCCTCGGAAATCAAGGACCACAATGGCAAAATAGTCTTTGTGCGGCCAGCCATCCGTTTGCAGCGACCTCGAGTTGCAGCTGGAAACTCTTCATGCAAGGAACGTCAAATAATAATTCATAAGCACCTCTAGTCTTGGAAGGTATTTCTTTCCAGACGGGGCCAAGCTCCAATTGCATAAAGTACTGTGGAGGAAGATTGATGCAGGGCCTCTAAGGGTATGTCCTGATGGTTAGCAGGTGTTGTGAGTCAGCAACTTAGAAAGACGGGCTTTGGACGGGCTTTGGGTGGGCACGGTGGGCTTGGGGGGAGACGGTTCGCGCAATCTAGCCCCAAGAGTGGGATAGCCACCGAACTCTGCCACCCATCTGCCACCTTACCACATTGTCCGGATACGAATTCGAACCGCGTTGCTTCCTCCACTATGTTCCATTTCTTCTAGGAACCTGCTCAGCTCGCATGCTACACTGTGCCTTTGAGCGCCTTGCATGCCTGAAGCGTGCTCTGAAATTGGCGCATGTGGCGCATGACAACTACCCCTGGGACACACCTTCTCCTCGCTGCTCGCTTCACTCGGATGCTGGCCGTAGCTATTCGGACCTGATACAAGACTATAAAACATATCCGCGTATTGACATTGCCTGCTGAGGCTTTGTTCTCCTCAACGTGCTGACCAAACCTTGTCAAGACTCAGGAGACTTGATCAGAATCTTTTGCTCACCCTGCGATTGTACCCTTTTATTGACACACAGATTCCTTTCCCTACTATGACCTCCTCGAAAGCTCTCTTCACGCCAACCCTTGCGGCGAACCTGTCAAGCGCGGCCAGGAAAGGCCTGTTCTCGTCGACTGCCACTGCTGCGGGTCTGAGGACCAGCTGTGCGGCCTTCAGACCATTCGATGCGCAGTCGAGACGAAACTTCTCTGTCTCCCACAAAGCGCAGCTCGAGTTCTTCCCGCCACCCAAAAACCTTCCTAACATCAAATTGACGTACGCTGGTCAAGTCCAGTCCCACGACCTTGGTACTGATCATTTGCAGTCCTCCACCATGGCCCCATCCGAACGCAACAGAGGAACAACTTAAGAACATTGAGGTTGCTCACAGAGAAGTGCGTGGCGTCTCGGATTGGATTGCATACAACACGGTACGCTTTTTGCGATGGGGCACCGATCTCGTCACCGGCTACCGCCACGACCCCAGCAAGCCTTACGTGATGAGCGAGAGGAAATGGCTGGTCCGTTTCATCTTTCTCGAGACTGTGGCTGGTGTGCCGGGAATGGTGGCCGGGATGCTTCGTCACTTACGGAGTCTACGGGCGATGAAAAGAGACAATGGATGGTGAGGACTACCGCAGATTGACCAAGACTATGATCAAGGCTGATACAGATCTCCTTAGGATCGAAACCATGCTTGAAGATGCATACAACGAGCGGATGCACCTCCTCACATTCCTGAAAATGGCCGAACCCGGAATTTTTATGAAGTTGATGATTCTCGGTGCCCAGGGGGTCTTCTGCAACGGCTTCTTCGTTGCGTACCTTGTGAACCCCAAAATATGCCACCGTTTTGTGGGCTATCTCGAAGAGGAGGCAACCAAGACCTACAGCTATGCCATTGAAGACATCGAGAGTGGCAAACTCCCAGGTTGGGAGAAGCTCGAAGCACCGGAGATTGCCGTCAAGTACTGGAATATGCCGGAAGGGAAGAGGACCATGAAAGACCTTCTATACTACATCCGAGCGGACGAGGCGAAGCACCGAGAGATCCATCACACTTTTGCCAACCTCAACCAGGCCGAAGACCCCAACCCGTTCGCCTCGGAGTACAAGGATCCGTCTAAACCTCACCCTGGCAGAGGCATTGAACACATCAAGGCGAAAGGCTGGGAGCGGGAAGAGGTTATCTAGCGAGACTCGTGCGCGCAGGAGGATGATATCGGGGGACTTCAAAAGAGTTCGGAGCTTTCAAATGAGATTCGGGGCTCCTCTTAGCGGCATTGTCTTGGTACGGCGTTGCAGGTGCTGTTGAGGGCAAATGATCTCTGCGGCTTGACTGAGACTTGACGCAGGTCAGTCTAGAATTCGGCTGGCTCGCAAACATTGATAGATATCGGGTGGCCTTGTTTTCCAGGCTGAACTGGCACCGAGTAGAGTATACAAAAATGCAGTTACTCCCCATTCCAAAATCAAAATCAAAATCACTTTTCGGGTCCACGTTATTGCACTGTCATGCGAGTTATTGTTTACATACCGAGTAACTGGTACACGCGATATCTTTTTGACAACGGCCTGATGTCAGAGTGCATTTCTCAGGCACGAGCGGCACGAGCAGGCACAAGCATCTCGATCCTAGTGGCCGTCACGCCTGTCAGCCCAATTTTTAAGCTCCGCAAGCGCGCCGTGCGAAGGACAGCGTTTCCTGACCCTGGTTCGTCGCCTTTGGCTGTTGCACCCTGTTGGTCTAATCTTACCCAAACAAATCCCGGGGCGTGCACTGCCAAACTGCCAGACTGCCAACAAACCTCCAACAGTCCAACCTCGTCCATCTACTCACCGTCACCCTTGGCCTCGAAACACTCGGTACATAGCCTGGCCACCATCACCGGCGTACTAACTGCGCTCAACCCACGTTTCACAGCGTCTGTGCACACAGTTTCTTCAACTGTAGCCTCCATTCGGTCAATTGCTCAACCCGCCAAGCTCCAGATTAGTCCACGGCGATTCTTCCGCATATGAACTTCACTGCAACTGCAGCTACACCCTATCTCGGGGTCTCCTGGCTTCAAATCTCGAGTAACTGATCGGGCTGGACAATCAGCGCACGCTGTTTGTTATGACCTCTGCTCTCCGCCGCCCGTCCATGGTGGAAACCCCCAGCGATGTCGACCTACATCAACTCCTCGTCCCCTCTTCCTCGAACGATGTCTCTTCCCAACACCAGGCCAATTCCGCGTCTTCCGAACCCAGCAGTGATGCTGGCTCCTTCGTGATCCCGGACAATCTCTCCAGAAGCAACTCCGTCTTCTCCTTTTCGAGGGCATCCTTCAGCAGTCAAATTGCGAGTCTGACTTCGATTAATATTCCACAAGCCGAGTCTCTTGCTGCGACCGTCAGCTCCCTCCCAAACGCCCGCAAGGCCATAAGAGCCATCTCTACTGCTGCCGAGCAAATACAATCATGGATCAAGAAGGCCTTGAAAGTTTTGGAAAATCTCGATGCCGAAGACGATGTGGAGTGGGCTGCGGCGGCCGGAAGGTTGGGCCTGGATGAAACAGATAAAACTATAAACAAATTCGAGTCTTTGATCAACATGTATGTCCTATCGATCGAAGAACTGCAATCGCGCCCCGATATTGGCGAGGCAAATCCCGAAGATCTGCAGGCTGTGGTTGAACAGATGGAGTCGGTTCTGGGCGGCTGGGATGACGTCCGGAAAGACCTGAAAAACGTTCACGAACAGGTGGAGCTGGCCATGGAATGGGAGGAGTTGTGGGCAAAAGTCCTCGGAGATGTGGGTGCAGAGATGGACGCACTGAGCGCCATGGTCTTTGAAATGGAGGAGAAGAGACACACGGCCTATCAAACACAGACTCAGGTTGATTCAAGTCAAAATATCGATCTGAACGAACTCGAGAGCTTCATCGATGAGCCGACCCAGAAACGGACTGCGCCAAACCGGTTCAGCATCCCTTCTTTCGAGTCGTCACCCCTTGGATCTCCCATTATCGAAAATCCCCAGGACGACTCCAACTTGCTTGCTCTCTTCGCTAGGATGCAACCCCTCAGAGCTTCATTGGATTTCCTGCCTATGAGGTTATCTATGTTCCAGTCCCGAGCGGAGAAGATCTTTCCCATTGCTTGCCGAGAGCTTGATGACAAGCGGGCGCGATTGGAGAGAAATTGGACAGAGTTGTCAAAGGAGGCGGAAACCCTTCGAAGAGAGCTCAGCGAGGATCGCTGGGTGATTGTGTTCCGCAATGCCGGCCGACAAGCTCAGAAGATGTGCGATTCAGTTGAACGAAGTATTTTGAAGGTCCAGGAAGCTATCCACGAAAACTTTCAGGCAACGAACCCGTCTGCTTTGGCTAAGAGGATCGAAAGTTTCGAGGCAAAGAAGCTTCATTACAGCCCTGCTATTCAACGGGTGCTTGGAATCATACAAAAAGGTCTTAAGGATCGCTTGACGGTCAATGGGGAAATCCTCCGCTTGCACAAGGACTTATCATCCAGGATGCGGGATCTCACGGATACCATGGACGACCTCGACAGCCTCCTCGAGCCCGTTACCTCGCGGCAGAACTCGAAACTTCGAGAATCGATCTCTAGCATCGTCTCCGCAGATCGCTCGTTTACCAGCACCACTTTTGCTGGCACTCCAGGCAGCTCTCCCCCTTCGTCAGTTGATCTCCCTCCACAAAGACATGAAAAGCCTGCGTCGAAATACGGTCTGAACGGGTACACAAAACAGCGTACCCCCTCCACAAGCAGGCCACCTCCGCCCGTTTCAAGCAACAAACGAATGTCAATGCTACCCCAAACGCGGCGCCCTACCACACCAATGTCACATTCAAGCAGTGGTGCGATTCGACGTGGAGCCTCACCTTTGCCGGGGCCTCCATCTGTATATCGTCAAGGCGTCTATACTCCTCCTGTGGTGCCTGCGCCTCGGCCAGACCCTACGCCCCTTTCGAATAAGCCCAGATGGTCAGCTGTTGTGAAGTCGTACGATAGCACGATAGCACCGTCGTATCGATCCGCTTCCAGCACCACGCCTTTGACCGCGAGAAGGTATACTCCGCGATCTATTTCTTCCAATACTGCTTTGCCATTGCGAAGTCCACTCAGCCGGGAAGCATCCGCATCACCTTCATCCACTCTGCCTACTCTTGCGAAGAGAGAAAGCCAACAGTTCAGATCCTTTGCTGAGCGTGTCGCTGATCCTTTGCCGGCGAGAACCAGCAGTTTGTTAGACCCCGTGCCGTATCACAAGACCAGGAATTCGAGTGCTCCTGCGCCGGGGACCATTCGATCCCCGTCTTCACTTGTCGTCAACAATCAAAACAAGCCTACAATGAGCGGAGGATCGATCCCGCGTCCACCTTCGTCACTTAGTCGGAATTATGGATCCTCGCAAGTCCCCCTGCGATCAACATCTCACAATCCTCGACTGGACAACAGGCTGGAGGGCAGCCCTAGGAAGACTGAAGATGGTCTGGAAGAGAATGATAGGGCGAGTGAGAATGAAGAGGACCAGATCACGGAACCGAGTTCGAGTCCTCTGTCCAAGCGCACGATTACGAGGCCCAGCAGCGTTCTGGCGATGAGCGGGAAGGCCAAACGAATGTCATTATTACCTGTACCAGTTGGAAGCGGCAGGCAAAGTTCATTGGGGTCGAGGATTTCTTGAGAGAGCATGGCAGCCTCCTACAGCGGGCCTGAGAAAAGCTGCTCCACCCACGACCGTTTCTTTTGGCATATCGAGAGCAGAGCGGAGGCGAGCATGCATACCCAGTTGCTACCACCCTAGGTAGTTTTTTCTTGTGTGTTTTTGACAGCGTTCCAAGCGTGTACCTCGTACTTACTTTTCGAGTACTTTCGTACACCCGAGCCAGGCAAGGCATTTTCTGTTTTTGCCCTGGATATCATAGCGCAGAAAGAAAATGCTGTATAGCCTTTTCCCATCCATCCATCCATCCATCCATGGCAGGAGGGACTTTTTCCATTTACCCTAGTAGTGTCTCCCCAGTGTCTCCCCAGTGTCTACCCCAGCTTGCCGTGCTCTTACAAATGTTGGATTCGCTACTGCAGGAAGCTATTCCACCAAACTTACCGTAGCTATTGTATGTATGTATGTAAGTGTGGATTATTGCAGGTGAGGTTTGATAGCATGTAGGACCCAGGCAGGCAGGCAGGCAGGCAGGCAGGCAGGCACATTCAATAATTTACCATACGTAAAAGACGTTCCATGTCCGGGAGACGTCGAGACGTGATATCACGCCCACAGTCGCACTGTCGCACTTGTCGCACTTGTCGACGGAGGAGGGTTTTTGTGTCTTGTCTAGCTGGCTACTTGAGAGTCGGATCCTAGTATTTGCGGCCCCGTTCATGCATACGGGAACTAAATGGGGGTGTCGACAGATTCCTCGGACACTTTCGTTTGAATATTTGAGGACATTGATTGATACGTGACTACCTAGGTACCTAGGTCGGTATGGTGCATTTCGTTAAGGAGAGGAAAGTGGGTGGGACGGAATTCGGTGAGTACCTATCTATAAGTAGAGAGATGGAGAAAACCTACTAATTATGTATGTATCACAATTCACGCCCGAACTAGGGGGCCAGTACTCGGTACCTAGGTAGGTAGTCAACCTTTCAACAAGGCTCAGCTTGACGAGGCAGGAGAAGAGGCAGAAGAGGCAAGTGACCGGCAATGGTTCCCAAAAAACTCATTTCCTAAACAAATTCTTTTAGATGCACATCACTGCCGTTCACATGTGTGGCTGCACTCGAGACACAGGCCTCAAGGTCGTTTGCCCACTCCATTGATCGTGTGCTGCATCAAGATACATCGTCTTTCCCATGAAAAAGAAAATCGAAACTCGAATCGAATCGAATTGGAAAACCCATAATCACACGGAGCCGACCCTGGTCCATCCATCCATTATCATCATATTCTTCTTTGACCAACGCCAACCGACCCCAGCCATATTCAAACACCCTTGATTCCGTCAAAGCTTCCAGGCCAATCCCATCAATCCATAATGCTGGTTATTATTCCTCTCGTCCCTCACGCGTACATACTCTTCGTCTTTCGATGTCTCTCCTCCCGACTGACCGCTGCCTTTACTGGACTGTTTGCCTGACTCATCCCACCACCGGCATGGTAAGTCTCCGTTCGTTGATGACCGACTTTGGGACGTTGTGCTGGGCCTGAAGCCTTCATCTTCTTCTCCCGCCTGAGGACCATTTCTGTCCAGCCTTTGATCGGGGCCGAGCCACTCTGCACGCCTTTGCCCACCACCTGCGAGAGTGCTTGCATCCATTCCTCTTTCTCCGCGGTCGAGTCGGCATAAAAGTCGATAACTTCTCCGTTGGCAAAGCGGATTCGGAAACCCTCTTCAACAAACATGTAGCCCTCTTCCTCCTCCGCGAACCCACTCTTGCGGCGGCCGCCACCCTTGGTCGACGTCTCCCTCTGCGTCAACGCAGTCTTGTCGTCAATGAGACGCGTAGCTTTCGCAAGGTTGATCGTTGCTCGGGGTTGGAGTGTCGTCTCATGAAATGCCGTCAGTTTGGTTCCGGCAAGCTTGAAAAACCGTCGTCGCCAGTACTAGAAATTCGTCAGCACAATGCCCTGAAAGTTCTTCCACCGGAATCCACAAACCGGACAATCGCCTCCTTGCTGGCTCAGGTAGCCCTCAAATTCTTTGATATTTGCTTGTTGTGCCAGTCGTTCTTCAGCCTCCCGCAGTGCCCGAACTGCACCATTCATGCTCTTTGGCATATCATCATCCTTGGCTCCTCTCGGTTTCGGCACATACAACAACTGCAGTTCCAACTTGCCAATCTCATAAGGCGGACGGCGCTGGAGCTGCGTCACGCTCTTCTTGCTTCTCGAACTGCCCACGTGGACCTCTTCCATTGCCCACTCGTTGAAGCAGGTGATGTCTACAGTGTATGGCCTTCCATATGCTTGCTTTTCGTGCTCGCTGAGCGAAATGTAAGCTCGAGCAAATGAACCGTCCTTTGCAACAAGACCTTGAACCAGCTCGTACGCTGAAGGAGGCGTTACTGGTCTTCTGGCTGCCTGGGCTTCTTGCTGAGCTCTGACATCTGACTCTTTCTTCTTTTTGGGGGATCCAAACAACCTCCCGAAAGCTCCTTGCTTCTTAGGCGACGCGGGCGGCTTAGAAGGAGACTGCGGCCGTTCGACTTTAGGTTCCTCCAATTTCATCTGCAGAGTGAGTTGAAATTCAAGCTCATTGAGAACGATTAGCTCAAATTCCTGACCGATAGGTGCGCTTCGAGCAAGGTCCAGCCAGGCAGTCGTGACGCAGTGCATGCCATTGTCCAGCGTGAGAGCGAAGAAAGTGCGTTCGTCTGTTTGTGATCAGCATGAACTCTTGGAGAGAATGGAAAATTGCTCACGTTGAGGAAATGGCATCTGGAGGTCCTTGACACCGACCACCTTGACAAAAAGTCGGCCACGTTCAGCTCCATCCTCCCACTCCTCCTCTTCTCCGATCTCGTCTTCTGCAACAGCGTCAAGACCCTCTTGGGCATTGCTCGCGTGTCCCGGCAAAGGCGGCACAGGGCCCTCGACTGGCTTCCTCTTGCTGACGGCCTTTTCCCCGCCAACTCGAATGCTTTTCCGTCGGATCTTACCATTCCATGGCTCAGCAGTCCAAGTTGGTTGACTCGTCTTGCGCGGTGACGCATGGACGTGGTTAGCCTCTGCGGGGACACCCAGCAGACCATCTTCAGTTGCCGTCGGAAGGCCAGGAGATCTGCATTCATCCTGAGATATACGTTCACTTGCGACGACGATTTTGGTGTTCTGTCTCATCAGGTATCCTCTCTGTCGGCGGCCAGCTCGATTAGCAAATGACTCTTCATCAATATATCTGTCTGGAGAAATAGCAAGATGTGCTCCTCGTAGCGGACGCGCTCCACGAGGTTTGGGGAGAACTGGGATGTTTTCCATGGGATTGCCTCCTTTCCACTCCTTCGCTTCGGGCAGCTCACTGGAGGGGAATCGTCCGTGGAAAGGGTAATAAAGACGTTGCAATGAGAGTTCAAACTCTACCTTCTGGGTTTCCACAACACGGTCGAACTCCTTCTCGAGACCCAATCCGAGGCCTTCGTCCAATCCAGCAGTCGGAATGTCAAGGGGTACTAGGCTGCTAACCCGCTTCTTCTCTCCATCGATGTCAGTCTCCGGTCGGTTCTCATCAACTACTTCTGCATTAGTGGAATCTCCTTTTGCTACCTCTGCGTTCTCGTCAAAGTTGGCCGAGATAGGAGAGACGGGCGAAAGTTCCTTGTCATGAACCAAGACAGAACCACTTTCGGAGGGGCTAATTGAACGGTCACTTTCTGCTTGCGCAGCGCGCTCATCCTCTTCTGATTCATTGTCGACGTTGCCAGGAGAGGTTGTACGTGGAGCAGAGTGTCTGACCACAGACTCAGGTGTTGCTGGCACAGCCTGCTCTGGGCTAAATGTTGAGCGACTTTGGAATGCGTTGAGCTGGACTTCCGGAGTGTATGGCCGCTGAATTGACTGACGGAGAGCAGCGAGGTCAGGTAGTTGAGAGGGTGGCGTAACAACGTTGGCTGGTTTCACAATCTCCTCCTTGTTGCTCAAATACGGGGCAAGTCCAATATCGAAGCTGCTCGTCTTGCCAAAGTCGGTGAAATCTGGCAAAGACATACGCTCAGACGTCACGGGCTTGGTGTTCAACTCCCGAGCTGGACTCTGTGCTTTAGGGGTGTCTTCTCCTTCTTCCGTCATCTGAGCAGGAAAAGACGCCATCGAAGGTTGCGAATACTGGCTGGTGAGGTCGTCATCGTGGTTCGTACTAACGTCTGAACCTGAAGCTGTACGTCCCATGTACATGTCTGGGATAGAGTACAAGTCAGGCTCTTCGTCCTCCTCCACTTTAATACGCGGTTGTGTGGGATCTTCCAACGAGGGTATCGGAACGTCAGGATCGAGAGAGGAGAGGTCCCGCGATTGAGAAGCGTCTGGAATTTCCTCACTGCTCTCTCGACTGGCAGCGGCGACCTGACCACGCAGGCCTTCAAGGATCGACGCCCTCGAAAGCCGTGGGGTCGAATTTCCGGACTCGGACTGATTTGGTCGTGAATCACAACTCTCGACGAGCGACTCTTCATTACTGCTGCTGCGAAGTGGGATAGCGTCCTTAGAACCCATTCGCCTCATCCGACGTTCTCTCTCCTGTTCTTGGAGTGCCATTAGCCTCAATCTGTCCTCCGCGGAAAGGGAGGTCCCAGTCCCGATCTTTTGAATGTCTGCTTTCGAGATCGTGGTAGCTAATGGAGGGCTTGGGAGAGATCGTGACGCAACGCTCATACGTTCAAGGGCTCCTGTTAGACTGTCGGACCTCGAATGCCCTTGTGATCCAGCCACAGGCGGAAGTGGTGGAAGAGGGCGAGACTGTCCGTTGGAGTCGACAGAGCTTGCACTTGTCTGATGAGGGCGGAAAGACGGAATGCTTGGCTGTGCAGTTGGGGCGGGACTGCCGCAGTCCTCTTCGAAGACGTCTTCTTCATGACGAGACAGGTCAGTGTTGGCACTCTCGGGGCTCATGAAGCGCCAGTCCTCGGGCAACACAACCGGTGTCTTTTCGGTGTCCTCGAGGGACGCGTCAAAGCTGTCGTCATGGTCGATTGAAGAACCTCTCTCAAAGCTCGCTTCCTCGTCCTCATCTTCATCGTCATCTGTGGATTCGTAGCTACCCTCACGCGATCCCGAAGCAATCGAAGAAGGGGCAGGTGTGGTCATCTCGTATTCGTTGATTTGTGGAGGCGCTTGGTCAAACGTAACGCTTTTCTGATGACGGTGCAACCCACGACCCGCGGGCAGTTGTCTGTCTTGGAAATCTTCATCGTCTTCCCAAATGCCAGTCTCGGGATTAAAACCACTGCTTCTGAAGGCTGAACCCGTCTTCTTTGATAGTGATGACTTGGCCGGGGAGCTATTCAGTCGACTTGGCGAGAGGGGTGTAACAGAATTGGCTGTGGCTTTGGACTCATCCTCCTGCTGGCTCGCTTGTGCTTGACCCGGCGAGGTCTTGTCCAGCGGTGCAAAATTTTCTTTTCGCCCGGCATCTGAACCTCGGATTGGAGATGACTGTCGTGGAAACTGCATGCTCTGAGGCCGGCCGTCAAGAATCGCCGGACGCGAAGGATCGTAGTGAGTGCTCTGTTCGAGGGCAAACATGCTACTGTTTTTCACTCTTGAAGCCTTCTTCAGGTTCTCAATGGACGAACGCTTCGGTGGGGAGGAGGCGGGAGGAGTCTCGGTGTGTTCTCTGGCAGGAGAACTGGGATCGCGGCCCTGCCAAAATAGACGTGGTGAATTCGTGGAGAAAGGCGACGAAGTGACCGGCGAGTTCTCGCTGCTCAAGAGCTTGCCCTGCGAAAATATCAGATTTGCCGTTGAACCGATGGCGGGAGACGCACTTTTGATTGTGGGAAACTTGGAGAGTTCCTGCGAATTGCCATAGGACTCAACTCGGAGAGAGGACGATTAGTTATTCGTGGCAGCTTGGACGGCGAGGAGCTGGGCCCATTGCCGCCGCCCTTCTGGATGCGCAAGGGTGGGACCTGAGATTGAGCGTGAGCAAGACGAGGGCAATATCAACAATTCCGTCTTTACCTCGGAAGCCATCGCTTAGGGCAGAGAACCGCGACAATGGCTTTGTGTATGTAGCAGATGTCGAGCTCAGACCATGAATCAGGGGATCAGTGGCCAAAGTGAGGAATGAGGCAGTGAAAAGAATGGCAGAATGTCTGTGCTGAGCCTGATAAGGCAGACCAGCTGCGGGTTGTGGTAGAAATGATAGCAACAAGCGCAATAGCTGAGTGACTGAATGACTGTGAGCTACAGTTGACTGCCCAACTGCCCAACTGCGACCGCAATTGAGGCCACTCTTTGACGAAGAGTAGTCAGCAGAGAGAGGTTCTCGTCGAGAGTGTTAACATTCAACGTTGTTCTGGTGGTGTGGATGGTATATGTGAAACTTCAGTGGCCGCCCCACGCCGGGTTTTTACTGGGGAACAACAACAAAGCCCGCGACACTAGCGACACTATCGGTTGCCAGGCAACACGATGTGGCTGATGTCCACCCGAGACACCAGTGCCACAACCCCTAGTGCCTTAGCCTTAGGTACCGAATAGCCTGTGTCGCCCTCTACTCGGTACAGTGAACCGCGAGAACGCGCTGCGCAGAAAAAAAAGTTCAATATCGTAACGGCACTGCGGAGTGATCCCTTTCTTTCGTCCACTTCTAGCTGCACTCGTTGTATAGCCGTTCATGTCGTCCTCTGCTGCTATCTGCCCGGCTTGCCAGTTTCGAGCATTAGTATCTGCGCTCAGATCACCAACACGACAATGGCAGCCCCAGAGATCCATGGCACTGGCCATGCGCCAACGGAGGAAACCTTCGAGAATGACTCTTACACAAGATGCAGGGAAGACAGACACCGGCAGAAAAACACCAAAGAGGGACACAGCAGGTCCTTTTGCAGGAATGAATCAAACCGTGGCACGATTCCCTGTTGCGAGACCACCTCGACCGGTGCCCTCACGAGTCCGAATGTCCCTTAGGTCCAAGATCAAGGAGCGCGCAACCACAACCAAGTTGCAGCCGAACACTACAGCGCCTCATGACCAAGATCGGGTCTCTGCTGTCCCGTCAATTTCATACCCGAAGAAGGAGAAAAAGGACAAAGATGAACGACCACTCTTCCACGCATTGAAAATGCAGCAGATCCTCACTCCCCTATCCTACGGCCAACGGACCAAACTAAAGCAGCAAATGGAGAAAATTACCTCCTTTGAAGAGCTGGGACTGATGCCTTCGGTTGTCGACTCTATCTATACCCAAGTCTTGCCACATCTGACGGAATATACACCCACACCTGTACAGAAACTGGCGATTCCTGCACTCCTCAGTAGAAAGGGCGAGTATCAAAAACAGAAGCAGGTGGATCCAGATGGAAATCCTGTCCCAAATAAATACAAGACATTCCTTCTCGCCGCAGAGACCGGTTCAGGGAAGACGCTGGCGTACCTTTTGCCCGTCATCAACGCCGTTAAGCAACAAGAAGAGGTGGATCGGAATGAAGAGCTCGAGCGTGAAGCCCGGAGTGTCAAAGAAAAGGAAGAAAAAGACAAGAACCGCGTCTTTGAAGCAGATCCCTCGGAGGCTGATGAACCATCACCAAACCAGTCAATGGGCCGACCTCGAGCCCTCATCCTCCTCCCCTCCTCCGAACTTGTTGCGCAGGTTACAAAGGTCGTCAAAGTCATCGGCCACACCGTGAAATATCGCTCTGCGGGGATTTCTTCTTCGAACACACCCACAGTCATTCGAAACCGACTCTTCAATCCTCAGGGGATAGATATTCTCGTTTCCTCACCTCATCTAATCGCCAGCATCGCGAAAAAGGAGCCAAACATCTTATCACGGATACAATATCTGGTCATGGACGAGGCTGACTCCCTTTTCGACCGCTCCTTTAGTGAGACCACATGCGAAATCATCGATCGTGCAGCCCCCTCATTAAAGCAGCTGATCCTCTGCTCTGCCACTATTCCAAACAGCCTTGACAAGTTCATTGATAAGAGGTTCCCCGATTGTAAACGAATCGTCACACCCAAGCTCCATACGATTCCGCGCCGAGTACAACTGGGTGCTGTGGATATCGACAAAGATCCCTATCGTGGCAGTCGGGAGTTAGCGTGCGCGGACGTGATATGGACACTAGGAAAGGCGGTGCACGAAGACCTTAACCCCAAAAACACCGTCAAGCATATCCTTGTTTTTGTCAACGAGCGGGAGAAAGCAGAAGAAGTTGCGCGATTTCTAGTATCAAAGGGGATCGAGGCCGTGGCATTGACGAGAGATACTACGGAACAGCGCCAGGCTGAAATTCTCGCAACATTCACCTCTGTGGACCGCGTCGAAGGCTCGTCCAAACCGTCTTCTTCCCCATCCTCGACCTCCAAGAAACTGTTCAAAGACTTTGTTCCCTTCGACCGTTCATCTACCCCTTCGACGTCTGGGATCAATCTCAGTCAACCATCTAGACCAACCAGGCATCTCCCGGATGTCAAGGTTCTCGTGACCACCGACCTTGGTTCGCGGGGCGTCGATACTCTCGCAGTCCGGCACGTGGTTCTGTATGACGTCCCGCATACTACAATAGACTTCGTCCACCGGTTGGGACGCATGGGCAGGATGAACCGGCGAGGAAGGGGGATTGTGCTGATGGGAGGCAAAGATCGAAAGGACGTCATTAGCGAGGTCAGGGAGGCCATGTTTAGAGGGCAGGCTCTGATCTGAAAACGTCCAGAGGTAAAGCCTTTGGGCAGGTTTCCACAGTGAACCATGTAAAACACCGCTTGCTCTACTCGGCGCGAGAGTCCGATATAAACAGTATTAAGCTCTTTATAAAAAACGATTTTTAATTTTTTTTGGAAAACCGTCTTTGGCTACTAGATAACCACGGCCTTCCTCCGCTGCCTTCCCTGCGCTGTTCGATACAGAGGTATATAAACCTTTCCTATCTTCCTGCTTTGCTGTTAGATTAGATCATCAATACTCGGGACAATGCAGTTTGTTCCAGGTTCCAACTCGTGCCAAGGCTGGGGCAAGAACGTGACGAGGCTGCGGAGAAATTTAGTTTTTTTGCCATCGTTTACAAATAATTCTTTTACATACCGTACTTAGGTATCTTTTCAGTACTACTAGTCTGTCGTTTTGACAGTGTCTCGGTGACCTTTTCTATTAGCGCTTTCTCATGTCTCTACTACTATTCCAAGTACAGAGAGTGCAGATAAGCACGTCAATCAGTACTGCAAGCAAGAGACGGAGCCATGCTGCAGAAAGGGACCAAGAGATCTGCAGATGAAGCCTTTTCGTCAAAGTCTGCATCTGTAGAGGAAAACTTGGAACATCATCGATTTAGTGCTGCTGCGACGCGGAATGGTGCGACAACAGGGAAGACTGTCGATTTTGAGGAGCGGAAAGTTAAGGATGACAACAACAACGTCAAGAAGAGTGGAAGCAAAGCCCCGAGTCTGAAGGAGCGGGCTCGTCTTTTACTGCCAGCCAGACAAAAATTACCCATTTACAGCAACGCAGCCCAAATACGGCAGAAGGTCAGGGATCACGATGTGCTACTACTGGTCGGAGAGACTGGGTCGGGCAAGTCGACGCAGATTCCACAGTTTCTGGTGCATGAACCCTGGTGTAAGAAGAAACAGATCAGCAGTGGGAGTGGTGGTGCCAAAGTCAATGTCGGAGGGTGCATCGCCATCACACAGCCCCGAAGGGTGGCCGCGATTTCCCTCGCCCGTCGCGTGGCGGAGGAGATGGGCACGCCGCTAGGGAACTCGAGCCCGGCGTCTGAAGTCGGGTACTCAGTGCGCTTTGAGAACAGCACGAGTCCCTCGACGAGGATCAAGTTCTTGACCGAGGGCATGCTCTTGCAAGAAATGCTACGGGATCCTTGGTTGAAGGAGTACTCCGCTGTCGTGGTGGATGAGGTTCACGAGCGCGGCGTCAATGTGGATCTGGTACTGGGGTTCCTTAGAAGGATGCAGGATCTGAGAAACAAGAAGGACGGGAGAGGTGGCGTTGCGTTGAAGATTGTGGTCATGAGCGCGACGGCTGACATGGAGAAGATTCAGCACTTCTTTGGAGGCACGAGCCAGACGAATCGTGAAGATCGCCCGAAAGCCAATGGGGAGTCTCATGGGGCAAAAGGCGACTGGCACGGTTTCTCGGAGGATGAATTTGGAACTGATGAAGATACCAGAACCAAAGTCGACTCGGACATCAACGGTGGTGTTGTGAAGGACACTTCTGGCATAGCCGCCCTTACCAAAGCAACATCACTCTTTATCAAGGGCCGTCAATATCCTGTGACCGTCAACTATACGCCAACGTCAGTTCCAGATGTCATCGATGCGGCATATCAGCGAATACTGGACATTCACACGCATGCCCCTCTACCAGGCGATGTACTCGTATTCCTCACGGGTCAAGAAACCGTTGAATCTCTCCTCAGCCTTTTGAGTTCATGGTCACTCTCGGTTCAAAAAGACCCCAAGCAGTCTGCAACGCTTCCCAAACTACTCATCCTCCCTCTCTATGCTGCTTTGCCTTCGAACGTGCAACAACGTGTCTTCCAATCAACTCCCAAGTTCACACGCAAGGTGATATTAGCCACAAATATCGCCGAGACCAGTATCACGGTGCCGGGGATTCGATATGTAATCGATACCGGGAAGGCAAAGCAGCGACTCTTTCGCCCTTCTCTAAATCTGGATACTCTTCTTACCGTCCCCATCTCTCGAAGCTCCGCGAACCAGCGTTCTGGGCGCGCTGGACGAGATGCACCGGGAACTGCATACAGACTGTACACCGAAGCGGATTTCTACCAACTGGCACAGGATACCGAACCTGAGATCTTGCGCTGCGACCTCAGTCAGCTTGCGCTCACACTCAAGGCGCATTCGATCGATGATTTGAGTGAATTCCCGTTCCTAACTGCTCCGCCACGAAGAGCTCTCGAGAGGGCGATGATCCATCTCCTCCAGCTCTCTGCATTGGACAGTTCGAGCGGGCGAATCACACATCTGGGACGTGAAATGAGTGTGTTACCTCTGCCTGCGAGCTTGGCGAGGGTGCTTCTTGCCAGCGCTGAACCAGAGTATGACTGCGTCGAGGAGATCACTGACATTGTTTCGGCGTTGAGTGTTGAAAACATCTTCCTCAACATCCACAACCGTCCATCGGCTACGGCATCTGGCGACGTGGTCAACCCTCCCTCGAAATCATCTCCTAGCTACAGTGACTCGGATGCTGAAGAAGACTCGTTGGAAGGTCGTGCCCAGCAAGCACGGCGCCAACTCTTCCGCCGTGAAGGGGATCACCTCACACTGCTCGCCACTATCCAGGCCTATGTGGCTGAGAACACAGATCGCCGTCGTTGGTGTGAAGAGCGGTACATCTCGCACCGGGCCATGAGCGGCGCCATGGATGTTAGGAAACAACTCACCGCATTGATGGATCGATACCGGCGCAAGACCCAGAGCGAGAGTAAAACGGGTGGGAAAGGAGCACGGGAAATCGACCCGGTGCGGGATCAGGACAAGACCACTCTACCCACTCGCATCCTCAAGTGCATTATGACCGGCTTCCACCCCAACGTTGCACGGCTTTGCCCCGACGGAAGCTATCGTACGATTCTCACGAACCAGGTTGTTGCCATTCATCCAAGTAGCGTGTTGTTCTCCCTGCCTTCATATACCTCTAGAGACCAAGGGCCCGGGGGCAGGGCCCAGCAAAGGAAGTACAAGGGGATCATGTACAACGAATTTGTGTACACGGGCACAAAGGCTTATGCCCGTGGAGTGAGTGCGGTGGAGATGAGATGGATGCAGGAACTTCTGGAAACGTGATAGACTGAGGCCTTGATGTGGCAGCTGGAGGCGCCACCTATGCGTACATTTGGGCCGAGGCCACTCAATGACGTTGTCTACACATATAATAGCGGAGATGGGCTTCGGTAAATATGAAGGAGGAGAAGGAGGCACGGAGCACTCGCACCGAGGATACATGGCGGGCTAGCTGCTCGTAGTAGTGGATATTCATTACGAATTGACTTGGACCCGACTTTGGACGCTACTTGGACGCTGGTAACGGCTGTGGGTGGTTCACTGTACAAGGTACTTCGGTGGTTGTCACTCGACTTCGGAAGGCGCGGAGCACGTGATCACGCTTGGTCCTATTCGGGCAGGCGGCGAAGCGAACATCATGAGCTGCGGAGCAACAGTCGAGGGGTTTTCCAACCGCTACACCTCAGCATACATGGCACTAATGCATGCGTCGACTCGTTCCCCCTCCCTGCAGCCAACTGAGATTTCCCGGTCGATTGCGAGCGAATTGAGACCACGAGAAGAGATGGAACAGTCAAGAGGAGGAAACACAATCTTGCAATGGCTCTCTCAGATCGGCTTTCCTGAGCTTGCTGGCTCGCATCTTGTTGAACGGGGATTGCAGCCTCAACCCTGGCTACGTCGATGACAGGGCCGAATCACACCATACCAAAGCTTAAGGATCCCTCTCCAGCTCATTCCCCGCCTTGCTAAGTCGAATCCGCCGACCAAAGTTCCCAAAGAAGGCTTCATATGCAACCATCTGATGCTTCATGTCTCAGATGTTACACATTTCTCGCAGCGGCCGCCTGAGTCTATTTCGTCATTGACTGATGCTCGGTGGTACAAGATTGGTGGGGCAGCAAGCTCTCCGTCCGCGGTCTATTCTTCTTCGCCTGGAGCACTGGCTGTGAGCACTTGGTCAAAGTTTTTCTGACTGCACCAGACATGTCAAGTACACCAAGCCAGCCCGGAGAAGGAGCTCCTCTGCGGCACGATGATCGCCAAGATGTGGGCATCGAATGGCGATTCAAGCGACCACACCACATGCATGCTGGGTGCGGGGTTGGCAGAAAAAAAGCATGCCTTGGGATGCCTCTTGGATTCAAGCTACACCTGGAACAGTGGTGTGCTGGATAGAATGGTGGAGAGAACTTGCATTAAACACTCGACACTAACATTCACGTCCATCCACTGACCGGCTGTCACGGACAACCTCCATTCACTGTCGTCTCTCATTCGACTGTCATGGAACCGCTAGGATCCATGGATGGCTTCGAATGTCCGCATCTGGCGAGCTTCCGCCATCACAGAGCTCTCATAAAACCGTCCCGCCCAGTTGTGCTTCTCTTCTTCCTCTCTCTTTCAAGAGTGTTGCATATTGTATGCTCCCAATCCTCTGGTAAGACCTGATCATTCGCTTCAGCGTCTGCCCACCCTCGTTGAGATCGAGCAGCCGTACCGCAACAAAGAATCCCATCTTGCACCCCTCCAACTATGCGCACATTCGCTCTTCTCACGGCTTTGGCCGTCTCTGCCCTGGCTTCACCCTTGCCGCAGGGTGTGACCTCTGCAATTGCTCCATCCTCTCCAGCTCCCGAAGGCTGCCAGCCCTCGTATAGCGGCAGCTTTGAGATCACTGTTGTGAATGTCTCGTCCTCAGCGAAACGAGATTTGCACGAGGTAGGTTCATTGCAACACCGCAGTCCTGTAGAACGTACTGACTCATTTGCAGCGTCAAAGCTCTGGAGTCCTGACCCTCACTCTTGCCGATTCCGTCCTGAAAGACCAAGACGGACGTACTGGCTACATCGCCTCAAACTATCAATTCCAGTTTGACAACCCTCCACAAGCCGGGGCTATTTACACAAGCGGCTTCTCCCTGTGCTCCAACTCGAGCCTTGCGTTGGGTGGCTCTGCCATCTGGTATCAATGTTTGAGTGGATCATTCTACAACTTATACGACCGAGATTGGGCCCCCCACTGCGTACCAATCTACATCTATGCCCTGATCGGGTCCTCCGCTCCACCAGCGACCCAAGCAACAGATGGCCAGCCGGCCGCGACGACCGTCGTCCCCTCGGTTTCTCAACTCACGGACGGTCAGCCCCAGGTGACTTCAGTGGCTGTTACACAAATCTCAGACGGACAGTGAGTTAATCCTTTACTATCATGGCATGATTTGCTCGTAAACGCAAGTACTCTCATTGAGCTGGAACGCGGCCTACTCTCGATCTCTGTGTTGAAAAGGTGCCTCATACTATGCGTTGTTGCTTTGCTTTGGAACGCAACCTCTCTGCTGCATATTTCAGTCGTGGGAGATGTCACTTCGTTTGGCATTCGGGTATCCTTGTTTCAACTTAAACTCCTTCCTGCTCCTGTTGTATCACCGTCATAGCAAGTGATCAGCTGACTCCCTCATAGACCTCAGGCCACCACGGGTGTCCCTGTCTCGCAGATTAGCGACGGCCAGTAAGTTCACCAATATTTGTCTCCTTCATCTTGTCCTCCGAGCAGCCCTAATCATCCGCAGGCCACAAGCAACGACTGGTGTCCCTGTCTCGCAGATTAGCGACGGCCAGTAAGTCCTCCAATATTTATATCCTCCACCTTGTCCTCCGAGCAGCCCTAACTATCCACAGGCCACAAGCAACGACTGGTGTCCCTGTCTCGCAGATTAGCGACGGCCAGTAAGTCTTCCAATGTTTGCCT